GAGACATAAAATTTAAAAAAATTGTTAGACAAATCCGCACAGTAGTTCAAAATTTAAAAATTGTGAAAAAATTCGCACAATGGCATACGTTTATAAAATGGTGGAAAAAATTTCAAATTTTTCAAAAATTTCAAATTATTTACAGATTTTTTAATATCCTCCGAGAAATAAGGTATATTGATTTAATTTTTTAGAGCTGTGTATTAAATGTTGTTTTGAAACTTTATAAGTTATGACACGATAATTACAAGAGACAGAAACTTTTCTAATATCATTAAAAAATAATTAAAAATTCCACTATAATTTAATATAAATACTTAAATAAAAAAGTTAATATCCCCCAGGTTATTACTCTTTCCAAGCCACTGATAATTGCAAGAATATAGAAAAACAAGTCGATGTGTTTATAAAGTATTAAATGTCCTGATTAAAGTACAGTACAGTCTGAGTGTTTTTTTATTTGTTTTAGATAATGAAATGAGAGACTACATATCTTTAAAGCACATAATCGATACTACCACTTTTATGACACGTTTCTCTATATAATACTGACAATCCCACTTTTATAAGGTACAAAAATAGAAAAGGGTTGTTTTTTTGTTTATTGACGCTTTTCAGCCAACATTGTGGGCTTGATAATAATACGTCTAGTTACTGTTTTCAGGGTGGGGCTTGGAGAGATTTTTAATAGCATTGAGAACAATAATTTATGGTTAAAATACAGAAAAAATGTCAGGGGTTTGTAATCAATTTCGTATAAAAATAAATAATAATAAAGTTTTATTATTTTATAGACTTTTTTAGCTCAAAAATTTGGTTAACTTTTCAAGTTTAAAGATGTAATAGAGCTAGCGATGTTTTTTTCAACATTTTTTTCAAATGATTTTTGTTCACCTTTATTTTTTTTAATTTTATATTAATTCAATTAAGCATAGTTTTAGCCTTAAAAAAAACAAATTTTATTTAGAAGTAAAATATAATTTAAAATTTTAGCAAAAACTTGTAACTAAATTCAATTTTTGTTGGAAATTTGGTTTTCCACAAAAAAGGTCGTATAAGTCGAATTTCTAAAATTAATATTTTAAGAGATAAACGAAATTCGATAAGAATTTAAATTAATTATTTTTTAAAATTTTTTTTTTAGTCATTGAAATTTAAAACTAAATAATATTAATAATGTTTTTTCCATTCATTTTGTTTGTTAGGTATCAACAAGAATTAAAATTTGCGAAAATTTTAGATTTATAAATCAAAATAATTTTAAATTTTATGGACTAAATACAAATCTCCTAAAATATTGATTTTAGACTTTTGTTGCAGAAGACTCAAAAAATGTATTTACATTTCTCTTTAAAGTAACAAGTTAACAACAAAAAACATCAATTTCATAATAATTCCTTAAACAAACTTTAACAAACTTTAATGTGGGGCTGAGTTTTATTTAATTAAACGAAAAAAAAGCAAGGTTTAATGAGTGTCTAGAAAAGTTTATAAACGAGTTGCATATATGTATATATATGTATATGTATACTATACTTTATCTGCGTTCATAATGACTTCATTATAACACCGCTTTCAGTGCTTTAATGAGATACTTTATCCCACCCAAAATTTTGATTTTATAGGTTGGCTATACTTTAAACAACACACTATTTTGCATATTGGTTATAATATTTTTATGATTTTTTTACTTACGTGACTTCTGGCAATAAATTTTGTTTAGCACCAAAGAAAATCCTTTTTCTCTTCTTTAACTTTAACAGCTGCTTATTGTAAATAAGTAAATTAAGGACGGCATGACGAATCGATTTTGACATTTACTGTGATACCAACTATCTAAAGTAAAATTCTACCAAATTAAATTTAAGGTATAAAATTATTTTTTTTTATAGAATTTTTGCAAAATAGATAAAATAGCATAAATAACTCATGTCACAAGACCTTTTGTCGCACTCGTCCATTACAAAACTCGCTCCTTCGTCGCTCGTTGTATAAATTGTCCGCGTGCGACAAAATTACGTCTTATGACATTAGTTCTACGACAAATTCTTACATAATATGTTTTATAGATGTCGCTATATACAAATATTTTAATAATTTAAATATTTCATTTTTAGATAATAATTATTATTAAATAATATTATTATTTAATAATAATTATTATCTAAAAATGAAATATTTAAATTATTAAAATATTTGTATATAGCGACATCTATAAAACAATAGAATAACCATTTTAACTTCAAGTTAGTAACTTGGGAATCTGTATTACCGGCACGCCGGTCAAATGTCAAATTTTAATATGTAAATCGAAATGTATCCCTTAAAAAAACCACCGGTTAAATCTGATATAGAAGCAGTTTTTCACGGTGAAAGTGAAGATAATATTTTATGGTGCAGTCTTTACCAGAAATTTTTAATGGTTAATCAGTTAAATCTAGTTAACTGCCGGCGAAATCAAAAGGTTCATTTAAACTTTTTAAATATTGGCGTTAAGAAACTATTTAATAATTTTGTATTTTTTATTGAGATAATAAAATAATTTTCACATTTAGTATTATTTTACATAAAAGGCACTGTATTTTAACTATTGTATGACATTTGACAACTGTCAACCGAGCTGTCAACTAACTTAAAACTAACTTCAAGCATGTGACTAAAAACCTGTTGCTAACTTCAGCCTGTGACTAAAACCCCATAAAGCCACAACTTGTCAATGTGTATTTAAAAGGTCATGTACGATAATGGGCGTTTTAAAGGTGGGAGTAAAAAAAACTATTTATTAATTTTTTAAACAACAAAAGTTGTAAAGGAATATTTAAATAATAATTATATACCTAAATAAAAACTTAAACAAAAACAATCTGTTATAATTTTAATTTATTGTGTTTTGATAAATATTTGTCAACAAATTTTTATTAATTGCCAAGTTCAAGGCTTTGTTTATAAACAAACATGATTTAAAAAGTCAGTTGTATTTTTTGTTTAGCGCTATAGAACCATTTCTTAAAATTTTTGAATGGACACCTTGTATACAAATTATTATAATTATTGAAATTAACTTATAATCAATAATAGTTACTAATATTTATTAAGAAAAACACATTTTTTTTTTAATAAGAACGACGTGAATACAAACATAAAATAGAATCGTTTAATTGTAAAAAATAAGTTTGTCTAGCCTTCCAAAATAAAGTTTACTATAATTTAAAAATAGACCTAGACCAAGTTGTGTTTCATAATGTATATTTTTTATTACAGCAGACATGTTTTTGTCAGTTTAATTTAAAAAAATATGCTATTGCATAAGATTTATCATACTTTTCATTAAATGTAAAAAACGTTTATTCTTGGCAACTAAAAAACATTGAACATTAGTTTAATTTTACCCCGAGTTTTTTTCTATAAACCTAAATTTAACCCATAATATGCATATTATGCGAAATTTATTTAAACTTTTCACCCTGTATATTTTTTATTGTGCTGTGTCAGTGGGTTAAAATTTATTCAGCTGTAATGTTAAAAATCCTTTTATTTGCTGTTTTGTTGGGTAAGAATCCCCTTTGTATTTATTATCTTTGTTTTTATTGTACAAAATACTTCTTAAGTTTATTTCGCGTACGTCATAATATTTAATACAAAAATGTTAAGTTTGACAAGATAATTAACTGTTTTCTAATTAATTTTTGATATTTTGTTCGGGGTGTGTACAAAATCAATCAACTCAGGAATATTAACATTGTGTTTATGCTAAAATTACTTTCGGCCTCGTTAAAATCGATATTTATTCAATAATAAAAAAACTGCAATAAACTGGCTAATTTTCCCTATGTTCTATTATAAACTGCTCCAGTAAATATTTGGATTACGAGCGTGCACTTAAAAATAAATATCCAGTAAAATTGATTTGCGGCATCAAATTATTGAGAGGTTTATTGAAGCAAAACCATAATTATTAATCAATGAAAACAGCCCATAAAAATGTTGCCCGTAAAAGTTATATTTTTAAACCAATGAAAATGGATGTTCGGATCACATTTTATTGTAAATTTTCAATCGAAATTTAAGCTGTCTGAATTATTTTTTCTATGACGCCCTATATATCCAACATGTGCAGCAACAGCGGTAAGAGGTAATCAGCGTCATCTACCGTGTGTTGCTGGACTGTCCTACCTAAACGTCATAAAGAAAGTAAAATACAATAAAATACAGTTCATTTTTTTTTATCTGGACTCGTGTTTTTTTGTTAGGTTGGTGGCTTATGCCAGTTTGACTTGATATTTTTAGTATTTAAAAATACTTTGACACTGTCAAATTGACAATAATATTTATTATTGATAATTTACTTGTCAGTTATAAATAAAAATAATAATTATGCCAAAAATAATAGCAACGAATTCGAATGTAAAAGCCCTTTTGAGGGCAAAACTTCATTTTGATGAAATTATGCCAAATGCCACAATGGAAGAAAAAGTACATCGCCTTATGAACATTTTTGGAGTAAAAAGTAACGAATTTGGTTTTATAAATATTACATCACACATTATTTTCACATTATTCCCCATTGGACAACATTTGCGTTCACAAAAAATTTTAATTTCTTTTATATAAATTCTTTGCAAAGCGAAGATTATAATCCGCTAGGAATACTTTCTGTTCTGGGCCGTAAAGCAACCTATATTTAACTACTTTTTTATATGATTTTACTTATCCAAGCACCACCAAAGCCAAATTAATTGCATTTTTAACTACGAATTTCGACAACTCAACTTGACAACTGCACAATGTAACCTACAATAATTTATACATAACCACAATTAGATTTATAACTAGCTTAGTTTGTTTAGCTTTGACAACTGTATTTACCAACCAAAACCCTTAATTTGCAACGTTGCCGCAGTCCAGATAAAAAAGTAACCAAAAAATAATATAAGGTCAATTTTTATTTTTCCACACCCTGTATATTATAAACTATAGCTAATTTCTGATTTTTGTTTCAGTGTCCATTGATGGCCATTCAAATTCCCTACAGTTTGAATTTAATAGAAATTTCAAAATTCATTGCAACGTATCAACAGATAGTAAAAACGTAACCTTAAAATGGTAAGTATTTACTGAAAGCGTTGTTAAAATAATTAGCTTCAATTCTAAATTTAAATGTATTTAACACTGACATCCTATTCCTGGCAGCATTCTTTATTAAAAAAAGATGAAAACAATGAAGCTTAATTTAGAGAGTGCTAAAGTTTACAAGGTTAACTAAACTGTTGCCATAAAATGTTTCACATTTAATTTTTGCGCTTTTATATTTAGTTTTATTTTCTACCTGTCTCTACAATTTTTATCAAGTAGACTTTAAAATTAAATCTTTTAAGTTTCCTTTAAATAAATTCTTGCTAAATTAATTGCAATTTTTTCATCATCACAAGCTATTGTGTGGTTTAATTGCGCTATCGTAAACTTTGAGTCTGTTATTTGTTTTTACAGAGCAAACAGTTCTCGTATTTACATAAATAAAATTGTATCAACAATTTTTAAAGCGCCAATCAGCTTAAAATAACACTCAAGGTAACTAAGAAAAAAAAATAGGTAATTTATAGTGGGTATATGTTTTGTTTTTAGCTAATTAAATATTGCAATTGTACTATTTTCAAGTTTCAAGTTTATTTTTAATTCTGTACTTATTTTTTATTTTAATATTTAACTGAATTGTTGCTAAATAGTGGGGCCATCGCCTAAAACCAACACGAAATTGTTAAGACTGCGGGATTGTATTAATTTTTGTATAAAAAGCGGTCCACAAACATTTTTAAAAGATCAATACAGATTTGAGCACAATTAAAACAAAAATAGACAACTTATCCTAACATATAAATAATATTTATCTACTCCTATTGCATAAGATTGTTTTTTTCGTGAATAATGATAAACACTATAAATACCATGCCTGACAACGGGAATAATAAACTCATTATTCACGTTGTTGGGCATCAGTGATTGGCCGATTTCAATATTCACTGAATTGAACCAATCGGGTTTGAAATTGGGGAAGGCGACTATAATAACATTTAAAATTGGTAAAAAGTTAGGTTAACCATTTGACAAATTTTATTTTAATATTTTTTAAATTATTTAGAGGCCTATTCCTTTTCTTAAAATGTATGTTCACCCAACGACAACCCAAACATCATCTATGTTTAATGCTATTCCGTTTTTCATATGTTTAAAGACTTGACCTTGAATCTTCTGAACAGCGATAAATGTTTCTAGGACAGACAGTTTCTTAGTTTTATAACCCAAAAGTCGCAGATAGTAAACTAAAATTGTGTTAAAATTCATTGGTGATCGGCCATTTCAAGCGGATGGACGGGACAAATCACAAAACTGTTTTTATAAAAAAAATTGTAGCTAATTTATTATATATTATTTTTGCATCAAAATTGTCAAAAAAATTCTTCTATTATAAGGGTATACATTAAATTAAAAAAATCGCAAGAAATATTTTATAAAAGTAGAGATAATTTCAATAATAATTATTATTATTGACAGGGATGGACGGGACAAGATAAATCTTTTTTTTGTCCCGTCCACACCTTTCAATTATTAAAATTATATCTACTTTCATAAAATATTTCTTGAGTTTTTTTTTATTTAATGTATAACCTAATAAAAGAAGAATATTTTTGCCAATCTTGATGCCAAATTATTATATAATAAATAATCTACAATTTTTTTTATAAAAACAGTTTTGTAATTCGTGCGTTTCGCGCGCTTGAAATGGCCGTGATATTTAAAATATTAAATGAACATAAAAAACAACTTACATTGACATTGAAGATAAATTACTGGCCCTAAAAGGAAATTTAGTGGTGGAGGGATTACCATCTTTTGAACTCTGCATTGACCAGCCTTTAAGGTCAACACAGGCTGTGTGGAAGTGCCCCTTCTTAACAGAGAGGCAAAAAGAGGCCAAGAGAAAGTCCAACTCAAACTCTGATGAGTAGCAAAGGTGTAGAGTTTTTTAGTGTAGAGGTTTTAAAAAGAATTGATTAAACCTAAAAGGGATTTTAAAATTAAACAAAGTTTTAGCTCTCATTTGAAGAAAACATTTTAGATTAGTTTTTAGATGCATATTTTTTGTATTTTATAAGTTGACTAATTTTTTGTCTTTATTTTTGAGTAAAAATATTACATGGGTATTTGAAATTTTTAGAGATGGGAATCGGAAAGTTTCCATTTTAAGGAAACTTTCCGTTTTGGAAAGTTTCCAATTGGGAATTTATTTTCATTTTGAAAGTTTCTTTTAAGCTACCGGAAACATTCCTTAGAAACATTCCTTGGAAACTTTCCTTGTTTTTTTCATTTAAATGTCAATTGTTTAACCGCTGATTTTCGTTAAGGCCATGATACAAGGCCAAACAAGGCCAAAAAACTTTGAATAAGAATTTAATTTGTGTTAATTTAAAGCAGAAGAAAAAGTATAAATAATGTAAGTTATGTTACATAACCTCAATGAAGCCGGATTATTCAGCATCAACAAAAAACTTTTTTAAAAAAATAAACAAATTTAAAATCATTCTTTCATTTTTGTTGTTTATTTATAGGCATAGCACAATGCCAAGAGAAAAATCTAGTGTTTGGAATTATTACAAAATAGTGCAAAAAAACAAAAAAGACCATGCTATGGCGCGCCGTTTGATTTTTTATTCAGGAATTATTTATTTCTCCATTGAATTTCACATATCTCTAAATCAATTTCAGATATGTAAAATTAATTTCAGATATCTTTAAATCAATTTTAGAAATCCCAAATTGAAGTTGCAAATGTGATATTTATTTATAAATAAAAGATACCAAGTCAGAAATTTAATTCATTGCATTAAAAATATCATAGAACAAATTTAAATATGCGGTAAATTTTAATGTTAAAGTAATATTTTTAATTCCTTGAATAAAAAATATCATGTGACAAATATAGAATTCGAATTAGCAACATCATAGGAGAAATTTATAATTTAAATTAAAAATATTATGGTAAAAATTCTTAAACAAATTAAAAAAATATGAGAGAAATGTATAATTCAAATTAAAAATATCATAAGAGAAATTTTTAAATGAATTAAAAATATCATAGAAGATATATTTAATTCGAATTAAAAATATCATAGGAGAAATGTATTATTCAAATTAAAAATATCATAGGAGAAATTTTTAAATGAATAAAAAATATCATAGCAGATATTTTTAATTCGAATTAAAAATATCATAGGAGAAATTCATAATTCAAATTAAAAATATCAAATGAGATATTTTTAATTCGAATTAAAAATATCATAGGAGATATTTGTAATTCTATTTAAAAATATCATGGGAGAAATTTTGAAATGAATTAAAATTATCATAGGAGAAATTAATACTTCGAATTAAAAATATCATAGGAGAAATGTATAATTCGAATTAAAAATATCATAGAAGATAATAATTATTTGATTACTTAATATAATAAAGCATATTTTTAAGTAATGTCATATTTTCATTCTTACTGAATTCTTACTGAACTAAAAAACGCACTATATGCGGTGTTAGTGCATTCGACCTACAGGTGCCGCTAACTGCCATGGCAACTGTTAAGCTTCAAATATGAACAAACTCCTGCTATAGTAAATTTAAAAGTAAACTACGTACACGTCATCGATGACGTCATAAATTTGCGCACTGGTACCAACACTAAATGACTAAATCGAAGTCTGTAATTGAATATTTGAATGCATTTTAACCAAATTATGTTGGCAACAATTGCGATGTTGTCATGTTTACATTCAAATTTTTCATATTTAAATGACACATAAAAAAGAATTTGACGTTTTAGAATTTCAAAGCTGTCAGTTGTGTTTTTGAATATTTCGTCTAAATCGTGTATTATTTCGTTTATTTTGTTTGTTGTTTGTGTTATTTTATATCGTTTAAGTTTTCATTGCCGTTTTTGTGTTTGTTATATATCGTTTTTTTTGTGTTTCCTATATTTAAAATGCCGAAGCATTTAAATAGTCGGAGTCAAGAGTTTGTGTCATCCTTAATACGCTATTTTGAGGCAGAACGGGATAATAATGGACCTTTGTTACCTTTAACAGCTGTTAGAGAGGTAAATAGGATTATTATTAATTATATATTAGAATATTTAACAAAATATGTGTTGGATACATAAAATATTAATATATATACCAGAGACTGACTTTAGATGGCAAAATTTTTGGGTTTTATATCAGAAAATGTCTTTAAAAATGGCTAAAAACATACTTTTGGCGGTGCATCATATAGGTTATAAAAACTCAGACTTTTGACATTTTAGTATTATTCATGTAAACGCCATCTATCGCCCTGTAGTTGCACTACCACTTTCCCTTGATGCAAGGATTTTAGCATCACATTGACAACCGTGCCCGATCAGCTGATTGATGACGTGTACGTAGTTTACTTTTAAATTTACTATATAAATTTATTAATAGGTACATAGATACCTATTAACCTATTTTATTATTATAATTATTATCACACATTAGCATTATTAGTTCATTTATTTTAATTATAAATACTTTTGTAACCGGTAGTTCAAATATCTTTACGAGTTTGTAAAAACGCGGGAAAAAATTTATTCATCTGTCAAAAATTAAATGTAGTTAACCGGTTAAAAAAATATGTATAATTAAGATAAATGCATTAATAAAGTTAATGTGTTATAATAACGCTAATAACAAGAAACAGTTATTAATAAATTTATTACAGGACTGCGCTCATTGATATCCGAAGCTTAAAGCCTGATTTAAATATTGCCTTCCTTCCTTCCTTCCTCCCTTCCTTCCGTAAAAGATGAACAATACAAAAACCGTAGTGATGTTTATAAATTAGGGTACGGAATCTATAAATAGTACTACAGTTTTCGTATTGTTCATATTTTACGGGAGGAAGGAAGGAAGCATGGTACCATGGAAGGAAGGCAATATTTAAATCTGCCTTAAAGCCTTCCTTCCTCCCGTAAAAGACGAACAATACGAAACCCTGTTAATAGATTAGGGTACGGAAATCTATAAACAGCACTATGGTTTTCGTATTGATTATCTTTTACGGAAGGAAGGAAAAATGGCAATCTATAAATGAGGCTTAACAGTTGCAAGTAGTTCTAATGAACTAAACCGCATATAGTGCGTTTTTTACAACCCAGTTCAATGAGAATTAAAAATTTGACATTGAATTAAAAATGTTTTATTTGTCATTTTATAATAATTAATCTTATTAAAAATATCTTCTATGATATTTTTAATTCGAATTATACATTTCTCCTATGATATTTTTAATTCGAATTATTAATTTCTCCTATGATAATTTTAATTCATTTCAAAATTTCTCCCATGATATTTTTAAATAGAATTACAAATATCTCCTATGATATTTTTAATTCGAATTAAAAATATCTGCTATGATATTTTTTATTCATTTAAAAATTTCTCCTATGATATTTTTAATTTGAATAATACATTTCTCCTATGATATTTTTAAATCGAATTAAATATATCTCCTATGATATTTTTAATTCATTTAAAAATGTCTGTCATGTTATTTAATTCGAATTATAAATTTCTCCTATGATATTTTTAATTCATTTAAAAATTTCTGCCATGATATTTCTAATTCGAATTATAAATTTCTCTTATGCAATTGTTAATCCAATTATAAATTTGTCCTATGATATTTGTTATTCAACGAATTAAAAATATCACTTTAACATTTCGATTTATTAATTTGTCCTATGATATTTTTAATGCAATAAATTAAAGTTTTCATTTTATATTTTTAAATATTTTAGAGATATGTGAAATTCAATGGAGAAATAAATAATTCCTGAATAAAAAATCAAACGGCGCGCCATACCATGCTCTCAAGCAAGTTTTGTAAGAAAATCTATGTCGTTAATGCAACCAAAAATTTGACAAAAAGTTAATGTGTTATATATTTTTGCAAATCCCTGGCATAAAAAAAAATATTTTCGCAATAAAAATTTTTTTTTTAAACTTTCGGAAAATTTCGGGAATTTTCGATGGAAAGTTTCCGGGAATTTTCGTCAAATGGGAATTTTCCCATCTCTAGAAATTTTATTTTTGTTGTATTTTTTCAATAAAATATATTTTTTATTCTACCAACTATCTCGATAAGTATCTAGGTACCGTAAATACGGGTGACTTTGCACCCCGCGGGTGACTTTAACCCATTTATGAAAAATCTTTTCGCGCTCGATAAAATTAACATTTATAATTTGTTGGTCTAAACCTGTCAATTGAGCGATTCTATTGAGTTTATATTACAGGAAAATCAGTGTTTTAAAGAAAGAAATGGGATTTATTACACTTTAAAATTGTATATATTGTATCAGTGCAAAACTCTTAGAAATACACGCGTTACAATTTCTATATTATGCGCAATCCATTGGAATGATGATCCTTGGTTAACTACAGGTCGATTTTTTATTTTTTTTATTGGGAATCCCTTGCAATAGATATATGTCGCTGCTAACACGTGTCTAATAAAAATAAAATATAATATTACATTCATTTTATACTGAAAAAACACTGTGAGACAAAGTAACCCGCAACCAGGGGGTAACTTTGCACACCCAGTTTTTAATGTTTATTTTTGAAACTCAGCCCTATGTAATATTATAACATAGTTATTATGAAAGAGCAACTCAAGACTCAAATTTTTGTATACAAAATTTAATGTTTATGATTGTTAAAACCACAAAAATTTTAAGCTGAAGTTTGAAAGTGAGCCAAAGCCACCCGTGTTTACGGTACATAAAATGGTTCTAGATCCAGTATCTAGATACATGTTTCTCGATACTATCGCTAACAAAAAAAACTCATACAGCTTAAAAATCTAGTGTTCCTGATTTTCTATAATTTCGTTGGAGTAATTATGGCTTTTAACATGATACGTCAAATTTGAAAGGTCTAAAATTAAATACAAAGTTAGGTTAAAGTTTGAAAAAAAAATAATATTTCGTCATCCCTCTGTTTTTGTCAATTATTGCCCGCAAACGGCAAAGCATGGAAGTCGCCGTCTTGCTTTATCTCGTTCCAAATGGCTTCAATGGCTTGCCAGAGTTCGTCTGCATTGTTTGGTTAAAAATGTTAAAAAAGTCATAATGGATGTGACAAAGCTCGATGTCAGCTTGACATTGACGGAAAAGTTTTATTCACACAGCCACAATATAGCTGTATGAGTTTTTTTTGTTAGCGATAGTACATTACATCACTGTGTTCACCAAATAGCAAATTAGACACCGATACCGTTTATAAACATGAATAATTAATAAATTTTTTGAGCGCATGCGTCTATAGACGAAATAATTGAAAGGGAATAGGCACTTAAACATATGTAGTTCATGAATATGCATTTTCAACGAAAGGAAATAGGCCTCTTAATTATCTTCTTATTGGAGTGGATAAAGTATAGTATTACAGGAGATTATGCGCATTATTCACTCAGATGATTTTGGTATCTCGTCTAACGACTCGAGACGCAAACATCCTCGTGAATAATAGCCTGCATTATCTTTCTTATAATAATATACTACTAATTTATTTAATTGTAATTTATCCTCGTTTTCAGGCTAAAGAATGGGGAAGAACTAATGAACATACCTGGTTTAAAAGAGAGAATAAAAATAAAATCAGAAAATGGCGTCAACACGTTAGAAGTTAATAGAGTAACGGAAAAGGACGCCGGTAACTACACATGCCTTGTGCCAGACCAAGACAGCGTTAGAGCCGAAATTCAAGTAACAAGTGAGTAATATGACATTTTAAGAAAGAAACTATGATTTTTACGCTTTTAATTTTAAAAATGTATAAAATTTTAAAAATTCCAAAGTTAAGGGCCGTATGCAGAAACTTTTATTTATTTATATCAACTAATTTACGCATATCCACTGATTTAAGTTGGAACCAATTTGGCAACATCGCAAATTTTAAATAACAGAAAATTTTTAGGTTATCTCACATATACTTAAATATGTAATACAGTTTTAAAATGTATAATTAAATATATCTACCTCTGAAAAGAACAAAGAAAATTTCTTGAAGTTTGTGTATATTTCATTTAAGTGTTTTTGCTTAAAAAAGATTAATTAATTATATTATAGTAAAGAAGATAAGGATATTATAGTTATAGAAATATTAAACCTGTTTCTAAAAGTCAATACTTTTTTATCAGGATACACACACACTGGTATGCTATTTAGTCGAACCAAAATGAGTCGTTTCTGCGCATTACGTCATCTGGATTATTTCTGTTTTGAAAGTCTGAAAGTATTTGAGGTTAATCGCTTTTATTTTTGTGTTTTTCTATGGTTTATTGTGTTTTCACCACATAATTATGTGATTTTAATATTTGTAAACATTGTTATTGTGTATTTGTGCAGTTAAAATGTCAAACTGTGCCGTGGCAACTTGTAAAAACTATCTTCGAGTTACAAAAGGAACAGAAATAAAATATTTTCGTTTTCCAAAGGACAGTAATTTGTCAAAACAGTGGATTTTAGCATGCCGACGAGATGACGAAATTAACTTAAAAATTGGTAAGTGTCAATTACATACCTACATTTTTTAATTATAAAATTAGATTTATTAGATATTATTCAATTAAAAAAATAGATTTTTACCAACCAAAGAGGAAGAGTTCTATGAACCAACCGAAGAAAAAATAGCTGGTAAAAATATATTTTTTTAATTGAATAATATCTAATAAATATAATTTTATAATAATTATTACCTTAAGGTACGTAAATTAAATTTAAGGGGTTCTCAGTAATTAAACTATTAGTCGCTGCAATCCAATAATTGAGTCCAAATACAATGCAAAGATTAGTCCCAAAGTAGGTTTATTTATCAAGTTTCACTTCTTAAAAATATAAACAAGTATATTTATCAAGTTTCACAAATATTAGTCCCAAAGTAACAGTAAAAATATAAATAAGTAGGTATATTTATCAAGTTTCACTTCTTAAAAATATAAGCAAGTAGGTATATTTATCAAGTTTCACTTCTTAAAAATAACATATATTCGTACATTAAATTTTAAAATTTAAACGCTGCAATCCACCTGACGTCACACAACATGTCATGCGCAAGAGAATACAAGCGCAAGAGCATACCAGTGTGTGTGTATCCTGCTTTTTTATCTATTGTTTTACAGGTACCAATAACGCCTTTTTGGGCATTTAGGCACATATACATAAATACTGTTGCAGTTCTAGCCCAGATTTTTTTACCCTGGGTATTTTATTTTGAGAATAAAAATATTTTTTCCATAGCATATTTTTAATTGTCAAAAAAATATTACAAAAAAAAACAATTTAAACCAAAAATATAAAAAAATATTTTTATACACTGAATGTTTTTGCTTTAGAGCAATAACAATTGCTTTTACTACAGGGTGTATTTTTGATTTTTTTATAAAATGTCGCATATGTCACATATACATAAATACTGTTGCAGTTCTATCCCAGATTTTTTTACCCTGGGTATTTTATTTTGAGAATAAAAATATTTTTTGCATAGCATATTTTTAATTATTTTTTTACCCTGAGTATTTTATTTTGAGAATAAAAATATTTTTTTGAATAGCATATTTTTAATTGTCAAATAAATATTTAAAAAAAAACAATATTTTTTGGTTTTGAGCAAAAACAATTGTTTTTAACTACAGGGTGTATTTTTGATTTTTTTATAAAATGTCTTTTAAACTTGTATTATTTGCAAAAACTGTTAATAATATTTTAATATGTACATATATTCAATTTAAAATTCCTATGTTGTTGCCCTTTTCATTTTCATGTTTAATAGTATATTTCTGGGCCCAAAAATAAACAAAATCCCCTCAGAAAACTATTATAAATTTATTAAATAGTATTTTTTTAATTAGGTATTCAAGTATGCCATTAAAAAGTAATTATTTATGGAAGGTATGTATACATTTTTTTATTATTAAAACACATGTTTTTAATAATAAAAAAATGTAGGTATCAATAAATTTTTTCACCAAAGGTTAATGTTAGGGTTAATTATTTTACAATGAAACTAAAAAAAATATAATTTAATTGATTAATTATTAATTATTGATAATTTACAGACAAAAATACTGTATATTTTTATAAATATTATAAATCAGTCGTTAACTGATGTACATTTTAGATGATTTTATATTCCAAAAAACAAATCAAGTAAACCATGACTTATATTAGCGAAATTATTTTCTAAAGTAAAAGCAAATGTCACAAATGTCAAATATATCTTGATGGAATTTTAATTGTTTTATATCTAATTCAAAATGTGTAGAAATCTTTAGGGGATAATATAAACAACCCAATTTATTTTATAAAATAACAGTTTTTAAAGAAAATTACTGCGTTGCCATGTTGTGCAAAAACCTAAATACACTGATATGCTAAATCAGTGGATATAAATAAATCAACGTTTCTGCATACGGCCCAAAGTAATTAAAATAAGTAAAATGGTTATAATTTTAGAGGAGGCTAAGCCTCTCTCTAATATCCAATTAACAAATTACCTAATATTAGCATAAAATATTATTTATAAATTCTTTTTTTTAGGCAAAAATTTTGTTAAAGTACCTACCAACATCAACGTGGTTGAAGGCGAAAAACTGAGAATACACTGCCAGGTTGCCGGTAAACCGCCACCAAAACTGTCGTGGATGTTCATCCGTAGGAAAACCGCATTTTCTTAAATCGAACCAAACTTATAGACGCTATTTTTCAGCCGATAGCAGCAATTCGAGCGCAGAGAACAGAACCCTAATCGACGACGACGACAGAATAGACCTGAAGGAAGACGAGGACCACATTCCGAACTCCATTCTGACAGTCACAGGCATCACCATGGATGACAGGGGCGAATACGTTTGCATCGGCACCCCGGTCAGTGGAAAACAAGTCAAGGCCAAGAGCATGGTTAGAGTTAAAGGTAAATATACCACAAATAGATTTTTTAAGGCCCAGTTGTATAAAAGTCCGATTAACAACAGATTAATAAATTACGGATTAATCAATAATAGCCGGTTAAAGAAAATTTTGTTGTGCAACACTTGGTTATGTTTTAATTAGTTAATTTTTAAACTTAGGGGAATTCACTAAAAAAATCCCCAAATTTTCGTATTTGTCATGTCATAATTTTCGTAATTGTCAAATTGACCATATCCTCCTCAAATTCATATTAATAATTTTTGTTGTTTAGGAAGATTTTACACTGAGAAAAAAGTTTATTGCTCCCAAATAAAAAAAATATTTAAATATGGGCAAGGGTACAGTTTATTTATCCTAAATATATTTTTATTCCCGACACAAAAAGTTTTACTAGAGTTTATTTATCGTTATTATTTCGACTATTTAGAGGTAATAAACAATATATTCACTATTAATAAAAGTAGGTATTAGCTACACAGTTTATTTGTCCCATTTTTTTCTCAGTGTAGTAAGTAGGTATATTGGTATTTATTTATTTATTGCATTTGAATGATCATTAATGTGCAATTGAAAATGTAGCTTCAATTATATTTCTTTTTGCAGGTGTGTTTTGTGTTTTTGGTTTTAATATTTTGTACAAATTATACAAAAAAAAATGGCTTGTTGGTCAAAAATGAAAGATTGTGGTAAAAGCGTCGCTAACTTTAGTGAAAAAGAATCTTGGCTATTGCTTTAAATAGGTAGTTGAAAAATATAAAAACATGTAGAATGCAAAATGAACCCGTTAGCAAAAATCAATTCAATCATTTGCCTAAAAGAAAGCGCTTATTTTGTATTAGTTCTTAAAGAAATTATGGCTGATATTTCTTTATTTCAAATATTTTTTGAATAACGAAATCTGTTTCTGTATTCTTCTATATTTAAATCTGTAAAATATTCAGGTCTACCACGAAAGTTTCGGTTTTCTAAGAAAAATAACAATTTCTACTAATTATAAAAAATCTGCATCGTCCGTTAAATGTTCTACCATTTTAATGCTAACCACAAAAATAACACAAAAATAATAAAAAATTTTAAACGTTGACATTTATAAGGTTATGTGTGTTCTAACCCGGCGTTAACCACACAAAATTCACTGATTTGTTAATTGTACGTTGATCAATTAATTAAATTTTAATCAATGTTTATACAACTTAAAAGTTAGCTTAATCATTACATAATTATTATCCAGAGTTAACCAGCTGTTCACCAACTGTTATACAACTGGGCCTAAGACTACTGTTAAAATTAATACACTCACAGGCAAAATAACACTGGTTTACAGTCAAAATGTACCTTGAGTGCGACTATTTTTTTCTGATGTATTTTGGCCTGCTAAACTCGAAAATGACAATAAAAATTTTTTTTATGGCAAGATTTTCCAAATAAAAAATTGTCTTTGATTTTTCGATGCCGGCTTTACTATTTGGGATATATCTCGAGTTTGAAATGGCCAATTTGATTACAACAGATGTCAAATTAAATCTAATTAACATAATAACAAATGTAATTGTATAAATGCCCAATTAGTCAATAAGTTTAGGTGCAATGGGGCCAAATATCGAGAAAAAGTCAATTTTTTGGACAAAATTAGAATTAAGTATTTACTATTTTACCAAAAAGAAGCAAAAATCATTAAAATATGCCCATTCCCACTTACATTTTTTTCCCAAAAATCTTGGTGACCTGAGTGATGACCATGGTGAAAGGTTTCATCAAGGAATAAAATCCATGGAACGGCGCTATCAGGGCTTTTGGAATGAAAGAATTATGGGGGATTATATTTGGTTCCTTGTAAGGGAATCAGATAACGAAAACAGAAGGCAATCTAAAAACCTAAATTATTTTTAATTTACAATAGTATTGTATATTAAATTATATTATAATGATATATTTAAAATGAAACATCCTGAATTTTTCGGAAACTAAAAGAATTTTGAAAACTCACGAGACACATAAAGTTTTATATCGAGGGAGACAACAAATTTTGCCATTAATGCTATTAATGCCAAAATTTGGTTTCCCACCCTTATCCTCTATGCCCAGGAGCTTTCCCCTTAATAATTTGTACATATCTAAAAAATGAACTGACCAATTTAAAAAAAAATAAAATGCCGTTTAATAGGGATTTTCAAGACCTTTAAAATAATGTAGTACTCTGTACCCCTTCTCTATTTAAATTCTTAAGGGGGTAACTCCGGGGCGCAGAAGGTAAAGGTGGGAAACCAAATTTTGCCTTAAAAAGTTTTCCCCCTCGATATAAAACTTTACCTGTCTCTGCGTTTTTTAAAATACTTCTAGTTTCCGAGAATTTAGGGGGGTTAGTTTTAAAAGGAACACACTGTATTTTAATATTAAAATATAAAATAAAATTTATTTAACAGTAAAAAGGTTCTATTAGGCAAATAGAACCTTTTTTTTGTAAAAAACTTAATTTCGGAAAAAAATTTACCTGTCCACTTTTTGCATTAACCCCTTTAATTATAATAATTATCAATAGATTTGTTTTAAAAATATCTTGTTTTCTTTATAACAGTTTGAACTCCACGTAGATAATTTAAAAATTGACATATTTTGTTGATTTGTATTCATCCTTGGCAAAGAAAATAATGTTACAATCTCATTTATCTCCAAAAAAAAAACAACTTTTTCCAATATTTGAGCCCATTGAACTTAAGCTTATTAACTGATTGGGTACTAATAAGGTGATATTTGTTGGCGACTCAAATATGTTTAATTTTAAACTTTTTTTAACCAAATTGGCCATTTCTAACCCGAGATATGACCCAAATTGTAAAGCTGCTTTCTTAAAGAACCAAAATATTAAAGAAAAAAATTTATCTCAAAAACCTTGCCATAAAAATTTTTTTTTTTGTGATTTTTAAGTTTAACAGGTCACAATACATTAGAAAAAAATAGTGGCAGCGAAGGTACATTTTTTAAATTTTAATTTGTAAACCAGTGTAATCGATCCACACAAATTTTCGATGAATTTCATTCGCAAATAACTTTTTTATTTGATATCGGATTTAAACGAATATTAAAGAATATTGTAGATACATTAATGGAGAATCGCTTACATTTTAAAAATTACTAAAAAATACACGTACGTTTATAATATACAGGTTTAAACAAAAACATGTTTTTTACCATAAGTTTAAGACACTCTGTAGAGTGGCAAAACCGTATATTGTTCTAAATTAAGTTTTAATTATTAAGTCACACCTATTTTTAACAGTTTTGTTTTAAGTTCACCTTGATATATTTATTTTTGTGGAACATATAGATTTTTTTTAAAAAACATTGCAATTTCCAATACTTTTCCTGTATAAAGAATTAAGGTTGCTATGGTCCATCCATAGCCTATGGAGGATGACAGTGACAGTTTTGTTGAATCATCCCATACTTGGACATGTCATATACAGCTTTCAAAAGCTATCAAATTGTTTATTGTAAATTAATGTGTTAATTTTGAGGTGTCTTCTTACTTTTAAAAATGTCTCCGACTGATGTTGCCTTTTGTACTTTACTTCTTGTGACGTTTAAAACACTTGCCACGTAATACTGTGACCGTCCATCCTGGATTAAATTAATGGCTCTGGCAACATCAGTCGGAGACATATCCATTTTTTAAAGTAAGAAGGCACCTCAAAATTTAAACATTAATTTGCAAAAAACAATTTGATAGCTTTCGAAAGCCGTGTATGACATGTCCAAGTATGGGATGATTCAACAAAACTGTCACTGTCATTCTCCATAGCCTATGGATGGACCATAGCAACCTTAGTTCTTCATACAGAAAAATATTGGAAATTGCAATGTTTTTTTTAAAAATCCATATTTTTTACAAAAATAAATATATCGAGGTGCACCAAAAACAAAACTGTTAAGAAAAGATGTGACTTGATAAATAAAACTTAATTTAGAACAATATACGGTTTTGCCACTCTACAGAGTGCCTTAAACTTACACAATACCCACAACTTTTTGGATTTTTGACTACATTTTTAGATATTTGTCTGGAATTCTAAATTCTAAACTATTAAAAATTTTCCTAAAACTGTTCTAAAGCTTTATAATGTTCTTACAACTTTTTGATTTGCATTATTTAAGTTTTAACAGCTGCCTTATTGTCCTAAAGAATCTTGTAAAACTTTATAAAAAAAATTAAAACTGTCTTCCAAACTATACAAATGTTTAAAAATTGTTATAGGACTGCAATTTGTCGCGTGAGTTATACAAGGTTTCAAGTCCATTTCGGTAAATTTTAAAGTATATCAATATTTACGGTTTGCATTAAGGCAAAAATTAGTATGATTTATATTGCAACAGTTTTTAAGTGGAACAGTGTAAAATATTCTATTACTATTGTGTTTAAAATAAAAAACAATATTTTAAAAACTGTACATATGTACTTGGATCCATGTAACCTCATAACTGTACTAATTAAAATAATAAAATTTATAGTACAATGTTACTTTTATTTCCTATTAAATAAAAGTAATAAAAATGCATTTAAAAAAAGTTATTCTGATCATCAGACATTGTTGTGTGGATTGTGTCTTAACTTAAATTCTGGAACCGTTGCTTATATAAATAAAATCTGTCATAGTACTGTGACACGTGTCACTTGGAACTATCATTATTTTAATTCATGATTGATACCAATTTTTCTTTAGGATTGACTTATTTAGCTTGTTAAAATTTTCCTGAATTTGTTCCAAAATTGTAGAGATAGAAAATGCAACATTTTAAACATAAATTTACATAAATCATGCTTTTCTGTTCTCTAATGCATTTTTCTATTCATTTTTAGATAAATATGCTGCCCTATGGCCTTTCCTAGGAATTGTCGCGGAAGTTGTCGTTTTGTGCGCCATCATCTTCATCTATGAAAAGAAACACAACAAAGCAGAACTGGACGAAAGTGACACAGACCAAAGTCCTGATCAGTAAGTGGAATAATTATTACACACAACTTCCAAATTCATAAAGTACCGCACAAAAAATATAACGCTGTTAAATGTAGGTTACTTTTTTAATATACATAGATTCAGTTGCCATTTAGTACAAATTTAATCTATGCTACTTAATTTGGCAACTTTGTTCTTCCAAATTTTATAAATCCATCATAAAATTTATATAAGTTTAGTTTAGAAGCTGTTTTTGCTTTAAAATTACGGTATTATTAGAATAACTAACTCTTCCCACTCTCTTCCTATAATACATACTTAGATTTAAGAGATGTTGCTCTTTAATCTAAGGTACACTTTAATAACAACTCAACTAAAATATTACTTTTTACAGAAAAAACACACCTGACCATGGCAAAGACTCAAATTTGAGGCACAGACAGTGAATATAAAATTGTTAAAACTTAAAAAATTAATACCATTTGAATTATAAAAAAAATGTAAAGATTAGAAAAGAAAAATAAACTTTCAGTTTACTAGTGAATGCGAGCTGTAAAAACAGTGTTATTGTTAACGCCTTCCCATGTAGACTTTTTTTTCGTAAAATTGAAGCCTTGTCAACGTAATGCTGGTTATTTTATATTTTTGATATGTTTTGCTATGTTTTGAGTGATGTTTAAATTAATTGCATTTATTTAAGATTGTTTTGCTAATATTGGGACAATCTCAAATAAGAGTTAATTAGTTGAATGATGTCGCTGTGTAAATACAGGTTTTATTTTAATGTTACTTAACTGTAGATAGTGTAAAATTAATTGTTATGCAGTTTGAGATGGCTCTAATTTAATGAAAAAACTGTCACACAATATGTAAATAAATAAATTAAGTATACACTCCTGTTTATATATCTATTGTTATAAATTGTGTTTACACTTATGGACTGTTTATTTTATTTTATATTTGTTTTCTTTGTGATAGTAATAACTACCGTTTAACTTGTAAAGTGCTTAATAATTCATAATTAAATGGTGTCCTAAAACAAATTCCCATCATTCAAATCCTGAAAACTATATATAAATAATAGGGTTTTTCAATATACATAGGTAAGTTGCACACTGCAAGTTTTGGTTTTCGAGTTGATTTTGCTGTTTTGTCGCCATAAATAAGTATACAGTCCCCGGCCAATGAATAAGACTCGCTCTCAAATTTTCTTTAATTTTGGTAAAATGCTCAATATCTCCTCATAGAAAACCACAAGAGTGATCTTAAAACACTTTTTTTACAATAAAATTGAAATTAAAAAAGTAACGTAAAAAATTACCAAACATACTTGATACGACTTTTTGAACTTTAATACTCTTTCTCCAATAAAACTTTGATTACAACATGTTGAGATTTTTGAAAAAATTAGTTTTAAAGTCCATAATTTAGGTAGTTTTTTAACTTTTTTAATTCACTTTTAAAGCGTTTTTAACACTTTTGTGGGAAGATATTTTCTATTTTAAAAATTCACATAATTTAAGAAAATTGAGTGATTTAAATTGACCTGACTGTATATACCTTTATTCGTCTGGGGTAAAGGGGCGGAGCTTACGGCCTCGAGACTATCAGCGCTACTGCGGCAAAATTTAACACTTTTTGTCAAACTGACGTGTTTTATAGGAAAATAAAATTAATTGGCTTCTATAGACATTAAAAAGGTTTAAATTACCTTATTTTGTACACTTAACCTAAATCAATGCCTAAACAGCGGCATTTTAAAAAACTTGTAAAGAACTATTTTTATGCACAGTTCGAGAAAAACTATACTTGAGTGGATTTTCGCCAAAAGCAAAAGTAAAATGTCAATAGCTTAAGGATTAAACTCATAGTGAAAAAAAATAAGGGTACTGACCTGAAAGTTGCGATTTTCGACCCATCAAGTTTTTCCCAAATAGTGCATTCATACAATGTATGCCTGTACAAAATGATACCACATATTCCTAAGATAGAAATAATGCGATATAACCAGAGCTGGAAGTATCTTGAAAAAAAATATACTTAAAAGTAACTTATATCTAAGATACTTTATCTTAGATACTTTTTATATTGGACAGAAAGTATATATAACTTAGATAATTTGGAAAAGTAACTAAGATACATTCAAATAACTTAGATACTTTCTTAGAGAAAATTGGGGGATTCCAGAATGATTCAAAGTAATTACCTAACTTAAAACTTTATAGTTTTTATTCATACTTTAAAGTAAATAAGTTACTCAAAAGTATCTTAGATACTTTCTAAAGTATCTTGTAACTAAAGATACTTTCAACTCAAAGTATCTAGTATCTACCTGGGGTAACTAAGTTATTTTGTTTAAAGTATCTTAAAAAAGTAACTAGATACTTTTCAGAAGTAACTTTCCGAGCTCTAAATATAACTAAATTTACCTCTATACAAAAGTTAATAGTAACCAAGATGTGTCAAAGTTGAACGTTCGTTGTCGATTATATTGTGTAGTATTTTTTAGGAAAATTAAATAACTTGAAAAAATTATTGTGGGTTGTGGAGGGCTCACTATGCATACGTTTAAATAACCACATCTTAGTGTATTCACGTTTTAATAAAAATATAATTTTTTCATCTTTTAAAAATCTTTAAAAACATAGAATTTAAAAAAAAGACGAAGTTGGGCAATAACTAAATTTGTAGGTATCGTCTCTTAATTATTTTTTTTAATCGCAACCTACAAGTAAACAATTTTCCAATTTCAAATTGCACTGAACAATTTAATTGCAAATATCTCGAAAACGACATTTAGAATACATTAAGGCTCCCTCTACACCCAGCATTAATTTATTTCAACAATTTAATTTTACCGGCCTGAAAAACTCCAAAAACCCAATTTTATGCTAAAACGTTTGCTTTATCCAAAGTTATTTAATAAAATTAAAAACGAACTTTCAACTTTCGTAGTTATCAACTTTTATATAGAAGTACATTTAGTTATAGCATTATTTCGGTATTAGGAATACGTATGTTGTATTATATTGTACAGGCAATTTAAAGACGACTAGTATAACTAAAAAATAAAATTTAAATAAATCACGTAAAATGTAAACTTTTGCCGTCAAACTGTGCCCTTTTATCTTAGCATATAGCTTTGAAATTATAATGATGATGGGATACATAAGTTCATACATACAAAGTGATATTAGACTAACAGAATAAATTTTAAAAACTGAAAAGCAATAGTTTGCTGTTTAACAAGCATTATTGAACATATTTATGCCAAAGAAAACATATTTTTATTAGTATTATATCTTAATTTTTCCCTAGGTTTTTGTGAATTTATTTTGAAAGTGTAATATCTTCTATCATATTGTATATTTATAATTTATAAGTATAGTGATGCTGGTTTCTATCATAATAGTTCATTAAAAAAACTAGAATGGATAAGCTTGATTCACCTCACATGCTTCTTAGGATCAGAAACGGTCATCTGCCATTTAAACTAATATGTAAAATAGAGTTAACATTAATTTTAAAAAGTTACTATGACCAATGTATGACCACCACAATATCGATTGCGTTAGTTTCTATGAAATGATTAATCGAATTGTTGTGGTTAAACCTTTTTCTTGATGTGAACCATTTCTATAAATACTACCTATTCTATATTTCACTTTATAATTAAATTTTAACACAAAATATTTAACTATAAATAACATGACTTAAAATTAATGTGATGGAAAAAGTTTATTTTTTACTCAAATATTTAACGCGGATTACTTTTAAGTCATGGCATAGATTTAATGAATATTAATAAATAGCCCAGTCTCCAGGTGAGTTGAATAGAAGAACATGCAGCATTGTATCTATTTTAAACAGTGATTTATTTAAAATATTTACTTCGATTCGAAAATATTGTTCTATTCCATTGTTCTGGCGACTGGTCCAATATTTCCATAAAGTAAGGTGGAAGTCAAAGGGTTTGTAAAATATCGCGTATTTTTGTTTTCAGTAGCGTCAATTAATTTGGGTTCCACCTTAAGTTTAAATCTTTTAACTAGATGCAAATTAGAGTTAAAATTATTGGTGCTTGCACATGATAATATTGTTGGTCAAAAAAATCATCATAGATTAAAATAATATGTTATCATCAGTCGAAAAATAAATCACTACATTACCTACGCTTTTTTAAAAACGAGATTCGTACTGATACGCTGTTTGTTGTATTATGACGAATGATCTCACATTAAATTTCAATATGTTTTCAATAAATACCTTCAATAAATTTATTATTGCATTATTATTTACTTCACCACAGAGTTTTTAGAATAAATAGGAAATGAGTAGTATAGAAACAAGAGCTCAATATTAACAGATGCTCTACAAAAAAGATATCCTGTTTTTTTCGTAAACCTAGCCATTCAAAAGATATCTTAGGTCAAAATTTAATAAGTTTTGAAAAAAATATTTTTGTTTGAAATTAACTAATTTACAAAAAAGGTTTCTTTCGTCCGACCACCGTAAAAAATATTAATTTTATTTGCCGATTTTTAAAATATCTATAAATTTGTGATTATAATAATTATTCCTAATATTAATTCAGTGAGAATCTTCTACCGGGTCGCAAAAAACAAATTCGGTGCTGTATTAACATAACTATCGTTTAATTTGACACATTGATTTATAAAATTATAATTTGTAAATTTCACTTTATAAATCAATCTTTTTTTGTAAATAGATATTTTTAATTTTGCAAAAATATCCCAACCGACAGTATATTTAACGTTTACGTTTATTTATTTATTTTCCTTATTAAGGAGATCTATGAATTTAATCGGTTAAACTAGGCTCAGTAGTTTTTTGTTTGGTTTTTGTTGGACAATGTTGAATGCAAAATAATTTAATAAAATCACGAGACGGGGTTTTATTTTTAATTATTTTGCATGAAACTATTTTCCTAAAAGAAAAATCAAATAAAAAACTTACTGAGCATAGTTTGACAGATTAAATTTATAGGTTGAGTGATATACCTCTAGATTATTTCTCAAATTAAAGGAAACTATTTGACAATTCATAAAATCTGACGTATGTGTCAAAATTTATAAATATGTTTTTAAAGAAAATTCCAATAATTTAAGGTATGTAATAAGTAATAATTGATATTTCGTAAACTAGATAACTTATTTTTTATTGTTTTTAAAAAAATGTTTGTTAAAACTTGTAAATAACACCATAAAATCGTAAACAAAAATCCAATATGGAGGCTAAAATTTAATCGCTGTTAAATAGTTCGCTTATTTAAACGAAATTTATTCGAAAATTCAAGGCTTTTCATAGGGTTCATATTATAATGAGGGAAATAATCATACTTAAAAGTAACTTACTAACTCAAAAGTATCTTAGTTACTTAAAAGTATCTTAAAAAATATTAATTTTATTTGCCGATTTTTAAAATATCTATAAATTTGTGATTATAATAATTATTCCTAATATTAATTCAGTGAGAATCTTCTACCGGGTCGCAAAAAACAAATTCGGTGCTGTATTAACATAACTATCGTTTAATTTGACACATTGATTTATAAAATTATAATTTGTAAATTTCACTTTATAAATCAATCTTTTTTTGTAAATAGATATTTTTAATTTTGCAAAAATATCCCAACCGACAGTATATTTAACGTTTACGTTTATTTATTTATTTTCCTTATTAAGGAAAAACCTTAAAGGTTTTTTTTTAATTAAAATAATGTTAACTTGTTAATTGCTTTCTATATTTTCAGAAAATAATCAAATTTTCCCAACAAAAAACAAAAGAAAGCTTTTTTGTAGATTAATTTTCAGCAAAAATATGTACCTACTATTTATTTCAAAATCCTACCTATTCTGCAAGTTACAAAATTTTGAACAAAAATATTTTTTTATGAAATTTAGTTTTCCACAAAACCCCCCAAGTCGAATCTCAGAAGTTTTATGATGCCATTATTTGCAAAAGTAAGTAAGTAATCAACAAAATAATAAAAATTCACTTTTTTGCCAATTTCATCAGATTTTTTATAAGGAATGTATTTCCATCTTCAAAACGGTTTAGAACTGCTTCTTTGCTATATATATATATATATATTAGGGTGTCCCTTATTTTTATTTTTTTTACGCATACCCTCTAATTATATTTATTACGTGTTTATATACTTTCAGTACAAATTTCAGCTCATTCTATAAACGGGAACCCGTGCCGACTTGCATCTGAACCCTCCGTTAGCCAACGTTAGGCGCGCGGTATTTTGTAACACGGTTGGTCGCGAGGTCTTCGATCGTAAGTCATTTTGTGTTTGTTATTATGTGACCCTTATATTATAAATTATTGACAAATGTTAAAATATAATTTTATTTATGTTTATACTTTGATAAAAATGTATATTTTCACAGGGAGTGACTAGTTACCCGGAAGGGTCTGGTGAATAAGCCGTAAACTCTGAAATTGATAAACTTAATGGGTTTTACTCTAAATAACTAAAAGAGTCTATTGTGAGAGATGACTACCGAAAACTTATTGAACTGTCTGAAATATTTTTGGGAGGACATCAAGAAAAGAAATGCTTATAAAAAGTTGAAATTTCATATAACAGTATATTTTAGCAATACTAATTAGTATATTAATAATAATAATTATAAATACATTTATTTACCCATAAAAAGAAAATACATATAATTTACAAGAATTTGTATGTAATTAGGTAAAATGGCCATGCTCAGTTGTTGGTTTTATTTATTTAAGTACTTTTGTTTAATCACGTTTAATAAAAGCAACTCCTGGTCTTCCGCATAAACCAAAATAAATTAAATTAAATTCACTTTACTACTATTATACATGATTATATAGATATACATAAACTCATTGATATGAGACATAAATATAAAGAAAAAAAATAAAATAAAAACACACAATATGAGAGAAAATAGAAAAAAAAGATATATAAGAATACATTAAAGCTTGCCATTCTGAAGAAAACGCTTAAATTTTATTGAAAATTTACTTAGAGACAATGATTTAAACTCATCAGGTAGTTTGTTATATAAAGCTGCTACATTATAGGAAAATCCTCTCTCGAAGAGAGCTGTTTTGTGCTGTGGTACAGTTAGGATTTTTCTGTGCCTAATGTTAATATTGTGTATGTCTGTATGATATCGTATTTTATTATAAAGATATTCTGGTGATTTTAAACAAATTATTTTGTGGTGAATCCTTTTATCTGCCATTTTTAAACAACCCTTAATATATTTAAGGGATAAAATCAACTAAATTAGTGAAACAAATGCAATAATATTAATTAGTAATCATATTTAATAAAATCATTAGAAAAATACAGTCATGAAGTATATCTTCTTTTTAAAGTGTTTCGTGTTACAAAATACCGCGCGCGCCTAACGTTGGCTAACTGAGGGTTTAAGTCGGCACGGGTTCCCGTTTATAGAATGAGCTGAAATTTTTACTGGGAGTATATAAACAAGTAATAAATATAATTAGAGGGTATGCGTAAAAAAAATAAAAATAAGGGACACCCTAATATATATATATCGGTTAAGGAGTTATCGGTTATTTGCGAAACTCTTTATTTACATCCATTTAGCCAGTTGAAGTGTCGCTAACCAAGAAACTGAAAGGGGATAAAAAATTTTCAAGATCATGCTGCTAAAAGTTTAAAAAAATTAAGATGATCAAGACGTGTGTCGAAACGTAAACGATACTGAAATAATTTAAGTTTTTTTTGTTTGCATACTAATTTTTGTTTGTGTTTCAAAAATCTTTTTAATGTTACAATATGGTTAATAAATTAAGTTAGAATTTCAATGTTAACCTTTTTCTTTTCAAAACTATTTGCAAAAACATTTTTTTTTTTCTGAAAAACCATAGGAGATTCATATTTACGATTATCACTTTTATTAGTCATGCCTATTAATATATTGGAAAAAAAAATTGTTTTTGTTGCCCCTGAAAAGTAAACCAAATATCAAAGAGTTTTGCAAATAATGTCCTCATATCTTATATTAACTTTAGACTTTTTTGCAGACTAAATTTCCTACAAAAAATAAAACAGCGAAAAACCATAAACACATCAGTTGCATAGGAAATCAAACAATAGCAAAATTTACCTAGTCTGTTTTTTTTTAAATTATGTCAAGAGATCAAAACTTGACTGAATTATTATAATAAATATATTTACAGGATTAGAGTCCTGTTCAATGTTAATTATTGGCAGAATATACTTTATTGTGAATTATTGTAGCGGTTTTAAAAAAAAGTTTTTTTCTGTATTTTTACATAAACCTCCCTCCCAAATATGACGTTCGCTCAGGTAGCGAGGAAATATGAAAGTAGAGAAAGGTATATTTTAAATTATTACATTTTAGGTGCCATATTTAGACCTTATATACAGGATGTTCTGCAAAATCCACGGCAACTACATTTTTTTCTGTTTTTTACTCTGGTTTTAAAAACAGTCCTACCCTCATATAAACCTATAGAAATTTTATTAGTCATAATAAAAGTAAGTATAGATTTAATCTCTTAACCTTTGCCAAATTGTATTTATAAAATGTTCGTCTGGTTCAAATACATATTAAATAAATACTTTAATAAATAAAATAACGATGTACTTAAATAACCATTTATTTCAACAACATTTATCGATATCTATAATAGATAAATTGATTGGTTAACAAAAAAGGAACTAAATTGAATATAATATAATTCCATAAAAAAAAGATTGTTTAATTTAATAATAAATTCTTTAGAAATAGGCTAATAATATCTTACATTAAATTCAACGTTTATAAATAAATTATCTTAATTAATAACACTAGTTAAAATCACAAAAGACCATAATTAATTAAAATATAAATGCAAAATTTGTGCCAATTCAATGTTTAAAAAATGTTTAATATAAATTTGTCGGTCTTTATCTATAATACTCTACTTGTAATGTATGTCACATAAATAATAAATCTTCATTTTTAAGCCCACACCTATAAAAAAATACATAGCATATAAATGTCTTGACAAATTGGTGGCTAACTTTATTTATTAATTTACGCTTTATTTATTTTATAATAATATTAACAATGTGTTAAAAAATGTAAAATGATTTTAATAAATAATTTTAATCAAGTGATTAAAATAAAAAAACTAAAATTATGAAATTAAACTTGTACTAGTGCATTTGTAACAGCTGTTACAAAATAACAATGATCTAAATATTAAAAAAATAATAGATAATTTTTACACATTTTCCTTTTTTCACAGATGTGTAAAAACAGAAAAATACCAGTTAAAAATGCATACTTAAAATTTAAAAAAATCACATTTTTTTATTTTTATAAATCTTGGTTTATATTAACTGTTTTTATAAAATCTTACCCTTAAAGTGTAGTCCCATGAGCCCGTTGATAAGGCTGTACCATCTGGCGAAACTTGTAAACATGAAACTCTGTTTTCATGCCCATACAATAAACACACCCTAACGCATTTTAAGGTGTCCCATACGTTTACCGTGTAGTCATTGTAACCAGCAAAAAGTAACCGACCTGTAATAAAACCAGTATTTTTTCACGGAAAACTACGAAATGTATTTTAAATTTTTTTAACAATAAAAGAAATTTTAACCTAAAAGCGCAATCCTTTCTTATAACTTTAATACCTACCATTGCTGAAAATTATCCTAGTTTAAAATTTTTAGGCTTATTCTGAAGGATTAAAAAAAAACAGAAAAAGCAGAAGAATATTCTAGATTTGCATTTCTAAGAACCTATGTATTATTTAAAGACAAAAAAAAATGTGTTACCTGATACCGAAAAATCGACAGAGTTAACACCAAATATGATGCTTTCTTTGCTGTAGACAGCCACCTCTTTATCCGCACGTAAATCAAAAAGACGACACTGAAAAAATATTGGACTGTTAAAAAATGTCAACATTTTTTAACACCCTAAAATTAAGCCCAAACAAAATTGTAAAACAAAAATTTGCGCTAGTGTTTCCTCTTTCGACCAATAGTCGCACACAATATTTTATTCAACTACCGCAAGAAATATACTTAACACTGTAATCACGAATTATGAACAATTATAGAACGAAAACAATAATGGCGAATGAATTTTAAAGCCAATTTTATTTGATATTTTATCTAACATATCACAATTAGGTATTACATTTATTACAGCTATTACATTTACAAATCATTTTAAGCTTATAATTTAAATAATTTTTTGGGAAAAAATGCGCAACCTTAAATTTTAATGTAATACCTATAATAACACATTTTATTGTTTAAAATGCTCTTAAAAATTATTAAATATAAGATAATTAGAGATGGAATTTTAGGTGTTAAAATTATTTAGTTTATTATTGTATAAAACTTATTTAAGCAAGATTTTTATGATTTAATTTTTTTTTTTAATAACTGACGAATAATCTGTAAAAATATTAAAATACCATTTTAATTTTTTAAATTGGAGGACCATTTAAAATTTTTTTGTAAACAATAGTGTTTTAAAATTTCCGGAAAACTTGAGCAGGCGGAAAAACCAGAAAAATTGACTTTAGCGTTTTTTTCATTTTATTCAAAATTTAATGCAAAAATACACTGCGCGTGTTACGAGTGTTTTTTGAGAAAATATTTGTAAAGCCCTTTTATTTAATAATAAAAAAAAGTTTGAAAAATAACTTTTAGGGAATTTTAAGTAAATAAAAAATATGCTGTTAAAGACCGTATTTTTGTTAGTATAACCTGAAAATTTTGTACAAATCAAACGAACAGTAACAAAGACACAGCGCTTCAAAGTCGGTAAAAATTACCCCTTTTTGATTATTTTGCTGATAATTTTTGACGACTTTGAAGCGCTATAGTTTCGTTACTGTTCGTTTGATTTGTACAACATTTTCAACAAAAATAAGGTCTTTCACAGCATATTTTTTACTTACTTAAAAAAAATTTCCCTATAAAAGTTTTTTTTTTCGAGCGTCTTTTATTATTAAATAAAAGGGCTTTAAGGATATTTTCTCGAAAAACCATTGAACACGTAAACTGTAAGTTAAAGTATTTTTATCCAAAATTTTATAAAGATTGGTAAAGGCGTTTTGGAGTTGGATTTTTTTTTACTTGTTAACGTTAATTTTGACGCGTAGTGTATTCAAAAACCCATTTTTCTGAAAATTTACAAATTTTTACGGATAATATCCGTACACTGATATTCCGACACTGATTATAATCACACAATATTATGAAAAATATAATAATTATTTCTTTCATTTTAATTATGTAGGATTCTATTTTTTTAATACCGGGCCTCAAAAAGAACATATTTGGTGCTGTTTTGTAATTGGATATTTTTAATGGACTTCTTTTTGCAAAGAAGACCCAATCGAAAGTATATTTAACGTTTACTTTTATTTTCTTAAATCAATTTCATTCAATTTAGATTTTTTTTCGTAACAAAGGATATTTTTTTTAATTAAAATAATGTTAAGATGTTTGCAACTTTTTTAAAATGTGTATTTTTCAACAAAAAAAAACAATTTTCCCAAAAAAGACAATTTTTCCAAGGCGTGGAAAAAAAACGAAAAAAAAAAGTTTTTTCCTGCAGTTTTCCAGTATTTTTCCGACACTTTAAAACCATAGTAAACGAGAATACAATTGCTGACAACAAAAAATTTACATTCATTATGAAATGTTGAAAAAAATAATTTCTCATGAAAAAGCACAAATTTGATAGAACAGGTAAAAATGCATGTTTAACAAGAGATTGATTTTCAATTTTTTTATCAATTTTAACTTCAGCCTGTGGGCGAAATGCTATTTCGGCCACTAGTAGGGCCACGAAGTTACCTAGTTCTTGCGGGTTTGGAATAAAACCAATAACTAAATTATTTTTTTCGGGGATTTACAGAAATTATATTTTCCGGAAATTATAAATCTTTAATTTTTATGCAAATTATGTTGTGTGCATTAGGCGATGGGAAAACTTTTCCTGTGCAGAATACAGAAATGTTAACAAAGTTCAAAAATTGATACTTACTGTGGCATCATCGCTTCCTGTGGCAACTGCATCCCCACTTGTATGAAATTTGACGCTGTTAACATCCGATTCATGCCCTTCAAAGGATTGCACGCATTGTCCAGACCGCATGTCCCATATTAGGACCATTTTGTCGCAACTCTATCAAGAAATATTATTTAAACTAAACCATTTCCCTCAATTTTTTTTTGTTTTAGGTACATACCGTGCTTGCAAATCCAAGTCCGACCGCGTTGGGAAGGATGGTTGTTCAATACCCGCGTGAAAAGAATAAGGATAGAATGCCAAACAGAATTTGATTGGTCAGAGCGTCAGGCGTGCGTATTGAAAGCGCCTTTTGTTTGGCGTTTTATCCTTGTTATTTTCACGCGTCCTTCCCAAACCGGTCGGACTTGGATTTGCAAGCACTGTATACCAAAATCAAGGTTTTGTGAAGGCAGATCAGTTAAAACTACATATTCAACTAATTAAAACTTAAATGTAACATTTAAATGTTTTACCCCTGAAACAAAGGTGTTTCCAGTTTCTGATGGGGCCAAATCAATGGACATTACATCGGCGGAATGACCATGAAAACTTTGCAACAGTTGACCTGATTCAACGTCCCATAGTGCACAAGTTGAGTCTCCACTTCCAGTCAAAATCTAAATTAAATATTACAAAGAAAATCAGATTTAATTTGAAATCGCCTAATATTTTTTTTATTAAAACAAAAAGAAATGTTTATTATTTTTTCAAGAAAATATACATATGAAAGAGTCCCTGAAATTTCTTATTAAAAAATAATAAACTGAGACAGCTAATAAATATAATACTAGATTCATAAATAAGACCTTAAAATAACAAAAAGTAATAGAAAATGTTTCAATTAAATATAAATAAGGTTGAAAGTTAGCATTGCACTCTATAACCCCATGTCCCTATCATATTGCAATAGTGAAAACTTGGATATATTTCACAGGTTTTGTATAAAAAAAGAATTCTAAAACTAAAATGAAATAACAAAAAAGTAGCTCATCAGTACTAATAAGGAATTTGATAAAATTTTAATTTTTCATTTTCAATAAAATAAAATAATTGAATTTTACAAAAAAAAACAAATCCGCCGTATCTTGTTTTTTACTCGTTTTTGAACTTTTTTAATGGCGTTTTTTTTTTTTTAATTTATAGAATACTAAAAAAATTCACAAATATTAACCTCTGTATTTTCAAAAATATAGAAAAAATATAAATAATTATTTTAAAACGTCATAAACTTTTAAAAATTGTTATTACATATATTTGGAATTTTTAAGTGTCAATAATAAGAGTTTTTGAAAAAAAATTAAAATATATGGCCAGTTCTACTCTTACTACTAGGTAATTTTTGGCGGCTTTGCTTATATTACGAAAAATTTCATACAAACCGGATTAATTTATATGTTTATGCACGATGACATTATAATATGACAATTATAACAAAAATTCTTTGACGTAAACGTCTTTTTATAGCCCGCGGGCGTTATTATGGCCCAGCGGGCTATAATGAAACGTCAAAAATTAAAAACAACAATGTTACACCATTTGATATATTCGAAGTAAGTTTTTTCGTATAAAGATTTTGATTTTACCGGCAGCAGGCCGCAATTTTTCGCCTTTTCAGCTGCTTCCTCAATTTCATTTATCTTTAAACTTTAAAACTGACTGATGTCAGTTGACATTATAATATGACAATTATAACAAAAATTCTTTGACGTAAACGTCTTTAAAAACAATAATATATTAAAAATAATAATATATTAATCGTGCATAAAGTTTTGTATGCATTGCTGGCATAACTGGTTTTTATGGTCCTACGACGCTTTTTTAGCCCTCGCGCTAACGCGCTCGGGCTCGAAATAGCGCCTCGGACCGTAAAAACCTTAGTATGCCCTTAATACATAAATAACTATTATAGTCAAGCACTTAAAATTATTTAGATCTAAAATTATTTTTATGTCAAAAATAGTTCCAAGTGCCTAATTCTCAGTATCCTGGCTTTTCCCGCGAACAAAATGAAGTCAAAAAATTATAAAGTTTATCAATAATTTTGTACTGAAAACTGTGTGGGCATTAAATACATTTATTATTATTATTAAAAAAAAATTATCACATTTTTCTAAAAAATAGCGACGTTGTCAGGGTATAGGTAGGATAAGATAAGATAAGATTATTGTTTAGTGGAGGAAGTTGCGACGAAAATCTCAGGATCCTGGTAAGAATTTACTTACAAACGAAACAAAAAAATATCATTTTCATTCAATTATCATTTAATTTGTAAATTAATTAATTGTAGGTGAAATTTCAGTTTTTTAACTTTTTACATTAAAACTCACTATAATTTTGTAAACATAATATGTTATTAACAATGTTAACAATAATTTATAAAGTTTATAGATATTAGGAATTTGACACAAAAAACAACGTTGTCAAATTCTAGGAATCCTAAAATTATAATTGCTACATTGAGTAAAACAAAAATATTTAGTGGATTATGCAGCACAATAATTATATTTTTAAAATGCTGTTCTGTTTTGAAATAGTACATTATTATACAAGAGATAATGCAGGCTATTATTCACGAGGATGAGGATGAGGTATCGAGTTGCCAGACTAGAGATGTAAATCATCCAAGTGAATATTGCACATAATCTCCAACGTAATAGTATACTTTATCTACTCCAATAAGTACATAATTGAATGATTTTCAAAAATAAATAAATAAAATCTGACATCTGTCAAATGGTTAACCTTTCTTTTTACCAATTTTAAATGTTATTATAGTCGCCTTCTTCCAACTTAAAACCCAATTGGTTCAAATTACAGTGAATATTGAAATCGGCCAATCACTGATGCCGAACAACGTGAATAATGAGTTTATTATTCACGATGTTACGCAGGACATTTATAATGTTTAACAATATTCACGGAAAACCCCCAAAATTATGCAATAGGAGTAGATAAATTTCTTTTTGTTCTGCTATCTTTGTAAAATTAAGGCTTTAAATAGGATATTTATTTAAAATATTGAAAAAAACAAAAGTATATTTATATACAGTACCAACATAATCAAAAGTGTCAAATTTTGAATAAAAAAAAACAAATTTTTGTTTCTGTTTAGGACTAGTTATTAGTTTCCTGGCACTTAATTTTCTTAAAATGGCTATATTAAAATTTTCAAAATCTAGCCTAAATTTCTGGTAAGAAATTTATTATTAAATTTTTGAATAAAGAAACAATTAAGAAAATTTAATAGAATTTAATGAATTGGAAATAATAAAATATTTTTGCACTAACAGGTTTAGAACTGATTAGTAAATAAAAAATAACAAAAATAAAAATATTTTTTTAACATTTTAAAATAAAAATCTTTTATTTACCTGTTGATCTGAATTAGGAAAAATGCAGCAGCTCATATAACTTGTATGTGTCCCCACAGTTTTCTTCTTCAAAGTAACATCTTCATCCAAACTAAGAGGATACACAGTAACCTTATTGTCAAGCCCTCTAAAATCAAACCCAAAAAAATACGTAAAACAATAAACCTTCTCAAAAGAATGATAATGTGAAATACCCGCAAGCCACCAAATTCCCAGAGGGTGCATATGCACAAGCCATCACCCATGTCGTTGGCATTGTAACGGCATGTTCCTTATTAGTCGTAAAAGCATCCCAAATAATCATCTTACCATCCTAGTAAACACACATTGATATTTAAAACACAAAACCGTCACCCAACATGCAAATTTATGTACTAATTTCACAAATGAACACCTACAAAAATGATAATACAATACCTGAGATGAAGAAACGATATGCCTCTTATCGGGAGACCAATCAGAACACAAAACTTTGGCCTGATGCCCCTTTAAAGTCCTTCTAGGCTTTATATTCATATAATTAATAATATCCAACCTTTCAGCCACAGTGGCCACTAAAACAACTATTCAAGAAATCTCTTAATAAAAAAAAAATATCTTACAAGTAACATCGTTTAATTTCTGTCTCTCGTCCTCCAATTTTTTCTTCAGGGATTCTGCTTCCTTCGTTAACGATTCTATAGTTTCAACGGGACAATCTTTAGTTTCATTTTCCATTTTAAAAACTTTATTTTCTGTTGCGGAAGAATCAATAAACAAACGCGCCTGGGGAATTTCGCTTTGTCAGAAAGTTACCAAATTTATTTTAAGGTTAGGGCGTCCCTTAAAAGTTACTTGGCAACGTTGCATTTCGTGATAAACCTCTTTGAACTATTTACTAAAAGTGTTTTTTAAGTAATAATAAGGTTTAAATGTAAACGATTATAGTCGCGGCCAAATCTGTATGGGTGCACGTCATCAACGGCATATGACGTCAGCGTTAAGGTCTATTCATACGTGCCCAGACACAATCTAACGCTCGTGTATTGTTGACTGTTTATAGCGGTGGGGGCTGTTATTAAGATAGAATTATAACGTCCTTGTTATAATCTTCTGTACTAACTAATTAGGAGTTTGTTACAGGCAAATTTTTATTAAATGTGTTTAAAGAGAAAACAAACGGAGTTTATTACATTTTTATTACATATGCACTTAACAAAAAAATACTAAATTATCAGAAACACAAAAATAATAAATTACCAGTCGTCCTTGTCATCAGAGCAAACCAGGTCAGAATTGAAGTCTGATTATTTCCCCAAATTTATTATTAAGGGCGCAATGTCTTCGAAATCTAATAATGGCTAGTTGCCAACAAGCCTTATATCATTGTTTGCACAATCCAGGGATAGAATCTTATAAACATAATGTATAATATTATTTATAATAATTTGCAACAAACGATGCTTCCGGACGAAATGTCACAAAAATACGTCAAATATAAAATGACATCGACCCATCAATAATATTGAACGGTGCGCGCCAGCCTTAAGCTATTACCAACTGGCACACACAAAAATTACTAAGTTAATGGTTTTATTTTGATAATTTCGTGAAAAAACGTTTTAAAACAAGGAAATTGTTACAGTTCTTGGTAAACAATACGCAAATGAACGATTTCTTTTTAATAACACATTAGAATTACGCCTTAAAAAAGCAAATTTAACGGCAGTAACTTTACAATTCAAAGTTGGTAATGCTGACGTCATTATATCTCATTGATGACGTGCACCCATATAGATTTGGCCGTGACTATAGCTTGCGTAAAGTACTCGAACAAAGATAAATATATTTAATTTAAACCATGCAACGTTGCCACATATGGTTAGTTATTTATTGTAATTTTTGTGGGAAAATTAGGTTGGTGTCAATGTTTAATGTTAAATATGAAGTTAATTAACCTAAATGTTTGAGATAAGGAAGAATTAATTAATTTATTATTAATATATTATAATTTAGAACTTAATTTACTTTATTGTCAGGTAAAAATTATACATTCTTTATCCACGTCGTAAAATGTAAATTGATTTAGTAGCTTTTAAAAATTGTTTCCCAATTTTTATGTTTAAAACAAAGATAATAAAATTTAAATATTGCCAAGTTTATATGACCATTAATAACACCCATAGATAATAAATAAACCAATAATACTGAAATTGTAAACAAGTATTAAATAGTTAAGATTTTAACCCATAAATATATGTAGAGTCAATAACAAACATTATTTACTTTTAGATCAAAATGAGTCAGGATTTGGATACCCTAAAGATATTTAATAGTACTTTAAAAGAATATCTTCAAAATTTTCTAACATTAGGTAAAGACATTGTTAAAAAAGGTGACCACTTTAATGAACTTATTGAGGAATACCCAGAGAGCACAGACGCTGTGGCAACAAAAATTTACGAAAGCTTAGTCAAAGTAAAAAAAAATATAAATAGATTATTGGAAACAATTGAACATGAAAATGATCAATTTGCCAATAAACATGGTATTACATTAGAAAAATTTACCAATGCTATTAAAGTAGGAACCGCAGAGGATGAAGGTTTGTAGGTAAATTTTATTTACATTTTGGTTGTAATTCTTTTTTTAGCCAGTAAAGAAGAAAGAATTGCCAAGAAAAATAATAATATGATACCAGAACCAGAACCAGAAAGTATAAAAAAGGAAATAAAACCAGGTTTGAAAAATTCATTAAAAAAATGATTTAGGTACTTATTTTTATTTTTTTATAGAAGGTTCAGATAAAAGTGATGAAGCTTCCAGTAAGTTTTGAATTTTAGTTTTTAAATAAACGGTAAATTGGCAATTAATTTTCACAGATTTAAAAGGAAAAAAAGAATTTGCAGAATTAGAAGAGGCAGAATTGTTAGAATTGTTGAGATTTCCATTTTTGTGTATGTAAATCATATATGTTTATTTTGAAAAAAAAGACTGCTTTTAAATAAATTTATATAATACTAAAGTACCTTAAGTAATACTTAATTGCATTTAAGTTTATAAGTCATTTGTTTACGGTTATTTTCTTTATAATTCCCACCTTTATTTCATTACAAATAATTCAGGTTGTCTCTGTTAGTTTAAGACCTTTATACACATTACCTACATATTAAACTCTGAGAACAATTATTATGCAGAAGAAAATTGTATTCTTCTGTATAAATAAATATTATTTATAAAATATCAAAATTAAAGTAATAAAATAAAATTGTGTAATTTTTTGTATACTTATGATGACAGTTACCGGAATAACGATTTATTTTTTGCTTATACAAAATCTTGTACCCTTAAGTAAAATGGACCCATATACTAAGTTACCAATAGTTGACCTTACACAAAAAAATCCAAATGAATAAAAAATATATTTTTTATATATTTTTCATTTTAGCGTCATCTAAAACAAATGGGGTACCAAATGACATTAACATAGAGAATCGTAAGTTATATTGATTTTTAACGCAAAAAATTAAGTTTAATAATTTTCAGGAAACCCTGCTGACTTACTTAAATTGACTGATACTGTAGCAGGCGAACTGGAACCTACAGGTAAGAATTTTGTAGGGATGCTTTTTTACCTTGTATTAATTATTTCAAATTTAATATGTAAATTAGACTTGGCCAAAAAAATCGACTATTTTTTTTTTGGAAAGTATATCAAAAATATGGTTTGGGGTGACAAAAAAAATTATGGTAAAAGTTTGAGTACATAATATTAATATTAAGAGGTCTATCATCGCAATTTTAGATTTTTTTTTCCTGAGCGAGTTTTTGTCTCAGAACTCCCAAATCATTGAGTTTAACAAAATTGACTTAAGAATATTTTTTGAAGAAAATTGAATGCTCTACAAAAAAGGTTAGATTGGAATTTCCCGTTAGATGAACCGTTTTCTTACAATCATGCCTTAAAAATTGGTATAGTTTTACAATTTGATCTTTTAACTTTGGAATTTTGTAATTTAAGTAAAAATCTGTACCCTGAAAAAAAACGATAAATATTCTTATGGGAAATCAAATGCTCTACAAAAAAAGTCTTTTATCATTTTTGGCTAAATTCACTCCATCAAAAGTTATTCAAGGTTAAATTTGAAGTCAAAACGAAATTTTAACCTTGAATAACTTTTGATTGAGTGAATTTAGCCAAAAATGTTAAGAGGCTTTTTTTGTAAAGCATTTGATTTCCCATAAGAATATTTATCGTGTTTTTATGGGTACTGATTTTTACATGAATTACAAAATTCCAATTTAAAAGATCAAAATGTAAAACTATACCAATTTTTAAGGCATGATTTTAAGGAAACGGTTCATCTGACGGAAAATTTCACTCTAACCTTTTTTGTAGAGCATTTAATTTTCTTAAAAAAATATTTTTAAGTCAATTTTGTTAAACTCAATGGTTTGGGAGTTCTGAGCCTAAAACTTGCTGAGGAAAAAAAAATTAAAATTGCGATGATAGACCTCTTAATATTATGGACTCAAACTCTCACAATAATTTTTTTTTGTCATCCCAAACCATATTTTCGATATACTTTTCAAAAAAAAAATAGTTGATTTTTTTGGCCCAGTCTAATGTAAAGTAATAAATTAATTATTAGTTTTGTCATAAATAAATAATTCTAATAAATCTTATGAATAAAAAATAGATATTTACATATTTTTTATTTAAGCAACAATATTTAATGCAACAGATTCAAGGGATATTAAATTAGAGAGTGGTGAGTTATTTTGATTTTTTGTGCAAAAATATAAAAATCATTTATATTTTTCAGATAGTCCGGCAGACTCACAGAATTTGAATAAATCTGAAGAAGAAGGAATTAAAAAAGGTAAGAAATTCTAAAAAAATACCCTGTATGAAAAAAATTAACCCCTCCATTGAACCCTCAAATAAAAATGGTAAGTTTTGAATTTTAGTTTTTAAATAAACGGTAAATTGGCAATTAATTTTTACAGATTTAATACGAAAAACTAAATTTGCAGACTTAGAAGAAGAAGAATTGTTAGAATTGTTGAGATGTCCATTTTTTTGTATGTAAATCATAATATTATTTTAAAATGTATATTTTGTGTAAAAATTACTAATTTAAAATAAATATAATATTTTAGTACCTACTAAATTTAATTTAAGGACAATAACTGTATAATTAACATTTTTTACATAAACCTTTTTATTTATGGCTGAATTTTTAAGTTTTTTGGAGTGTAATATCTACATTTTTAAATCCGGCCGCGAACAAGGAAAATCCAGATTATTTAAATGTATTTAAATCTTCATTATAATATATTATATGGCCGGATTTAAAAATGAAACTGACAACTTAAAAAAACTTATAGGTACTTAAAATAACTTCCCCTCTTGATATATATATGATATTATATAATGGTATATTTTGTAAAAATCTAATAAAATTTATGCTAACAATAATTCTATAAAGTAATATAGGTATTATCAATAGTTTAGTTATAAATGAAAATCTAATGAATAAAAAATAAATATTTAGGTCAATATTTTTGATTTTAGCAACACAATCAAATGATGTTGACCAAACAAATTCAAATGATATTAAATTAGAGATTGGTAAGTTATTTTGATTTTATTGGCCAAAATTAAAAAAACTAACACTTAGATTTTCCAGAAAGTCCGGCAGACCAAAATTTGACTGAAACGGAAGCAGAAAGAATTAAAAAATCTACAGGTAAAGAATTCCAAAACATTTTAGTGTTAAATAGGGTTTTCTTATTTCACTAAGATACATTTATATAAATAGAAAGTTTTATTGTTCTATCAATATCTTTATATTTTAGATATCCAATCCAATGAAGAAGAACCCAAGGTTATATCAGAGGATGAAAATTTAGGTATGTAAGATGTAATAAAAATAGATAACAGCTTTTTTAACAATTTATTAAAGAAAACCCAACTAAATCCGTGGAAGAAAATTGTGATAAAGAAAAAGACACTGGACAAGAAAGTCAAAATATAAATACTGCCAATAAGGAAAATTTAAATACAGAAAATTTAAATGTGGAAGCTGGTTCAGATGGAGGTAACTTTTAAAAGACGTCTAATTAAATGTTTTACTAATTGTAATTTTTTTATTTTTAAGAAGATTTTTGCTTTGTTCCTCCTCTGGAAAAATCTTCTATCTCTGATGTTATTGATGATATTTTTAACGAATCCGATGTTGGAGGTAAAAATTTTCATAGTTACTAATATTTATTTTATTTTATTCTTTTCCAAACTTACCAAATTTACCGTTTAAAATCCTTCCCATTTGTAATGAAATATTTAGTTAAAATTGTGTGTTCTTTATTTTGTTTTTGTTTTATTTTTAGTACAAAACTCACAAAATTCTGAGTGCAGCAACTCATCATTAGTTTTTGATGTGTCTAATTGCATGATAGGTAAATTTTTAATTAAAGAGCAATTTTTAACAAATATAATTTGGTAGAGGGTTCTAGATTATTTTTTTAATTTTAGTTCCAAACTCGCAACATTCCGATTCTAGCAATTCATCATTAGTTTTTGACGTGTCTAATTGCATAATAGGTAAATCCTTTATTTAAATAGCATTTATCACTAAAAAATTAAAAACTCAAGTGACGCCATCTGCCGTGTTGCACTTTTTAAAAGAAAAACATACATTAAGTCCAATGGCAAATTTACGTGTTTTTATTTTAATTCTTTCTTTGGTATTGTGTAGTATCATATATTGGGATTGATTTTTAGTAGTCAATCTGTCAAAGAATCAGGGGGACTTAATTTAGAAAATGTGCATGCATTTGATATCCATTTAAAACATTTTGTAGTTTATTTTTTAAATTTTTATTTAAGGTGGTAGTTTTGATTCATTGAAAGACATTTCAGATGATGATACCATCGGTAAGTTTTCCTGTTTATTTAAAGCAGTTTGAAGAATTTTAGATTTCTTTTATACATATTTTTTCTTCTATAATATTTTCTAGTTGCATTTTTAAGAGCACTGGAATCTAAAAACAAAACAGATGAATCAGGTATCAAACATTTTTTTATCACATTAAATTCAAAGAGTCTGGGTTCCAAAAACTGCTTTTATTATTCACAAAAAAAAATTGTTTTGTTGCATGGTAGAAATATAGATAAGAAAGAAAAAGTATCATAAACCATAATCTTAATACAAATTTGTAATGCTTTTTTGTTCATTATGCTTGATACTTTTCTTTTTACCCAGACTCAAAAAAAAACTTCTCGTCGATTTTTACTCATAAGTTAAACAAAACTTCTTCGAAAAATTAAATCATGTTATTTTTACATACCATACCAGAATTAAATATGGTTCATTTCATCAGTGTTAAATCATGTGGCAATGTGACAAAATCGGCGAGATCTTTTTTAAATACCTATTATATAAATTGGTTCTCATTTTGTGCTTTTTTAGTTCACAGTAGTCAAGAAACCTACATTGTACCTGACAATGACGAGGATAACAATATAGACCGTAAATATAAATATATTCATAGCTTTTAAGCTTAAAAATCACAGTTCAATATTAGGGTGATTCATTTCCGCAAAGTTTTTGTTTTCTTCGGTGCTCAAGCAAAATATTAATCTGCATATAGAAAAAAAAAATTCTCAACAAGTTTGAGCTCTTAATATAAATTTTAAGTACTTACTATTTAAATTTAAAATTTTACCGTTTAAAATGCATGTAAAAAATATATTTTTTTTTCAAATTTCTAATGCTTACCCACCTTTGACAATATTGCAAATCGGTTTAATACACCTTATGGGGAATTTCACGCTCTTTAAAATTGCTTTTGAGTTTTTTTTTGTAACTCGCATTGGTTCACCAGTAGGAGTCGTCAAAGGACAGTTTTTGAAATTTTAATTTTAAATTTTTTCTAACAAACCGCAAAAAGTAGGGAGAAAAAAGGGCTGAATCATAAAAAAAAGTTATCCAACCAATATTTAATGAATTTACAGCCATTTTTATAACTGAAAACGTAAGAAATTGATAATTACCAACTCATAATGTTATTTAGATTGATTTTTTCTATTTATTATCATTATATTTCCCTACACTAAGAAGTTTTTAAAATTATTGATTTCTCACTTATAATGAATATGAAAACAACAGATAAATTCATAAAAAAAAACAATAAGAAAATTGTAACGTGGATTTTGCAATTTTTCAACATTTCTGTCATATAGCAAAAAAATATAAATGAAGATTACCTAATTTTTTGAAGCGAAATTTGAAATATGTTACATAACCTTCTGTATATTAAAGTTTTGTTGTTTTTTTATGAATTTATGTGTTGTTTTCATATTCATTATGAGTGAAAAATCATAATAATTTTAAAAAAGTTCTTAGTGTATAGTAGAGGATCCCAAGTAAGGTCGACCTTCGCCCATCTGCTTACCAGATGAAAATTATATTTTATCAAATAAAATATGTTTCTGAACATAAACCAATAGGGTTGCCATAAAAAATATGATCAAGGCTAGCTATAATAAATAAAAAATTTAAAAAAAATAATTAATTTTTTAAATTTCACCGACTTGCTTGCCAAATGAACGAAATTCCAATGGAAAGCATACAACATACAGAATATGTAACAGCTAGGTTGCCTACCTTTTTCTGGTCCCTATTACCTGGTTGCTTTGTACAGGGTGATCCCCTATAATGTCGCCCCCCTTTAACTTTTTTATTTTAAGTGTCCCAAAAAATTTAAAAGTTTGGTTATGTAGGTACTAAAAAATACTTTTTTTCTACGTATAAAGAAAATTGGAAAATTGATCAGTATACAGGGAAAAACAAAAAGTTTATTTTTTTTCAATGGATCACCGTATATATGAATTTATTTTTCGATTCCTTGTAAAATTCTGAGCATAATTTATATAACAAACCATATACCTAAATTCAACCGTTTCTGAAATATTCGCATTCGAAATGTCATCATTAAATGTTTTTTTAAACTGTTAGAAATCAAGAAGCCTCAGTATACCAAAATTTTTATTGAAAATAAATTACTATAGTGACATTATGTCAATAAGTGTTGTTAAATAAGTAAAAATGGCTTACTCAGACAGAGAAAAACAAACTATTTCAACTTATTATTTTAAAAATAATTTAAATATTTCAGAAACGGTTGAATTTAGGTATATGGTATGATATATGAAATATGCTTAGAATTTTACAAGGAATCGAAAAATAAATTCATATATAGGGTGATCCATTGAAAAAAATAAACTTTTTGTTTTCCCTGTATACTTATCAATTTTCCAATTTTCTTTATACGTAGAAAAAAAGTATTTTTTAGTTCCTACATAACCACACTTTTAAATTTTTTGGGACACTTAAAATAAAAAAGTTAAAGGGGGGCGACATTATAGGGGATCACCCTGTACAAAGCAACCAGGTAATAGGGACCAGAAAAAGGTAGTTACATATTATGTATTACGTATTATGTATGTTGTATGCTTTCCATTGGAATTTCGTTCATTTGGCAAGCAAGTCGGTGAAATTTAAAAAATTAATTATTTTTTTTTTAATTTTTTATTTATTATAGCTAGCCTTGATCATATTTTTTATGGCAACCCTATTGGTTTATGTTCAGAAACATATTTTATTTGATAAAATATAATTTTCATCTGGTAAGCAGATGGGTGAAGGTCGACCTTACTTGGGATCTTAGACTAGTAGGGAAATATAATGATTATAAATAGAAAAAATCAATCTTAATAACATTATGGGTTGGTATTTATCAATTTCTTACGTTTTCAGTTATAAAAATGGCAGTAAATTCATTAAATATTGGTTGGATAACTTTTTTTTATGAATCAGCCCTTTTTTCTCACTACTTTTGGCGATTTGCTCGAAAAAATAAAAAAAAAAAACGATTTTTTTTCAAAAACTGTCCTTTGACGACTCCTACTGGTGAACCAATGCGAGCTACAAAAAAAAACTCAAAAGCAATTTTAAAGAGCGTAAAATTCTCCATAAGGTGTATTAAACCGATTTGCAATATTGTCAAAGGTGGGTAAGCATTAGAAATTTGAAAAAAAAAAAATATATTTTTTACATGCATTTTAAACGGTAAAACTTTAAATTTAAATAGTAAGTGCTTAAAATTAATATTAAGAGCTCAAACTTGGTGAGAATGTTTTTTCCTATATGCAGATTAATATTTTGCTTGAGCACCGAAAAAAAACAAAAACATACAAGCCTGAAAGGTGAAATTGACACATTTTTATCATAGTTTCGCACGACACATTGGACCTACTGAACACGAGGGTTTCTGATGGCGAGTGTGCTGACCTTCTGAAAGTTCTCAAAGTGGAAAAGCAAAGGCCCATAGAATTGTCGCCTAAAAAATCAAAAGTTACCGCCAAAATGGCCTACAAATGTTACCAAGAACTGATGGAGGATGATAGCGACATAAGCAGCACCAGTTCGGATTATAAGTACTGTTATTTTTATATTACGATTTTCATCAAATTAATTTTGAATCTTCTTCGTTTAAGCACTTCCGATATAAATACAGATATAGACGATATTTCGGACTGCGAATCGAAAAAATTGGGGTAATAAAATTTACCAAGTAATAATATTGAATTTAACAATTTTTTTTAGGACTCAAGAGGAAAGTTTATCGCAAAATTATAAGGAAACTGACGAAAATGAGCTGGAACCAAGGTAAGTGTAAAAAATATCAAGGGAAGGCTATCTAGCTGAATTTGACATTCTTATGATAGTAACAGTCTTAAGATTGTCAAATAGATGTTATAATAATACCTGTCTTAGTTAAGACAATTAATTATTCACTTATTTGACATTCTTAAGACGGTTACTATCTTAAGAATGTTAAATATACTTAAGTCAATATTTTTAAAATGGATATTTAACTTAAGTTGACATTATAATAAGTTAGTTATTATAATTAGTCATAGCTTTAAATAGGCACGAGCTTCATAGTATACTATACTATTTCTACGACAAAAACAAATATTAAATGATTTTCAATAAATAAATTAAATTTGACATCTGTCAGACTGTTCTAACCTTACTTTCTGGTCGCATTATTTTGGCAATTTTTGTCAACCCTGGATAAAGGACTAAAACGCCATAAAGTCACAGCTTGTTTGTTTATAATTAATAATGTGTTATAGGTTAGTGGGTGTGAGTAGAAAAAAAGTTAAATTTATTTAAACTTGTCATTCTAAAAATAATACAATATATGTATATTTTGTGTTCTAAATTAGGACCTTAATACACAAAAAATACATATAATGCATTATTTTCGGAAAATAGGACGAAATTAGCTTGACACTAACAGCAAACTAACCTTAATTATTTCAATCAAAGTCACGTGGTGGGACTTTGATGTGTGGAGCATAGTAGATTCTACGCATGCGCAATTAGAATTTTGCTTTAAAATCTGACATTCTGCGCTCATTTGCACTTGAATGCGTTAAGAGCTCAAAACGTGCGGTAAAATTCATGAAAAATAACCTCAGAGTTGTTGTGCTGGTAATGATGACACTGCCATTTCAAATTAATATTTTATGTTGAAAAGTCGTTATTTTTTAATTTCGGAAACTAATTGAGGGGTATAGAAGCAAAACCATAAATCTCCACTTTGTCGAAATTTTAAGAATAGCTACACAATTTTTTAATACAACGTTAAAATTGCGTTTTCTTGTGATTTATTTTTATTTTAACATCTAAGGTACTTTTATAATAAAAAAAATAATTATTTTAATAATATTAAAGTAACTAGCAATTTAACTTTGGAAACAGCAGACACAGGTACCTACGTACTTTTTTGGTAAAAATTTGTATTAAGAAAAAGAATAGGGTATCATAATGTATCAAGTTTATCAAATTTTTATGTGTAAATCAAAAATGGCCGTTTAATCCAATTTGGGAAAAGTAAAGAAAATGTTTTATTGGCACTCCACGGTGGAGCCAACCCTAAATTAAGTTAAATCTAGTTTACTGTCGGTGAAATTAAAATATCGGTACAATGTTCATATTATCTTTTCAAATCTTGGCGTTGAGAAACTATTTGATATTTTTGTATTTTTTTATTGAGATAATACAATAATTTTTACATTTAATAATATTTTACAAGAAGTTCACTTTATTTGGATTGTATGACATTTGATAACTGTCAACTAACTTAAAGCTAACTTCAGCCCGTGACTAAAAAACTGTTGCTAACTTCAGCCCGTGACTAAAACGCCATAAAGCCACAACTTGTCAATGTGTATTTAAAAGGACACTTGGTGTCATGGAAACATGACAGTTGACAGATGTTTAATTTTTAACTAATAAAATTGGCTTTAAATTCTGTATTGTTTTGTCGTAGATAAAGTATAGTATGCAACTCGTTTATAAACTTCTCTAGACACTCGTTTTTATTAATTAATTAAATTGTTGTTTATATAACTTAAAACATAATATACTATTAATACACTGGGAATTCTATAAACAAAGGTTTTTTTATAACCTAAAATTAAGTAAAAAATTGTTAACGTTGTTATAATATAAGATATCAATCCTTAATATTTAGAATGATCTAAAAATATAGCAATATTACTGAATACTTTTCTCCGTGTATTTCCAGGTTTTCAATGGTAAAACAGATTGCAATGCATGTGATTGGTGGAACCCTATTTTTAACATTAAATTTGCTACAAAATATTTTGTGACATTGTAGATATGAACATAAGCATACCTATTTCACCATTAAGTAACACAATTTTCCAAAAAAATGGAGATTGCTGATTTTGCTTCTATAATTTAAATAATTCTTTACATTTGTATTTGTTTTGGTTTTTCCCACTCTTTCTTGATTCTTCGATTTACTGGTTATTTGTTGTATGTTTTTTATGTTCATGTTTCAAGTTATATAATTTTTTGCTCCAAAAGAATTTTTTTTCATATAATAGTTTGTTTTTATATTGCAGCTCATTTAATAATAGTTTTAAATACTTAGTTCCATATCATTTTATTTTGGATTAAGTTTTTTATTCTAATTTTCTTTAAAATTTAAATTTTTGTTAAAAAAATCTAAACAAGCAGCATCCTCCTTTTCTTATTGGAAGAGTTTTTTACTGGAGAGTTTTGCACAATTATTGTGCAACCCCTCTTCGCATTTATAATACTTCAAACTGTAAGCATGAGCCTTTATACAGTGTGGCCCATTTGTTTGCGACTCACCCCTGTAAAATCTTTATTTATTGTGCGATTTTAACCGTATTTGTTTTAAAGTGTAGATCTTAATAAACTACATTTTGGAGCAAAAAATGCCATATTTGTACAAAATACAAGCAAGGCATACTATGTCAATTTTTAAGAGTAAATTTTTAAGAATTCATATTAGCGATTTTTTTCAAACAAAATATTTTGTAAAAATATGGCGTTTATTGCTCCAAAAATGCAGTTTATCAAGATCTACACTTTAAAACAAATCCTGTTAAAATCGCACAATAAATAAAGATTTTACAGGGGTGTGTCCGGATTTTTTACTAATAATCTGTCTTTTTTAACATTGTCCTAAATTAATTTTTAAACATAGCAACCCTATTCTGCATCATAAAATAAATATATGGTATGGTATGTTATCAAAATGTCTTGTTATAGGCGCATTGAAACACCTGCTGACAATATAGAAGCTGACAATATAGAAGCTGACAATATAGAAGCTGAACCACCAGATGAGGATAGGTAAACATGCTCATTTTGTACCTACACATTTTGCTATTTTTTTTTGTTCTTTTAGCCCCAAAGACAACGAAATTTTGAATTATATCGGTTTAATTAGAAAAAGCGATTTGGTAGTCGAAAAACAAGATCCCTTTAAAAGAGATACGAGACATTCCAGAGCTATGCATCTGTACAAAAAACAGTACCGGCTTAAGGATCTGTGCGTTAAGATCGCAGAATGTGCAGAGATTCGCAAAAAAATTAAGGAAATACAGGAAAAATGTCCAAACAGGAGAGATGAAGTTGATAGGTAAATAAAAAACTTTAAACATTATATAATATAATATATAATTATATCATATTTTTTCAATAAAAAGCTTTATTAGACATATCAAAACATACTTTTAAAACCATAACGCCAATTACACTTGTAAGTTTTAACTTCACTTTATGTCATTTTAACCCTTATAAAACCATATTTACTTAAGACACCCTTAAGGCGTATTTAGCTTTGTGGCAGTATATTGGTTTTAAGAGTTTTTAAAAAGTATGTTTTATTTGACTGGTCCAAAAAAATCAACTATTTTTTTTAAGTATATCGAAAATATGACAAAAAGAAATTATTGTGAAAGTTTGAGTCCATAATATTAATATTAAGCGGTCTATCATCGCAATTTTAATTTTTTTATTTCCTCAGCAAGTTTTGGTCTCAGACCTCCCAACCCATTGAGTTTAACAAAATTGACTCGAAAATATTTTTTTTAAGAAAATTAAATGCTCTACAAAAAAGGTTAAAGTTAAATTTTCCGTAAGATGAACCGTTTCCTTAAAATCATGCCTTAAAAATTGATCTTTTAAATTGGAATTTTGTAATTCATGTAAAAATCAGTACCCATAAAAAACCGATAAATATTCTTATGGGAAATCAAATGCTTTACAAAAAAAGCCTCTCAACATTTTTGGCTCAATCAAAAGTTATTCAATGTGAAAATTTCGTTTTGACTTCAAATTTAACCTTGAATAACTTTTGATGGAGTGAATTTAGCCAAAAATGTTTAAAAAAAAAAGTTTTTGTAGAGCATTTGATTTCCCATAAGAATATTTATCGGTTTTTTTTTTTCAGGGTACTGATTTTTACATGAATTGCAAAATTCCAAAGTTAAAAGATCAAATTGTAAAACTATACCAATTTTTAAGGCATGATTGTAATAAAACGGTTCATCTGACGGGAAATTCCAATCAAACCTTTTTTGTAGAGCATTCAATTTTCTTCAAAAAATATTAAACTCAATGATTTGGGAGTTCTGAGACAAAAACTCGCTCAGGAAAAAAAATCTAAAATTGCGATGATAGACCTCTTAATATTAATATTTTGGACTCAAACTTTTACCATAATTTTTTTTGTCACCCCAAACAATATTTTCGATATACTTTACAAAAAAAAATAGTCGATTTTTTTGGCCCAGTCTAATAAATACCATAAAAACAATTATAATAAATTAGCTTGTTGCAAAGGCATTTATTTTTATGAAGTATCATTTTATCCGAATAATCTTAATTAAATAACTATGAAGCAAACACTGACTTAGCAAAATCATTTTATATGGTTACAAGCAAATGTCACAAATGTCAAATATATCTTGATGAAATTTTAATTGTTTTATATCTTATTCAAAATGTCAATGTGTAGAAACTAACTCGGTATAATAATATTATATATTATTATCTGGACTTGTATTTTTTTGTTAGGTTGGTGGCTTATGCCAGTTTGACTTAGTATTTTTAGTATTTAAAAATGGTACTTCTGCTAAAGAATTTAATTAAGTACTTTGACACTGTCAAATTGACAATATTTATTATTGATAATTTACTTGTCAATTATAAATAAAAAGATAATTATGCCAAAAATAATAGCAACGAATTCGAATGTAAAAGCCATTTTGAGGGCAAAACTTCATTTTGATGAAATTATGCCAAATGCCACAATGGAAGAAAAAGTACATCGCCTTATGGACATTTTTGGAGTAAAAAAGTAACGAATTTGGTTTTATAAATATTACATCACACATTATTTTCACATTATTCTCCATTGGACAACATTTACGTTCACAAAAAATTTTAATTTCTTTTATATAAATTCTTTTCAAAGCGAATATTATCCGCTAGGAATACTTTCTCTTCTGGGCCGTAAAGCAACCTATATTTAACTACTTTTTTTATATGATTTTACTCATCCAAGCACCACCAAAGCCAAATTAATTGCATTTTTAACTACAAATTTTGACAACTGCACAATGTAACCTACAATAATTTATACATAACCACAATTAGATTTATAACTAGCTTAGTTTGTTTTAATCAATGCGACCAATTTTGGTTCTTTATTTACCAACCAAAACCCTAAATTTGCCGCAGTCCAGATAAAAAAAATGAACTTTACCAAATTTATAAAATAACAGTTTTTAAAGAAAATTTCATTCAAAAACATAAATCCACTGTTATACTAATTCAGTTGATATAAATAAATCAACATTTCTGCATACGGCCCTTTATTTAAAACATTTGACTAAAGTGAAAAATACATTTCATTTTAAAAGTTAATGGTTGAGCAATAGTGTTAGGCTATAATAGGTAATTTAAAATGAACTGTTAATGTTTTATGATTTACATACAATATTAAAACCGTATAAAAAAATTAACATTAAATAGAGAATAAATATTAAATGGTCGGTAAATTAAACAAAATTATTGGAAAAAACGTTAAAAATGAATTTTGACATCATCAATAGACTGGGCCAAAAAAATAAACTATTTTTTTTTAAGTATATCGAAAATATGGTTTGGGGCGACAAAAAAAATTATTGTGAAAGTCCATAATATTAATATTAAGAGATCTATCATCGCAATTTTAATTTTTTTCCCTCATCAAGTTTTTGTCTCAGAACTCCCAAACCCTTGAGTTTAATAAAATTTACTTAAAAATATTTTTTTAAGAAAATTTAATGCTCTACAAAAAAGGTTTAATGAAATTTTTCGTCAGATGAACTGTTTCCTTAAAATCATGCCATAAACATTGGTATAGTATATATATAATCTTTTAACTTTGGAATTTAAAAATTCATGTGAAATCAAATGCTTTACAAAAAAAGCCTCTTAACATTTTTGGCTAAATTCATTCAATCAAAAGTTATTCAAGGTTAAAGTTGAAGTCAAAACGAAATTCTTGTCAAAATAACTTTTGATGGAGTGAATTTAGCCAAAAATGTTAAGAGGCTTTTTTTGTAAAGCATTTGATTTCACATAAGAATATTTATCGGTTTTTTTATGGGTACTAATTTTTACATGAATTTTAAAATTCCAAAGTTAGGCATTTAATTTTCTTAAAAAAATATTTTTAAGTAAATTTTGTTAAACTCAATGGTTTGGGAGTTCTGAGACAAAAACTTGAGGGAAAAAAACTTAAAATTGCGATGATAGACCTCTTAATATTAATATTATGGACTCAAACTTTTACAATAATTTTTTTTGTCGCCCCAAACCATATTTTTGATATACTTTTCAAAAAAAAAAAGTTGATTTTTTTGGCCCAGTCTAATCATCAATATCAAAATTTCTTTATACAAATGGACATAATAGAAGCAGAATCAACAATATGCTTGATGATGAGTTGAATTGAATATAGTAAACAAAAAATGTTGTGCAAAAACTCCATGTTAAATGAATGGAAAAAGTATTGTCATTTTGGCAGGGTTAAGCATCGGTTTTTTTTTCAAAATTATTATTAGGCTATAAACTAACAATTTAAATGATTGGTAAATCTTGGGTAGGTTTTTTTTATTTTAACTAAATACAACCCTCTCTTAGATTATGTGACTTAAGCACGTTGGGCAAGCGCCCTGCAAAGGGACCCCTGCGACGCAAGAACCTAAAAAAGACAAAAACGAAAAAATCAAATTCCTCGTCGGATTCGGACGGAAGTGGTAGCAGCAGCAGCAGCAGCAGCACTAATCTGTCCAGTTTCGACGATGACTCGGAGTCGAAGGAGTCGAAAACATCGAGCGTGAGCTTTAGTCCGCCCAGAGAAAGAACCCCTACGAGTCGGGAAATGGAAGCCCAGGCGGCGCTGAATGACCTCATGAACTCCGATTCGGATGCGACTAGTGACGATTCGGAAATGTCCACGGTTAAAAAGAAACCTGCAAAGAAAGACGGCAAAGATGAGGCAGAAGCGCACTGTAGCTCCGCCAAAAAGGTGAGCTATCTATTGTGGGTTATATTTTCTGGGCTCCCACACCTCCTAAAACTCATAAAATTCCTAAAATTTGGCTTAAATCTTGAAAACTCCTAAAATTCTCCTAAAATGGCATTCAATCTCCTAAAACTCCTAAAATCCTAAAATTTAAATAGGCCAACCTGAATTGCGTTTAATTAAGGTAGTGCTAAAAAAATTCTATTTAAAAATATATATTTTTAGGTTCAATTTTATTAAATTCTTTTTAAAATGATATAATATTATAACCAAAATTTTCTTAAAAAACAACAAAAAACTTCTACAAAATTGTAATTTTTAGGGATATTTCGTTTTTTTAGTCAAATATATACCGTGTTATATATTAAACAAAAGGATTTTTAATTTCCTTTTAAATGACAGCTAAAATAGTAAACAATCTAAAGAATGTTTTGCTGTATTTTGCAAACTTTATATTTTGTTATGAGATTTTTAAGTATTAAGATCCTCATTACAATTAATCGGTGAGAATAAGAACAGTATAAGCCCAAAAATTTAATTTTGACAATTAATTTTCTATAATCAATTTTAAAGTTTAATAGTAAATTATGTATCAAGTTTGATAAACGCCATTTTATACACGAATTTAATGAGTGTATAGAAAAGTTTATAAACGAGGTGCATACTTGCTATACTTTCTATACTTTTTCTACGACAAATACTTATTATTATCTTAAAATGATTTAAATCAAAAATTTGTATAGAGCGCCATCTATGAAACAATAGGGGAATCTGTGTGTCACCGTCAAATGTCAAATTTTTACATTTTATAAACAGATTATAAAGGATATAAATCGAAAAGTATTTCTTAAAAATTGACAGTTTTTCACAGTGAAAGTAAAGAAAATGTTTTATGAGCACTTTACAGTGGAGTCCGTGCCCGAATTTAAGTTATAGTTTACTGCCGGCGAAATTAAAAGGTCAGTACAATGTTCATATCAACTTTTCAAATATTGGCGTTGAGAAACTATTTAATACTTTTGTATTGTGATAATAAAATAATTTTCACATTTAGTATTATTATACAAGAAAGGCACTTTATTTTAACGATTGTATAACATTTGACAACTGTCAACTAACTTAAAACTACCTTCAGCCCGTGACTAAAAACCTGTTGCTAACTTCAGCCCGTGACTAAAGCGCCATAAAGCCACAACTTGTCAATGTGTATTTACATGTACGATAAAGGGCATTTTAAAGGTGGGAGTAGAAAAAATACATTTTTGTGAGAAGATATAAATTATTTTACAGAATATGAATATTATATTTCATAAAATAGTTAAAATATTCTAACAAAAATGCATTTAGAACTATAAAACTGATTTTTTGAAATATTTTATCAAAAATTTTACTTTTGGACTTGTACTATTCTTAATCTTACCTATTTAATTACTGTTAGTTATTAACTGAATGGTTAACATATTTTTTCTTAAAATATAAATATAACATCATTTGATTTTGGCATAGTTTTTTAACCAAATCTATCGACGCATTTTTTTTAATAAAATTAAAAGTGGTGAAATTTATACTTGTATATATATGTACCTCAAATATATAAAAAGTAGTAATTTTACCTCACTTTTAATTTTATTTAAAAAAAACTCGTCGCGATTTGGCTAAAAAATCAATGTAACTTATTTTTACAAAATAAGTATTAATTTTTCCTTAGAGTTGTTTTTATTTAATTAAAGAAATTCATTTCCATACTTTATTTCTCCTAAAATTTTACAAAAAACCTCCTAAATTCCTAAATAAAATTTGTAATTTAGCCGTGGGAGCCCTGTATTTTTGTGTTCATAATGAAGTGTTTGTTTTAGAAACTTACGTTTGAAGAAGAGGAACACAGGAAGTGGAGGAAGGATCCTCTTCTTAGAGGGAAGTTGTCAGATTCTAGCGATAGTAGCACGGATGACGATTACAAAGAAAATAACAAAAAGATTAGGACGCCTAAGCAAAAATCTTTCAAAGCGTAAGTATATTTAGACCTACCTAGTTTGAACTAACAGCTTAATTTAAAAATTAGTTAAAATTTGTAATTTTTTGCGCTACATTTTCGACTCAAAACACCTTTACCAATCTTTATGAAATTTTGTATAAAAATCTGATATCTCAGTTTACGTGATCGAGGGTTTTTCGAGAAAATATTTTTAAAGCCCTTTTATTTAACAATAAAAAAACGTAGTAAATAAAAAATATGCTGTTAAAGGCCGTATTTTTGTTACTATACCCTACAAATTTTGTACAAATCAAACGAACAGTAACGAAGATACAGCGCTTCAAAGTCGGTGAAAATTACCCATTTTTAATTATTTTGCTGAAAAGTGGTCATTTTTGACGACTTTGAAGCGCTGTATTTTCGTTACTGTTCGTTTGATTTGTACAACATTTTCAGGGTATTCAGGCACGCCGTTTTAGCATTTATTAGATAAAAGTTTAAAGATTAAAGTTTAGCACTTAAATGATGTTTTAACAGAAATTTATAAAGTTAAATTTTTTTAAACTCAAAAAATATTTTAAATATAAAATGCAATAGTAAAAATTTATGTTTAAAAATATTGATTTTTAAAAGTTTTGGTTGTAATATTTTATTCTACAAAATTATTGGTTTAAATTTTTAAAGAGTCATTTAAATGATAGTTCTTCTTATATTCTTATGAATATTACCAGTGATGGGTCAAGAAAGTTTCTTAAAGAAACTAAGAAAATTGAATGTTTACCTAAATGATAGTTGATAAATTTTTAACACAAAAATTCTCACATTACATTAAATGTAAGTTTTAAATTTTAAAGTAGTAATTTTTGGATTAAAAATTTATCGACTATCCTTTAAATGACTCTTTACAAATTTAAACCAAATTTTTTTATTTTTAACAATTTTAAAATGATATATTTTTAAGACAAAATTTATAACTTTACATTTAAATGTAAGTCGATAATTTTTAAATTACAAATTGTAAACGTAGCTTTAGTAGAAGGCACAAGAGTCTGGGATCGGAGCCACGATGCAGCCAGTTTGATCCGTTGATTTTTTTTAATTGTCGAATTAACTTAGTACAATAGGCACTAAAAATGTTGTTCTATTATTAAATTTATGTAATAAATAAACATTTCATTACGATAGTTTGTAAAACGCGTCAAATATTTATGGAGCAAGCACGATTTGGCAACACTGCGGATTAAACTGGCTGCATCGTGGCTCCGATCCCAGACTCTTGTGCCTTGTACTAAAGCTACGTTTACACTTTGTAATTTAAAAATTATCGACTTACATTTTAATTTAAAGTTATAAATTTTGTCTTAAAAATGTATCAATTTAAAATTGTTAAAAATAAAAGTTATTGGTTTAAAATTGTAAAGAGTCATTTAAATGATAGTCCATAAATTTTTAATGCAAAAATTACCACTTTAAAACTAACATTTAAATGTAATGTTCAAATGTTTGTATTGAAAATTTATCGACTATCATTTAAATGACTCTTTACAAATTCCATCCAATAATTTTGAAGAATAAAATATTAAAATCCCATTTTTTAAAAATTAATATTTTTAAACTTAAACTTTTACATTTTTATTTTATATTTAAAATATTTTTTGATTATAAATAGTTTTGAGTTTACAAAAATTTAACTTTTTAAAATAGTTTGGTAGAAAATGTTTTATATGCGTTTTTATTTTAAATGGCTTGATACTATTTTTTAATACTAAAAAATTAACTTTACCAAATTAATCTCAATAATTTTATAAAATATTTATTTAAGTTAACAAAATGCCACCCAAATAAATTATACTTGGGAAATTATTTTTATTAAAAAATGATAGTTAGAAATTTTTGCAAAAATTGATAAAAAATAATATTGTTTAATAAAGAAGTGAACTGTTGGTTAGTAAATTTTGCCTTTCAATACATGATAGTTGAAAATATTATAAATTTATAAATGTAAACCTAAAATTTTTAGTTAGGAAAATTTTAAACCCATAAAATTTTAAATTAAAAAAATATTTAATAAATGTTAAAACGGCGTGCCATAGTATACTAACAAAAATACGGTATTTTACAGCATATTTTTAATTTTCTTAAAAAAAAATTTCCCTATAAAAGTTTTTTTCGAGCGTTTTTTATTATTAAATAAAAGGGTTTTAAGGATATTTTCTCAAAAAACCCTTGAACACGTAAACTGAGTTGTAGTTAAAGTATTTTTATCCAAAATTGTATAAAGATTGGTAAAGGCGTTTTAGAGTTGGATTTTTTTTTTACTTGTTATGTGTTAATTTTGACGCGCAGTGTAGATTGGATCAAATGTCCGCTTTTTCGTAATAGCAAAAATATGAATCATATACAAAAGACAACAAAACTCTAAATTAAAATTTCCATTTTTATAACTGAAATCGGAATTATCTCTGAAATCATAATTAAACAAAAAAGTCTTAAAAAATAATTGTTTACAATACCCTAAAGAAGCATCGGATTTTCGCAACGTGCGCGCCATCTGGTGGCGCTCGATAGCATTGTGGGAATTCAATAATTGTCAACGATACAATGATTAAAGTGACCAGATTCTGTCAAAAAATAGTGGGACATTTTGTGTAAATTAACCTTAATTACAAAAATGACACAATCAACAATAATTAAGAAACGTCAAATTTATAATTTGCATTGTATCATTGTATCAATTTTGTAATTCATACAAAATGTCCCCCTATTTTTTGTCAGAATCTGGTCACTTTATTAATGATTTAAGTTTTTGCCAATTTGACAACACTGTATGACTCCCTAAAAACATAATTAATAAACCTAATTGAGTAATTATCTTTAAAATGTTAATATTTTCCCTTTAAAGTCAAGTTCTATGTTCATCAGATTTAATTACATACTTAAGTCAAGTAACCTGGGACTTGTGTCCAACCAATAATATCATTTAAAAAGTTATCTTTTAAAAAAATCCTCTAAATTTTGTTTAAATGCACCTTAATTACAAAAATGATACAATTAACAATAATGACGAACGTCAAATTTACAATTTGAATTGTATCATGTTTCATTTTGGTAATTAAGGTGCATTCAAACAAAATCTCTTGGATTTAAATAATTTATATAAATTCAGGCGTTATAAATTAAATTAGAGCATAAGCAGTGATTTAACAATGACTTAATAAATAAAGTTGCAGTAATTGTTTGTAAACATAACAAAACCTAAAAAATAGTAAACAGGTTTTTTATAGCAACTGTCAAGTAAATGTTACGTTTTAAGTGATGTCGTGTACACGCGCGCTTACAAAATTTATTTAAAAATAAGTTTGACAACCAAAATTATTTTTACCCTCTTATTTTACTGTTTTTACGTGAGTGTTTTTGCTGTTTATTTTCTATCATTAACAAGTTACGCATATTCTACAATTTATTCATAATAATGGAGTGTTAAATTGGTGTTTTCAAAGAAGAATATTCAACTTTCGGCCCTTGTAGTGTAATATACTATTTTGCACTGCAATTAAATCAGCACATAATACTACCTAAGGGTTTGTTACCTTCCTTTAAATTTACTAGACAGATAACTGTCAAAGTTACAATTATTGTAACTATGACAATTAAGTGTTGGGTAAATTTAGTGAAAGGTGAATATACTAATATACCTAAATTAAATAATTTTTATTCAAGAAAACCATTAATTTCATTTTTATTTTTATAAATATTTATAATAACAATACAATTTATTGCTTGAAGGCGTAAATAAATTAAATTAAATAATTTTTATTCAAGGAAACCATTAATTTAATTTTTATTTTTATAAGTATTTATAATAACAATACAATTTATTGCTTGAGTGCGTAAATAAATTTAAAAAAGTTTATGACATACAGGGTGATCCCCTATAATGTCGCCCCCCTTTAACTTTTTTATTTTATGTGTCCCAAAAAATTTAAAAGTGTGGTTATGTAGGTACTAAAAAATACTTTTTTCCTACGTATACAAAAATTGAAAAATTGATCAATATACAGGGAAAAACAAAAAGTTTATTTTTTTTCAATGGATCACCCTATATATGAATTTATTTTTCGATTCCTTGTAAAATTCTGAGCATAATTCATATAACAAACCATATATCTAAATTCAACCGTTTCTAAAATATTCGCATTCAAAATGTTATCATTAAATGTTTTTTAAACTGTTAGAAATCAAGAAGCCTCAGTATACCAAAATTGTTATTGAAAATAAATTACTATAATGACACTATGTCAATATGTCTTGTTAAATAAGTAAAAATGGCGTACTCAGAAAGAGAAAGACAAACTATTTCAACTTATTATCTTAAAAATAATTTAAATATTTCAGAAATGGTTGAGTTTAGGTATATGGTACTTATATGAAATATGCTTAGAATTTTACAAGGATACGAAAAATAAATACATATATAGGGTGATCCATTGAAAAAAAAAATAAACTTTTTGTTTTTCCCTGTATACTATCAATGTTCCAATTTTCTTTAAACGTAGAAAAAAAAATTTTTTTAGTTCCTACATAACCGCACTTTTAAATTTTTTGGGACACTTAAAATAAAAAAGTTAAAGGGGGGCGACATTATAGGGGATCACCCTGTACATGTGAAAATAAAATAATTGTAAATGTCAACATTTTTTCTTCACTTTTTTATTAATTATTTATAAAACTATTATGTTTTAAAAAAAATTTAGAAACTCGAATATAAAGCCACTTCTTTGCTCATATGTGCAAAAAAGATGTCAACCAAAAATATTAATATTTTTGCTATTACCAAATTAATTTCGAAAAAAGCGGATATTAACATGTAACATTAATTTTCTTTTCTTGTCATTTTTTTAAATAAATTAATCATGAAATAAAATGATTGCTACAAAGATAAATATTAATAAAAAACTGAAATGTTTTGATAAAAAATGCAATTAGATCCAGGACTTTACCTTTCACCTATTACCTTTATTTTAATAATACAACGATTATAGAACTCATTATGTAGGTACTAATTGTAATGTTTATTTTTTAATAGACCTAGAAGAAAACTGCGTAGGCGGCGAAAAAGCACATTTTATGATAGTGCAACCTACATCATATATTAAAGCCGAATTTTTCTTGTGTTATTAGTTATTTTCTATTTTATTTCAAAGAAGAATCAAAGAAGTTATTTTAATAAATATTGTTTTTAAATTTGTGATTGTATGATACATGTATAAAAATGATTTAAATACATTTTATTTATTCCAAAGAGATTGTTTTCAATTGTTATAATTTTAGGTATGAGCACGATTCAGATTTCCAAGCGTCTACTTCCACCACCACAAATTCTGACATTGAGAGGCCTTCTACTCCTAAAAAACCATTTAGTGTTTTAAACATGGATAGTAACTCCGAACTATCTGAGAACGATTTTGATTAGTGAGTATAAAAAGCGTGGTTCCTTCATCATAGCCCACTTCTTCCAAAATTCTCATGTGGCATTTTCCTAAACCTGATGTTCTCCTGCACATTTTCCCAAGCTTCCAATGTGTTTCCTTTTTATAACCTGGTTTGGTTTTATCCAAGTAAACTGCTCGTCATAAAAAACGACGCACCTAGTTTTTTGGAAAATATTTGAAAGCTCGTTATTGGAAAATTACTGAATCGATTTTGAAAATCTTTGAAAATTCTGAATAGCTGATTCTTTGACTCTTATGTCTAATTTTGGGAATACGACATTTTGCACATAGCATTATACTACAGGGTGTTAAACGAAGAGATGAATTTTTTTCGAAATTTCAAGTTATTCCCATTCATAGAGCAGTTGACTTTGATAGTCGTAATACCCCTCCCTGATATAAGTTGGGTAATCCCTCGGAACGTTTTCGAGATTTTGTGGATATCTTGGCTAACTACGATTATATGCCAATTTTTTGAAAATTGTCCTTATTCCCCAGTTTAGTCCAAAAAATGAGCAATAGTGGATTCTTTGACTTACGTCTAATTTTGGGAATACGATATTGTGTACATGACATTATACTACAGGGTGTTAAAAAAAGAGATGTGTTTTTCCAAAATTCCAAATCCCCATTCACAGGGCAGTTGTGCTTGATAGTCGTAATACCCCTCCCTAGTAACAGTTAGGTAATCCCTCGGGACGTTTTCATGATTTTGTGGATATCTTGGCTAACTACGATTATATGGCAATTTTTCGAAAATTGTCGTTATTCTCCATTTTAGTCCAAAAAATGAGCAATAGTTGATTCTTTGACTCTTATGTCTAATTTTGGGAATACGATATTGTGCACTTAGCTACATACTACAGGGTGTTAAAAAAAAGAGATGCTTTTTTCCAACATTTCAAATCCCCATTCACAGGGCAGTTGAGCTTGATAGTCGTAATACCCCTCCCTGATATAAGTTGGGTAATCCCTTGGAACGTTTTCGAGATTTTGTGGATATCTTGGCTAACTACGATTATATGCCAATTTTTTGAAAATTGTCCTTATTCCCCAGTTTAGTCCAAAAAATGAGCAATAGTAGATTCTTTGACTTATGTCTAATTTTAGGAATACGATATTGTGTACATGACATTATACTACAGGGTGTTAAAAAAAGAGATTTCTTTTTCCAAAATTCCAAATCCCCATTCACAGGGCAGTTGTGCTTAATAGTCGTAATACCCCTCCCTAGTAACAGTTAGGTAATACCTCGGGACGTTTTCGAGATTTTGTGGATATCTTGGCTAACTACGATTATATGGCAATTTTTCGAAAATTGTCGTTATTCTCCATTTTAGTCCAAAAAATGAGCAATAGTTGATTCTTTGACTCTTATATCTAGTTTTGGGAATACGATATTGTGCACTTAGCTACATACTACAGGGTGTTAAAAAAAAAGAGATGTTTTTTTCCAAAATTCCAAATCTCCATTTACAGGGCAGTTGAGCTTGATAGTCGTAATACCTCTCCCTAATAACAGTTAGGTAATCCCTCGGCAAGTTTTCGAGATTTTGTGGATATCTTGGCTAACTACGATTATAAGGCAATTTTTAGAAAATTCACGTTATTCTCCTCTTAAGTCACAAAAATGAGCAAACTACGGAAGGTATCTATTAGTTATCAGTGCTTTCAGTTTATGTACGTTGCGTGATTCATTAAATCTGAAATTTTTTACACGAAAGCAATTTTTTTTGGTGAAATTCAAAATAAAAACGCAAACCCAACAGCATTATTCTCGTAAACTTATGCAGGCTATATTCATGCAATTTTCTACAAACGGTTGACCATGAAAGTTTAAAAAATATGGTGCATATCTGGTTTTGACTTTCATCGCTTCAATTATTGTTGTCATTTTTTTCGTCGAATATGAAAATATTTTTGCTATGCTATGTGCACAATATTGTATTCCCAAACTTGGACATAAGGGTCAAAGAATCAACTATTGCTCATTATATGGACTAAAATGGAGAATTACGACAATTTTCAAAAAATTGCCATATAATCGTAGTTAGCCAAGATATCCCCAAAATCTCGAAAATGTCCCGAGGGATTACCTAACTGTTATTAGGGAGGGGTATTACGACTATCAAGCTCAACTGCCCTGTGAATGGGGATTTGGAATTTTGGAAAAAAAATATCTCTTTTTTTTAACACCCTGTAGTATGTAGCTAAGTGCACAATATAGAATTCCCAAAATTAGACATACGAGTCAAAGAATCAACTATTGCTCATTTTTTGGACTAAAATGGAGAATAACGACAATTTTCGAAAAATTGCCATATAATCGTAGTTAGCCAAGATATCCACAAAATCTCGAAAACGTCCCGAGGGATTACCTAACTGTTACTAGGGAGGGGTATTACGACTATCAAGCACAACTGCCCTGTGAATGGGGATTTGGAATTTTGGAAAAAAACATCTCTTTTTTTAACACCCTGTAGTATAATGTCATGTACACAATATCGTATTCCCAAAATTAGACGTAAGTCAAAGAATCCACTATTGCTCATTTTTTGGACTAAACTGGGGAATAAGTACAATTTTAAAAAAATTGGCATATAATCGTAGTTAGCCAAGATATCCACAAAATCTCGAAAACGTTCCGAGGGATTACCCAACTTATACCAGGGAGAGGTATTACGACTATCAAAGTCAACTGCCCTATGAATGGGAATAACTTGAAATTTCGAAAAAAATGCATCTCTTCGTTTAACACCCTGTAGTATAATGCTATGTGCAAAATATCGTATTCCCAAAATTAGACATAAGAGTCAAAGAATCAACTATTCAGAATTTTTAAAGATTTTCAAAATCGATTCAGTAATTTTCCAATAACGAGCTTTCAAATATTTTCCAAAAAACTAGGTGCGTCGATTTTTATGACGAGCAGTTTAGTCGTGTTGAATTATTTTTCGTTTTTTCATCGCTTTAAAATTAAAAAAATATCACCAAATATCATCCAAAAATGCAAAAATTAATACTAAATTATTTTAGTATGATATCGCCCAAAAAAGAACAGTCAATTGTGGTCGAAGATGATTGTGAGTCGCCTAAAAAAGGACGTAGAAATATAAGAGCTCTCGTTTCTGATGACGATCTTACTGAGGCGACGCAAATAGCGAAGAAAAATGAAGAGGAGCGCATAAAAAGATTAAATTTTAACACCCAAAAGGTTTGTTGTAACTTATAAGCGAACAAGCTATAGCTAAACTAAAAATTTGTATTAATAGAATACAAATAAATTTACCTAAAAATACTACTAAGTAAAAAAAGAATTAAGCCAAAATATAAATTTAAACATATCCAATACACTAAACTACTCTTTGAAAAATTTCCCAATTAGTCAAAAAATCTCAATTATTATCCTTGATAGTTTTAGTCAAACAAAAGGTGGAAAAAGGGTCTTCACATTTTAATGTAAAAATAAGACAAAAAATATGCTTTTGAGTTTATTTACTTTTTAGCTATTAAGCCCTTACAGATTAATTAAAAAAATAAAATTGGGCATTTATACAGGGTGTTTAAAAAAAGCGCCAATGCTCGGCTGGATATTCGTCATCTAAAAATAAGAAAAAAAAAGTTCATATAAAGTAGATAAAATTTAAAACAACGTGTTTTTATTTTTGGTTGTTTCACTGTTAGTCTAGAATGGGGTTTTTGGGAAGCCACCAGGTTTTTTTAAACATCCCTTTGTATATTTGAAATAAGTTACCTATTGTATCTTTCGACACCTTAATATTTTAAAAAAATACAATTGTACATACAAAAATTCTACTTACTGAGATATTACACTTTACGGTGGATAGGTTTTTAAACAGCAAATAATGAACTTGATTTATAAAACAGCAACACTCTCATCTGCATATAAATTCTAACTGGACCTCAGGAATCACATGCATCTATAATGTCGTAAACAGAGGTTTTTGCTTATTTAAAATGATTAGAGCGCCATCCGTTGCATAAAATTTAAAGAAAAAACAGATTCACGGAGGATATAATCAATTTTTGTAACACCTACATAAATGGTTATAAAAATTATTAATTTTAATTTTTAGTGAACTGATATTTTTAGTATGCTTTTACTATATTTGAAAACATATAGGTTAACCTAGAAAGAGTAACAGTCACGGAGGATAGGTTTTAGACTTTTAAAATATTGTAAAAAATAATTAATTGCGGTTAAAAATCGGGCACCTGAGCTGTAATATCTACTTAATTATGAAAGATCAAAACACAATAAAAGTGTAGGTCAAACTCATTTAGTTTTATTAAATATCACGGGGTAACACCATCGGGGGACATTTCGTGAGATTCACCCAAATATCATTTGCTCAATTTTGTTGAAATTTGGCAACGTGGTTTATACTAAAGGAGATAATTTTGCCTCAATAAACTTGTCCAGTGGGGTCCCCATAAAGCCGTTTTGGAGAAAATTGACTAAACGCATAAATAACGTTGCCAAATTTCAACAAAATCGGGCAAACGATATTTAAGAGATTTTAAAAAGCCCCTTTTTCAAATGTTTTAAATTTTCGAAGCTACATTTTAATAAGCTTTTTTATTATTTTTGGATGACGCATGTTTTTTGACACACCCTGTATGCTTAAATATATTGGAGTAAAAACATAAAAAAAATTGAAAATTTGTTATATTAAAATGAATTTTTAATGTAAATTATAAGGCAAACAAAACTTTTTCTGCATGAAATTATAACAATAATTCATTAATAATTTTATATGGAAAACTCAACAGTTGCAGAAATATAATTTTTTGAAAAATAATTTCTCCCATACTCAAGATCATATTTTATCGATTTAACTACAAACTGAACTGTAAATGGTGCAAGAGATTTTGTATTGTTCTTAGTGTTTTTTTGTTTATTATATTTTTTGTTTTTTTGCTTCAACCAGTTATTTTTTCATTTGTTGAAAGTTAAATTAAAATCCATTTTGTCAGTTATTTGTTAATTGATTTTTATTCGGAAAATAGATATTTTCCTGACAAGTGCGGAAAAATTACTTTGCGCATGTGTTGTAGGTCTGTGGTTGGGAACAATATTTTTTCTACTAGCGTGCGTTAGTTAGATAACAATGATTATTAAATTAATTTTTACTAATGTTTATTACAAAGGAACAATTATTAATATTTTCTAAATTGATTGTAGAACAGCTTAATTCATTCAACGGGTGACTTGTACTATTTAATAAAGTTTGCCTTAACTCAGAAGAGCCGTTTTTTATGTCCAATATTTTATTTGATAATTTTTTTTGGGTCATGGATTCTTCTATGTAGCTCTCGGCGACAGCCGTTGATTTCCAGTCTCCAAGTCTCTTAACATTGGAAATTTCTTCCCCAGAATCGGCTAATATGGTAGCGGAGAATCTACGAAAACTATGACCTGTGTACTCCTCAGGATTTTTAAGTTTTAGATATGCAGTTATTTGTGCAGGCATTTTACCAAATGTATTAATTCCTACACATTGGGTAGTGCATGCTCTTCTTTTATAATTGCCAAAAAACCGAAACATTTTTAAGTAATGACTATTATTGATTTCATCAGATATCACAAAGATTCTTGATGTAAAATTTTTACTTTCCGAAATTTTCACGATTACCAAATTTTCTTTATCTTCTATATCATCAATCATTATCTTTGAGAGCTCTTCTCGCCTACAAGCCAACCCAAAAATAGTGTCAACTTTTATTAAAAGGTAAATTTCATCTGGTGCTTCGTTAATGAATCTTGAAATGTCATCTTTCTCAAAAGTTTTGGAATTTTTTGGTCAGTATCCCACATTTTCCTTTTTTATATATGATGTTAATTTATAATATAGACTGAAATCCAAATTTTTTATTAACTTTTATGACACTTTTTAACATGTACTTACTCCACAAAGTATTTGGATGATATGATTTTCTTAAATCCCCAAAATAGACCAGAAACACTTCTTCCTTAAAACATGTGTGTGTGTGTCCCTTTGTTGTTGCACCAGTTTTGAAAATGTTTAAATTGTTTCTCTTATTTTTGACAGAATTTCGCTGATAATAAATTCTCATTTACAGTATTTGCTGCCTCCAGGATGTCATATGGTAGCTCTTCTTCTAAAATATTTATTTCAATTTTGCGAAAAATCTATAATATATTATGACGTTTCACATTGTTTGACAATTCTTGACATGGAAACTAAGTAACCAACTAAATTTGATTTTGTCTACAAAATTTGATTTTGTCTACAAAATTTACATACTTACAGTTCAATTTTTTTATCTGGACTGGTGTTTTTTTGTTAGGTTGGTTGCTCTTGCCAGTTTGATTTGGTATTTTCAGTGTTTAAAAATGGTACTTATACTAAAGAATTCTTTAATTAATTTAATTAAATACTTTGACACTGTTAAATTGACAATAATTATTATTGATAATTTACTTGTCAATTATAAATAAAAAGAAAATTATGCCAAAAATAATAGCAACGAATTCGAATGTAAAAGCCCTTTTGAGGGCAAAACTTCATTTTGATGAAATTATGCCAAATGCCACAATGGAAGAAAAAGTACATCGCCTTATGGACATTTTTGGAGTAAAAAGTAACGAATTTGGTTTTATAAATATTACATCACACATTATTTTCACATTATTCACCATTGGACAACATTTACGTCCACAAAAAATTTTAATTTTTTTTATATAAATTCTTTTCAAAGCGAAGATTATTATCCGCTAGGAATACTTTCTCTTCTGGCCCGTAAAGCAACCTATATTTAACTACTTTTTTATATGATTTTACTCATCCAAGCACCACCAAAGCCAAATTAATTGCATTTTTAACTACGAATTTCGACAACCCAACTTGACAACTACACAATGTAACCTACAGTAATTTGTACATAACCACAATTAGATTTATTACTATAGCTATAGCTTAAGCTAAACAAACTAATTAGTTTGTTTTAATCAATGCGACCAACTTGACAACTGTATTTACCAACCAAAACCCCAAATTTGCAACGTTGCCGCAGTCCATTTTAAATGCAAATGCGTGCGGAAAAATGCAACTTAATTAAGTGTTACTTTGCGCACGCTAGTAGAAAAAAAGTAATGTTTTTAAGAAAGTTGATAAAAAATAAATATCAAGTTAATTTAACGAAATATTCCTTTTTATAAACCAACAAGTGTGTAAATATTTTTCTTTCAAACTTAAAGCTGGAAAAGCTATCGCAAACTCAGGGGCTATCCGAATCTGAGGACAAGGCTCTCGTATTGGATGTAGACGATGACGGCACACCAATCATCGAAGTGCGCCGCGAAATAACCAAAAGACTGAAAGATCATCAGGTAGAAGGCGTGCAATTCATGTGGAACTCGTGTTACGAAAGCGTGGATCATTTAAAAGACAACGAGGGTACCGGATGCATTTTGGCGCACTGCATGGGTCTGGGAAAAACGTTTCAAGTAAACAAAATCAAGTTTTATACGAGAAAGGATCCCAAAAGAATATTTTTGTTTAATATTTTAATAGCAGATAAGACATTCCAAGGGAATCCACACGGTGGTCAAAACTAAAGTATAGGACGAACAAAAATGCCAACCAAAACTGATAGCATAATCTGCTATAGACTCTTTTGGTAACACAAAATGTATTTATCAAAATCCCAGCTGATCCTTTATTAAAGTTTTGCATATTTCTTAGTATTTTAAAATTGTTTATGCCATTTCGATAAAATACTCTAGTACCATTATCAAATGTTTATAAAAATTTGGCAGATACATGACTGAAATATGGATAAATTACATTATAAATACAAAATAATGTAAAATACAGTTTGCAATATCTTATTTATTGTTTTAAGGTACCTAATACAAAACTAATAAATAACTAAAGATTCTTTGAAGCAAAATCGATTACTGCTTGCCTTAAAGTTTCAGTAAAACTTTTTCTTGGGTTTTACATGGAATTGTTTTTAACATGGAAACAGTATTTCTAAATGCATCAGTCTCTGTACAAACATGCTTCTTACATCTAGCGATATCCCCTAGAAAGGAAGAGCATATCAAAACTTTAGTTCGTTCGTCCGTCCTCTTCCCTTAATAATTTTTTATGCCCTTTATATCTTGCCATTATGCAGATAAAGCACATACATTCTTGGCCGCCGCGAAATTCTCTAGCAATTTCTAAATTTTGAAAATTTGGCAATTGTGGCTATGCAAAAATACCGTTTTTAACATATTGAAGTAGGTAATTTTGAATCACTTAAGTTAAAGTGTTCGTTTGAAAAAGTCTGCAGTAATTTTTATATTACCAAAAACAATTTTGTCTCCACAGCCAGCACATAGCTTCTTTCGATTTTCTTCATGGCTCAACTTGAATTTCAGTTTAATTTTCATTTTAAAATACTATTTTTAACTTTATAAAGTATACATTAAATAAACAACTAAAGCAAAATGTCACTTGCGTTATAACGTATAGCAATTTTTTTCATAACCACCTTAATTATTGTTTTACAAAATTTGCAAGTTGTAATTATTTCATAGACAAACTTCCAGTATTTTTAGTTATAAAAAATATTTAAGATATAAATCTTCGTTTTTTTGTTATGTTTTGTTTTGAGTGGTAAAAAATAATAGGTGACCCAATAAATTAATACTGGGGAGTTAAGTAATTTAAATGATACAAAGTTTATTATTTTGCTTAATTTAAATTAAATTGTACAGGTAGTTTTAGTACAATATTTGCAAAATAATATATAGAAATAGAAAAACAAAAAAGTTTGCAAAACTTTAAAATAGGATCAGCTGGGATTTTGATAAATACATGTTAGTGTTACCAAAAGGGTCTATAATCAAAATATGCTATCAGTTTTGGTTGACATTTTTGTTCGTCCAACACTTAAGTTTTGACTACCGTGTACAGTCTGCATGGTTTGTTTTTGGACAAACGAGTTTTAATATAGGTTTTTTAAAGTCATTTTTAAGGAAACAATTATAGCAAAAATCGTATGGTTGTTTTTAGTGACTAATCTCTATAATAGAAGAAGTTTCACACTGATTTTTAACCCTTTGAATTAAAAAGAAATTCATGTTTTGTTTACTGCTTTTTGGGTCCTTTTAAAGTAAATTACTCGTTCCAAGTTCTATAGAACATATTATGTTTATTTTTGTATATTTCAATAATTAAAATGTAATGTTTTTACAGGTTATTACTTTAATACACACACTGTTTAGTTATCCAATCACCAACACGAAATATGTGTTGGTGGTTTGCCCTCTATCTACCGTCCAAAATTGGAAGAATGAATTTGTTTTCGCCCTAAAAGATGTTGGGAAAGTTCCTTTTGATATAAAAATAATTGCGTAAGTTTAAATACATATATTACAATTATTATGAGCCAAAATAACCATCCAACTATAGAAACAGGGTCTCACAGTGGTTGAAAATCCCAAAAACCCGGACATCGAAAAAAATTAGTCAAAAATAGTCATATACAGGGTGTTTCAGAATAAGATGCTGAACCTTAAGGGTGTGAATCCTTAGTTGATTTTAAGAAAAAAAGTTCAAATAAACCTATGACCTGAACCTCTTAATTTTTGAGTTACAGGGTGTTAAAGTTTTAAGAAAAAAATCGTTTTTTTATCATAACTTTAATATCTTCCTAGATATTTTTATAAAATTTTTCACACGCCTTCTAAGCTTTAACAGTAAGTTTTTGATGTAGAAGATTTTTTATTTTTATTTACCAGTGGCGTCTCGTGAAACCGTCAAACTCGCCTTCGGCTCGTGTGACAAACTCTTCACTCGAGCGGAATATGCTTTATTCCAAACTTGTTACAGAATATACTATTATTTTACTATAGGTATTTAAAAAAACACGAAAAAAAGGAAACTGGTAAATAAACTTAACAAATTGCAAAATGTCAACACTAGTAATTAGAGTATTTCTTTATCGTTTTTTTATTTTGATGAACATGAAAATTCTTTTCATTATGCCGAAATAAAATTCATTAAAATACCATTTCCTAATATAATTTTTTTCTGCTCCAAATGTCAAAATAATTGGCCTACCTCGACTCTGTATACAGAACTTTTAAATGGGGTTTGGTTATTTTGCATCACCCTAAATAAAATAAATAAAAAACATTAATTTTAAGTGACAAAAAAGACAATAGCCACAAATACGACATAGTCAGAAGATGGAAGAAAAATAAGGGCGTCCTCATACTTGGCTACGATTGTTTTGAAAACATGACGAGCGATAAAAAGCTCGCGAAGTTACACGAACACGAAAAAAACATCATTATTGACGCGTTGGTGAATCCAGGCCCGGACCTAGTTATTTGTGACGAAGGGCATCTTCTTAGGAGTAAAAACGCCCTGAGGACCAAAGCCTTAATGAAGGTTGCTACGAGAAGGAGAATTGTTTTGACTGGTACGCCTTTGCAAAATAATCTTGAAGAATGTAAGTATCTTAAATTTAAAAGTAGATAGATAATACTACACTCACAGGCAAAATAATCGATCCACACAAATTTTCGATGAATTCAATCGCAAATAACTTTTTTATTTGATTTCGGATTTAAACAAATATTAAAGAATATTGTAGATACATTAATGGAGAATCGCTCACATTTAAAAAATTATTAAAAAATGCACGTACGATTATAATATACAGGTTTAAACAAAAATATGTTTTTTACCATAAGTTTTAGACACTCTGTAGAGTGGCAAAACCGTATATTGTTCTAAATTAAGTTTTAACTATCAAGTCACATCTATTTTTAACAGTTTTGTTTTTGGGTCACCTTGATATATTTATTTTTGTGGAAAATATGGTTTTCTTTTAAACACATTGCAATTTCCAATATTTTTCCTGTATGAAGAACTAAGGTTGCTATGGTCCATCCATAGCCTATGGAGGATGACAGTTTTGTTGAATCATCCCATACTTGGACATGTCATATACTGTATATATATGATATACATCTTTCAAAAGCTATCAAATTGTTTTTTGTAAATTAATGTGTTAATTTTGAGGTGTCTTCTTACTTTTAAAAATGTCTCCGACTAATGTTGCCCTTTGTACTTTTATTCTTGTGACGTTTAAAACACTTGCCACGTAATACTGTGACCGTCCATCCTGGATTAAATTAATGGCTCTGGCAACATCAGTCGGAGACATATCCATTTTTTAAAGTAAGAAGACAACTCAAAATTTAAACATTAATTTGCAAAAAACAATTTGATAGCTTTTGAAAGCCGTGTATGACATGTCCAAGTATGGGATGATTCAACAAAACTGTCACTGTCATTCTCCATAGCCTATGGATGGACCATAGCAACCTTAGTTCTTCATACAGAAAAATATTGGAAATTGCAATGTTTTTTAAAAAAATTCATATTTTCCACAAAAATAAATATATCGAGGTGAACCAAAAACAAAACTGTTAAGAATAGATGTGACTTAATAAATAAAACTTAATTTAGAACAATATACGGTTTTGCAACTCTACCTAGTGACTTAAACTTATGGTAAAAAACATCTTTTTGTTTAAACCTGTATATTATAAACGAACGTGTATGACATGTCCAAGTATGGGATGATTCAACAAAACTGTCACTGTCATTCTCCATAGCCTATGGATGGACCATAGCAACCTTAGTTCTTCATACAGAAAAATATTGGAAATTGCAATGTTTTTTTAAAAATCCATATTTTCCACAAAAATAAATATATCTAGGTGAACCAAAAACAAAACTGTTAAGAATAGATGTGACTTGATAAATAAAACTTAATTTAGAACAATATACGGTTTTGCCACTCTACAGAGTGTCTTAAACTTATGGTAAAAAACATATTTTGTTAAAACTTGGATATTATAAACGTACGTCTATTTTTTAGTAATTTTTTAAAATGTGAGCGATTGTCCATTAATTTATCTACAATATTCTTTAATATTCGTTTAAATCCGACATCAAATAAACAAGTTATTTGCGATTGAAATTCATCGAAAATTTGTGTGGATGCCTGTGACTGTATTAATAATTATTTTTGAATATTTTTTAGATTATTATATGGTTGAATTTGTAAAGCCCAGTTTACTGGGAACAATAAAAGAATTTAGAACGAATTTCATAAATCCCATTTACAATGGGCAATTTGATGATTCCACATTATATGATATTAGACTGATGAAAAAAAGAACCCATGTTCTTTCTCAACTTTTAAAAGAAACCATAAATGTAAGAATACGTTAATCCTATTGTAACATAACCCACCTTTAAAACGCCCATTATCGTTACATATGTTTCAATGACACTGTGGCTTTATGGCGCTTTAGTCACGGACTGAAGTTAGCAATAGGTTTTTAGTCACGAGCTGAAGTTGGTTGAAAGTTGTCAAATGTCATACAATCGTTAAAATAAAGTGCCTTTCTCATAGAATAATACTAAATGTAAAAAATATTTTATTATCTCAATACAAAAATACAAAAGTATTAAATTTCTTTACGCCAATATTTGAAAAGATTATATCAACGTTTGTACTGACCTTTTTATTTTTCCGTAGTAGTGCAGTTAAATAGATTTAACTTATAAAGCGTTAAAAATTTGCGTACAGTGCCCATAATACATTTCCTTCTCTTTTATTGTGAAAAACTGCTTCTATATCGATTGTTAGTTAATTTTCAAGGCATAATTTTTGATTTACTCATAAAAATGAGAGATTTTAACGCCGGTAGATTCCCAAGTTAGAGATTCTAATGGGAATTCCAATAAATACAACTGTCACTTTTTGTACCTTTAAAGTTTCCCCTGTAGAATTTTTAATATATTGCAATTGTAGTAATAAAAAAATAAAAAAAATGTGTATTGGGTATTGGTTATTTTCGTGTAGATGTCGCTTTATACAAATATTTAATTTATTATTTTTGGGATAATAATAAGTATTTGTAGTATAAAAAGTATAGTATGCAACTGGTTTATAAATGTTTCTTTTAATTTAAACATTTAATTAAACACTCGCTAGCAAGCTCCCTCGTGACTAAAATTGCGTTTATCAAACTTGATACATAATATACTATTTAAAACTATTTTAGAGAAAAGAAACAAGCGAATTAGAGCAATACTTACCGCAACGAAGAGATTATTCATTGTATATAAAAATACACGAATTGCAGGCAAAATTATACAAGTCGTATTTAGAAAATGCGAAAACTGTTGTGAAAAAGAATAACAAAAATGGTAATTTCTTTAAAGATTATAAAGTTCTTAGCTACGTGTCGTCGCATCCGCACATTCTAAAAATTGTAGAACAAAAGGTAACTTTAATATATTTTTTTAAATTTTAATATTAATAATATCTGTCTTATTTTAGAAAGAGTCGCACAAAAAGGTAAAGGAAATGGATGTTATTATTGAACAAGATGAACAAGAAAACATAGATTTAATAAACAACAGAGAATGGCTTCAAAGTATACCGCCGGAAGTGACTGAACAATGCGAACTGGGAACCAAAATGGTCGTACTAAAATCCATTATTGAAGAAGCGGAAATTTTGGGAGACAAAGTGTGAGTAATTGACATGAAAATTATTTTACATTTCTCATTAAATTTCAGTTTTTAATGTCTAGGGTTAATTTGTAATTTTGATTTTTTTGGAAATTTGGGACTGCATTTTTTTTCATAAAAATCATTTTTCGACATTTTTGGTTTATTTGTCATTTCATAAAAGTAATCGTTTCTATTAACATTTTCAAAGCTTTCACTTTCAAATTTATAAAAATAGGTACCTAAGGTATAGGTAAAGTTTTTTCTTTTAGGTGGTAAAAAAATTTAATTTATTATTATATAAAATTGTTTTGACCAATATTTTTATTATTTGAAAAATTTCAAAATAACTGACAAATATTTATTTATTTAACAACCAGATACAAGTGTACAGAAATAGAATTTCCGCCTATTGGAGGTAATAAATTACCTCTACATAGGTCCAGTAAATAACTTAAAACTATACTAAAACTAAAATAATATATAATATTTTCTACTACAGTTTATAATTTGACATTTAATACTATTAAGTTAATAATGAATTATTGGTACAGTTTTTGGTAATCCAGTCTTTTAACATTTTTTAAAACTGAAAACAAAATCTGTTTTTTGGGTTATTTACAAAATTTTTTTACCAACTGCAAGCTTGACATTTGGCAGTACAATACTTTTAAACCTAGTTTTTTTATTACTATTTGCTATTAAAATTGATAAGTATGGTTTTTTAAATAGTAATTTTGATAAATATCAAGATGTTTGTCTCAAAACTGATCATTTCCTTGAATTATCCTTAGTACCCTTTTCTGCAAAAATATTATTATTATACAATCATAAATTTTATAATTGTTTCAAATTGTTTTTGTTAATAAGCATACAATTGCTGAAAATAAAAATGCACATTCATTATGATAGATGTTTTAAAAAAAAAATTCTCATAAAAATGCACAAATTTGCTAGAATTTGTAAAAATACGAGATGTATTGAAAAAACTAGAGATGTCATGGAAAAGCATGAGACCTGGCAACATTGCACATGAATGTCATATTCGGTAAAATTTGGTTCATTTCTGTTAAAATAAACATTTAGGTGAAATAGGTAAAATTACACTAGTTTAGGTGGTAAAGTGTAAAAATTGGGTGCTTACATTTCTTATAAAAATGAAAATTTGGGTAAAATAAGCAAAATAAAATCAGACTCAAATAAAATCATTTTCTTCAAAACGGATTTTATTCCATTGTACCTAAAGTTATTAAAGTTATGGCATAGACAAATAGGCAATAACTATGGCACGCCGTTTTAGCATTTTTTAGATAAAAGTTTAAATATTAAAGTTTAGCACTTAAATTATGTTTTAACAGAAATTTATAAAGTTATATTTTTTTAAACTCGAAACAATTGATAGTCAAAAAATATTTTAAATATAAAATGCAACAGAAAAGTAGTAGAAGGCACAAGAGTCTGGGATCGGAGCCATGATGCAGCCAGTTTGATCCGTTGATGTTTTTTGATTGTCGAATTAACTTAATACAATAGGCACTAAAAATGTTGTTGTCCTATTATTAAATTTATGTAATAAAGAAACATTTCATTATGATAATTTGTAAAACCCGTCAAATATTTATGGAGCAAGCACGATTTGGCAACACTGTGTCTTCTACTAAAGCTACGTTTACACTTTGTAATTTAAAAATTATCGACTTACATTTAAATGTAAAGTTATAAATTTTGTCTTAAAAATGTATCAATTTAAAATTGTTCAAAATAAAAGTTATTGGTTTAAATTTGTAAAGAGTCTTTTAAATGATAGTCGATAAATTTTTAATGCCAAAATTACCACTTTAAAATTTAAAACTAACATTTAAATGTAATGTTCAAATTTTTTAATTAAAAATTTATCGACCATCATTTAAACGACTCTTTACAAATTCAAACCAATAATTTTGAAGAATAAAATATTAAAATTCCATTTTTTTTAATTAATATTTTTAAACTTAAACTTTTACAGTTGCATTTTATATTTAAAATATTTTTTGATTATCAATAGTTTTGAGTTTCCAAAAATTTAACTTTTTAAACTATTTTGGTAGAAAATGTTTTATACGTGTTTTTATTTTAAATGGCTTGATACTATTTTTAAATACTAAAAAATTTAACTTTACCAAATTAATCTCAATAATTTTATAAAATATTTATTTAAGTTAACAAAATGCCACCCAAATAAATTATACTTGAGAAATGATTTTTATTAAAAAAAATGAAATTTTTGCAAAAATTGATAGAAAATAATGTTGTTTAATACAGAAGTGAACTGTTGGTTAGTAAATTTTGTCTTTCAATACCTACATGATAGTAGAAAATATTATAAATTTATAAATGTAAACCTAAAATTTTTAGTTAGGAAAATTTTAAACCAATGAAATTTTAAATTAAAAAATTATTTAATAAATGTTAAAACGGCGTGCCATAAATAACACTAAAATCCCATCTCTAATAATAACATGTATTTGTTGGAAAGAAAATGACGAATGAACAAAAACTGAGCAAAAATGATTTTTATCAAAAAATATTTAGTTAATAGTATATTCACCTTCCACTAAATTTACCCAATGCTTAATTGTCATAGTTACAATTGTGTCAACAATGGTAACTATGAAAGTTATCCATCTAGTAAATTTAAAGGGAGGTGAATATACTGGCCCTAAAAAAAATTAATATTGCAAGTTAACAATAGACAATAAAAATGGAAAAACTTTAAATCCCTATTTTTATTGTCTATGGTTAAAAAACTTTTATCAAGATTGAAATTTTCTGAGAAATGAAAAATCCATGGACATACTGTATATATTGTACAAATTTGAATGATTTTTTTCACAATATCGCGAAAACAAGAGCTTATTCATATTAACCTAAAAAAGATTATTGGCAAACTGGTTCAGAAGTGATCCGAAAATAAATCTGTTTTTAAAAAGCAATGAATAAGTTTATACACATATATAAATGCTTTTTATTTTTTTAGTTTGGTGTTTTCCATAAATCTTAGCGAGATGGATTGCGTCGAGCATTTCTTGAAAAAATATGGGACAGCTCATTGTCCATCATGGTCTAAAAATCAAGACTATTTCAGGATGGACGGGACAGTACCGCCAGAAGAAAGGGCTTCAATGTGTTCTGCTTTTAATAACCCAAAAAACAAAAGACTGAGGTATTTAAATAAATAAATATTTATTTTATTTTTAAACCCTTATTATTTCAGATTGTTCATAATGTCCCATAAAGTTGGCGGGTTAGGATTAAACTTAACAGCAGCCAATAGGGTTGTGTTACTGGGTGTTAATTTTAACCCAAGCTATGATACCCAAAGTGTATACAGGGCCTACAGATTTGGACAGGAAAAAGAAGTGTTTGTTTATCGCCTTATAGCTCTTGTAAGTAAAAACTAATGCTGTTATAACAAATAATTTTTTTTAATTTTTATTTTATATTGTTAATATCACAAAATATTTGACATCTTAGGTGGCTCCAAGTCTTATTTTCTCAAAAATAAGTTCTCAGCAAAAATTTCTCAAAACAAGAAATTAACAAAGCAAAAATTTCTTAAAGCAAAACATTATTAAAGCAATACATTCTCAAAGCAAAAAAGGCTCCAAACAAAATTAAATTTCCTATACAACAAATATTCTATGCATTTACCAATAAAATGCATAGTGTAAAAGATATGGACCATTTAATAAATTTTACTGTCAAATTTCGAAAAACCAATTACTTTATCAATAGTTGACCATAAATGTTGTAACATGCACTCTACATTTTGTTGCATTATTGTATAAAACTATTTTTGTAGGAAATTAAATGTCCTTTATCTATTTTGCCTTCATAATGAATTCATTATTATGGTGCTGTAATGAGATACTTTATCCCCCAAAAATTTTGATTTTATAGGTTGGCTATACTTTAAAGAGCATACTATTAAAATAATATTTTAAATATTGGTTATAATATTTTTATGATTTTTCTAGTACTTACGAGACTTTTCTGGCAATAAATTTTGTTTAACACCAAAGAAAATCCTTTTTTTCTTCTTTAACATTAACAGCCGCTTATTGTAAATAAGTAAATTAAGGACGGCATGGCGAATTGATTTTGACATTAACTGTCAAACCAATGACTGTGATATCAACTATTTAAAGTAAAATTCGACCAATTTAAATTTAAAGAATTTTTTCAAAATAGATAAAATAGCATAAAGAACTCATGATATTATCTATTTTGCAAAAATTCTATAAAAATATTAATTTTATACCTTAAATTTAATTTGGTCGGCATTGGTTTGACAGTTTATGTCAAAATCGATTCGCCATGCCAAAAAAATGACTTGATTTTTTTCGTATTACCCTTTGAATAAAATTTAAAAAATAAAATAGGCAATTTTTCGTAAAATTTTCCAATTGTTTTTTCCGCCGCGGCTCAATTTTTTCGGAAATTTTAAAACCCTACTTTTGACACAAAAGTCAAATTTGAGGTTATCAATAATTATTAATTTTTACCAAACATTCTTATAAAAACAGCGGTTGTAGAAAAAATCCTGTGTGTAATTAGAGCGCAAAGTGACATTGCCGCTCTCGCTCAGAGCGACAATGTATCACTTTGCGCAATTTGTACATTAGATGCAAAACTCGGTTTTTGCAAATTTAAAAAATATATATATTTTATCCTATTTATGTTCATAACTGCACTGCCCACAGCATACCTAAGTAAACCAGATGCATAAGTTAATATTTGTAGAACAAAATACATTTATAAACTTACCGCAGATGCAAAACTGGGTATTTGTTTCTTCCTGTCGGATGCAAAACTCGGTATTTGCTGTTGACCAATCACGTCGCTAGTATACGCATTATGTGATGACATAACAATTACCTGATTAATTGTTATTTTTTGGGATTTGCATTGTTGCATTTTTTGGTATTTGCATTGTTATTTTTTGGTATTTGCACTTTTCACTTGCAAAACTTAGTCTTTAAACGAGGAAGATGCAAAACTATGTTTTTAAATCTTTTGATTTAAATTATTAACTAAACTACCTAATTTTAAAGGATTTTTTTTACTTTTTTGAATAAGAAATGATGCAAAAGCACGCCTATAAAATTTTTGCATTTTTTTTTCAAAAATGACCTTATGAGCGGTTTTTCGTGTTTTTCTTAAAATCACTTATCCTGCAAATACAGAGTTGTGTATCTAATGTACTAAAATAGCTTTTGTGTTAATTATAGTTATTATTTGCAAGTTGTATTCTTTCTTACCTTATACATGGTGCTGTTCTGAGAGGTGATTTTTGGACTTTCTGTGAAACCAATTTTTTTTTATATTCTTGTTAATTAGGTTATAACTAAAATTTTAAGAGCAAAATAAAAAAAATTTGACGGTTTGAATTGTTTTAATTGGCTGTTTATTAAAAATATTATGCACTCTTTCAATTATCCAATAAAACTAGCGATTTAATTTAAATATTTAATATTTGCATAACTAAAAAAAAGGTTTTTACAATTTTTTTTATATATTTTACTGTTTTGTTGCAATAAACGTTCAAACTTTTAATCTAACCTTTGACGTATACATTTATGTTCCCTTAATTAATATATCCTTAAAGGTTGCCATGAAACTTAGATCTATTAAAAATTTATTTGATGTTTGAATTGTCATTTTCAGTATACGTATTCTATAATTTTTGTTTAGTTTTTTTAAGTGTTTTTTATGAAAAATGTTAGTAAAAGTTACGAAGAAATTCATGAAATTTAACTAAGGACCGGTTTATTCATCTTTAGTAAAGTTTATCGGGCCGATAACTTTCATGTCTTGGCAATATCTAGTATCCAAAGAAATTATTCGTCAAATAAATCAAAAATGAATAAATCGGCCCTAAATAAAATGTGGCACCCTTAGAATAATTGTTTAATAAATGTATACTATATATTTAACCTTAAATTAAAACTTTAAACGTGTATTACCTACAACAAAACAGTAAAAGATATAAAAAATTTATAGACCTTTTTTTAGGAAATTAACTAATCTTTAATCTGATTTAAAAAGTTATGATAATATTTAAATAAAAGTTTTAATTGGAGAATTGAAAGTGTGCATACATATTTTTAATAAACATCCAATTAAAACAATTCAAACCGTCAAATTTTTTTTATTTTGGTCTTAAAATTTTAGTTATGACCTAATTAACAAGAATATAAAAAAAATTAGGTTTCACAGAAAGTCCAAAAATCACCTCTCAGAACAGCACCGTGTATAATAATTTTACTGTTCAGTGTCTGTTTAATGTCCATACATTTTTGCGATTTTAGGGTACGATGGAGGAAAAAATCTACCTCCGTTCGATCACGAAACTGGCAATCGCCGGCCGCGTGATCGACAGTCGCCAAATCACGCGGCACTTCAAATCCAACGATCTGCAAGAGATGTACCAGTGCGATCTGAAGATCGACGAGGAACGAGTCACGCCGAACGTGCCCGAAGACAAGCTGCTCGCCAAGCTGGTGTCCAAGTACACGTGCATCCACAAGTACGAAGATCATTCGGCCCTTTTGGCGAACAGACCCGAAGAAGAGCTCAACGAATCGGAGAAGGAGCTCGCGTGGGAGGAGTTCAATAAAATTGCCGAAGGTGAGTCATTTTTATGTACGTTAATGGCGGGGTGGCCATTTCCTGGAAAACCTGAACTATAATGGCCCTTTATAATAATAATAATAATAATAATAATAACGTTTATTTTCAAAAAACAACTACAGTTGTATAGAAAAGTAAAAAATGAAAATATGGCAATACCTTGAAAAAAATACAAAAAATATAAAAAATTATAACATTAAACTAAAAACTATAATAAGGAACAATATTTGTGTTCTTCTTACCAAACCAAATCCAAAATTATTTAACCAGATTATTAAACTGAATTATCATCCAAATATTCACCATAGTTATAATAAGCTTTTGAAATTAAAAGTTGTTTAATGGTGTACTTAAAGCTCCTTAAATTTAAAGATCTAATATTTTTATTAAGTTAAAATAACTAAATACTTCTTTGAAACAAACTGGTGTTATTTGATTCGTACATAATTAGACCACTTTGGCGAGTGTTTGCATTAAAAAAATTAAATTCATTCTTATTATTATGTACAAAAACTAAGCATTCGAAAATAAACAAGGAAGGAAACGTTAATATATTTTTTAGTCTAAAGTATTCCCTGCAACTGTCCCTTCTTTTTAAACCTAGGATTATTCTTAGGGCGTATTTTTGTAATATAAAAATTTTGGAAGACGTTACTGAAGAGCCCCAGTTAATTATACCATATCTGAGGCGACTTTCGAAATAACTAAAATAAACTAATTGTAACGCCTCTACGCTAATTTCTTTAAGTTTTAAAATTCTTAGACAGTAGCAGGCAGATCTCAATGAGTTGCATAATGTATTAACGTTGTCCTTCCAGTTCAAAGCAGAATCTATAATTAAACCTAAAGTTCGTTCTTTATTTTCATAATTGATGTTGAAATTTAAAGTAGGATGCTCAGTGTTGATTTGTCTTTGATGAAAATACACACATTTTGTCTTTTCAAAATTAATTTCAATTTTGTTAAGAGTGCACCAAGTTTATATTTTATTAATTGTCATATTTATACGATTTTTTTGAATCATAAAGAAAGTATCATCTGCAAACATAGTTGTGCCCTTAATGAACTAAAGGCCCTATAAAGGTCTAAGTCTAATGAAACTGTACTTATTATGTCGCGTTCACCTTTCATGGGCATGTAACGGCAGTCAATAAAGGCACACAAGAACCATTCCATTTTTTGATATGGCGCGCTAAAGGTTCTGATATGGCAGATTAAAGGTACAATTGTGGCTAGCTCCCTGATAGCAAAATTTGATTTTAAGAATCTTCTAAGAAGATATGACCCGTAATAATAAAATATTCTTAGAAGCTTCCATTATTGCTAAGAATGTTCTTAGGGACTTTTAAAACATTCAATAGATACCTACCCTTTTAATGATGCAATTAGATTCTTAAAATCTTCTTAAAACCTTCCTAAAAAGCATCCTAAAAACATTTTAAGAATACGTTTTTGGAATGTTCTTAAAAGGGTTCTTATGGAGCTTCTAGAAAGCTTTTGAGAATATTTCCAAATATGTCAGTTCTAATATGTTGTATTCTACATTCGTAAAATTCTTCAGGAGACGACAAATACGCCTCACTGTCATAATATGACAGTGAAATGTATTTGTCGTCCCCTTAAAAAAATTTGCGACATATTAATATAAATTTATTTAAAAATATTAAATAAATAATTTAACCTCTAAACCATAAGTTGTATGGCATTATTTCATAAAAAGTAAAATTGGAAAATTTTGTGGGATAAGTCGGATTAGATTGAAGTTGAAGATAGTTAGGATTATTATACATAAAAATGTTAATTCTGAAATAAAAAATCGGTATACAAATTAATAAGTATTTATTTTTAACATAAAATAAAATACCTATAGTAAAAGTATTTTTGTTATTGAATATTGTTTTAATTTGACAAATAACTATAAAAAAATATTTTGGATTGTGTTTTTTACTTAGTATTTAATTCTAATTACTAATTAGGTACTTAAGTATAGGTATATACCTTTATAAGTAGTTTATGGTATATTTTACTATTATATAGGTAACTGAACTGAATATTCTTAACAGGAATATTCCTAAATGAACTTTCTATAGCAATTACTTTCCTAACATTCTAAGCATATGTTTAGAGTAGACTAATTTTTACCACTAAAACTTTGCACCTTCTAAGAACCTGCCTATAGGCCAGTAAAAATATTCTTAGGATCATGCTATATGTCTTTTAAGCATGTTCTTTAGAAGAAATATAGCATGATCCTAAGAATATTCTCACTGGAAGGTTTAAAAACATTCTTAGAATAAAGTGTGTTATCAGGGATGGCGTTAACCAAAGGATAGTTAAAGGTTCATTTAAGTTTTATATACAGAAAACATTTGGCACTTCAATTGTTTTTTAAAGTCACATTAACTTGATACTGGAAATTGCCATATATGGGTCTTTTATGGTTAAATAAAAACAAATTAGCCTGACAACATTAATATTTTTATTAAAACATTCCATGAACAAGAAGAGCGTTGGCTAAAAATGCCATTATTAAGCCATGAAACTATAGTCCATTACATATATGTAATGGGCTATTACATAATCAGACTTATGTGTTTGCTGGGTCCTGTATGTAGAAACCTAAGACAAAGAAAGGTAGAAACCAAAACTGTTTCTCATACATTATCCATAAAAGGATATAAAAATTTAAAAACTTTTAAAAAGTTACACCATTGTTAAAAGAACCAATTAAATTTATCTCTCAGTTTAAAATTTAGTCAGGAGAAAATTAAAAAAAGCGAGAAATTTCGGGGATATTTCGTTCAGACAAAAAGTGGCCACCCTGAATGGGAACTTCAACAAAAACCGGTTAAATCTCTAAAGCACGAGATTTTACTAATAACACTGTGCAAAAAAAATAGCTGGGTTGGGATCATTAAAAATTTATACAGTTTTACAAAAAAATAAATACGATTCGGGATTTTGTTCATATTGGCTGTAGTTTTCTTAAGAAACAATTGTTGTATATTTTTAATTATTTCTTAAGAAACAATTGTTGTATATTTTTAATTATATATCCTATCCATATTCTTTAAAAATTAAAAATTAATTATAATTAATTTTTAAAGAATATGGCTAGGTCGGTTATACGAGAGAAAAGTTGCGCAAGCGTTTTTGAAAATATTTGAAAAAAACAACTTAAATTTAAAAAAAAGTAAGTTTTACATCAATACTCTATTTTAAGTTGCCATCACCCTCTTTTGTTTTTATGACTGCCATAAATTGTGTAGTAACTTTGATACATCATTCAGTGGCGGCTGGTGGATTTTAAGTATACCAATATCTCAGTTATTAGACATGGGACCCACACCAAATTTATAATAGTTTATATTGACATTAAATAAACAAGTTCGGCGCAAACAGAATTTAAATTGAAGTTTGCGAAAAAAAGTTAGTTTTTCCTGTCGCCTATCCTGCCTCCAGGCCCCCCTATTTGAGATAATTCAAATTAAAGTGGTGCAATTTATTATCTACTATAATTTATCGACAAATTTAAAATTTTATTTAAAAAATCCAAATATTACAGTTTTTATACCATTTTAAATATTTTTTTATTTTAATAAAATAAATAATAAAAATTTAAAATCGAATAAAATCTGTAATATTTGGATTTTTTGAATAAAATTTTAAATTTGTCGATAAATTATAGTAGATAATAAATTGCACCACTTTAATTTAAATTATCTCAAATAGGGGGGCCTGGAGGCAGGGTAGGCGACAGGAAAAACTAACTTTTTTTCGCAAACTTCAATTTAAATTCTGTTTGCGCCGAACTTGTTTATTTAATGTCAATATAAACTATTATAAATTTGGTGTGGGTCCCATGTCTAATAACTGAGATATTGGTATACTTAAAATCCACCAGCCGCCACTGACATCATTCCTTGACCCAACCTTGTAAAATTTCAATATGGCGACCATAGAAAAAACAAAAGATGGGGGTGGTACTTCAAAACCTAGTGGGAGAAAAAAGCACCAATTGTAAGAAAATGTAGATTAATGTGTGTGTTCACATTTGAAATTTTCTTTTCTTCAAAATTTCCAGGAAAAACAAAGCTACAACGATTTTTGGTTTTGATAGATTTAATTTTTTTTCAAATGATTCGAGAACCGCTAATTTTTTCAAATGCCATTTTAATAGACTTGTAATTACGCAACTTTTGTTTAATTTAAACAAATTTGAGAACCGCTGATTTTTTTTATTAATAATTAAAAAATAAATAAAAAAAAACTGAAAACTTTTCAAAACCAAAAATCGTTATAACTTCGTTATTCCTAGGAATTTTGAAAAAAAGTAAGTTTTCCATGTAAACATACACATTAATCCACATTTTTATCAAATTTGTGATTTTTTTCATATGGCCGCCATATTGAAATTTAGTTATATTGCACTAGTTATCAAGAACTATCGGATTTTCAAAATTAAAAAATGTATACAACAGTCAAACAAGTAGGTACCTATTAATTTTTTGTAAAACAGGATTATGTCTATAAATTTGTGTAAATAAAATTCCTGTCACACAAAACATAATTTAGAGATTGTTACCAAAAAGAGTTTAACTGGTTTTTGTAAGCACCGTTTTATAAAAATGTAACTAATCAAACACATTTATTTTGTTTATATTTTAGCTGCACCAGCACCGCAAATGTAAGTTGAGTTTAACAAAATATTAGAACTTTTTTTTTTAATAATTATTTTCAGAAATCCTGTTCCATCTGCTCTCAATATACAAATGGGTGATCCTGCATACCAAGGAGGTGTTATCGCAAATACTATTAACGTGCCCGGTACATCCAACACCATAAACCAAACTTTTACCATCAACAACATAAACTTTCAACCTTCCACGACTACTCAAAATAATTTGAATGAAACGCCAAATTCACATAAAAATTTAAGCATCCCAGGAAGACAAAAGCCAATACCAAATTCCCTATTAAAGAAACATCTTTTATTTTCAAACACAAACCAACCGCCATTACCAAATTCCCTATTAAAGAAAAATCTTTTATTGTCAAACCCAAACCAACCGTCGCGAAGTTCTTTTAATAACAATTTCAGTGGTACCAAAAGGCTGAATAAGAACTTCAATGCACATTTGGCTAGAGGTGACCATATAATAAAACAAATAACGGAAAACTACAGATCGGTGCAAAAGTCGGTGCCAAATGCCAATAAAAATGCAGGAACTGTTATAGATGTTGATTCGCTTAGAGAACCGATAAAAAAACCAGTTATCACTTCTTCTTCAAGTGAAGCATCTACCATCAACTTGCAAAATCCCACGAATTTAAACTACAACGTTAGAAAACGGAAAAATAAGAGCAGCAAACAAAACCCCAATCATCGCATTATAGAAAAAATCACAATCGCCGAGTCTTCTTCCGATGATGACGTTGTTATACAAGAAATGCCAGATGAGACTGCCGATTACGTTGAAAGGATTAAAACCATGGGTGTTAGCATAACCAAAGTGCCTAATGAGAAGAAAGAACCAAGGATTGGTGAGATTTTTGTGAAACGCGAAATGGATTCTGCGCAACTCTAAAAACATCCTCCATGGCTAGCAAGCCTTCTTGATAAACACAAAAGGTTTTTGGGGTCGCACAGAACCTATTTTGTTGTTTTCGCTAAGATTATATTTTTTAATGATAATGATAATTTGTTACAGAGACCATCACTATCATCTAATCATTTTTTTTTAACAATATTATATTTTAAATCAACTTTAAGTTTCATTTATTACTTATTTGTGTTATTTAAAGTTATTTACCATTTGTAAAAATATAATGATATGTTTTATAACCAACGTCGGATTATATATTTTTGAGATAATTGTTTTATTAATAAAATCCCTATAAAAAGGCCTCTTGGAAATCCTCTACTAAAAAGTTAAAAAATGGTAAGTTAAAAAATATAAAAAAGTTATTTTCTACTCGCGTGCGCAAAGTAATACTTATCCGCACGCATTCGCATGCGCACGTATACAGGAATACTATTATTATATCATGAAGCCTTTAATAGGTAGTATTTTTAATTAAAAACAAAAAATATTGCATAAATAGTTAAATATGGGTCTTACCATCTCAAATCGCTACCGAAATCGATGAGACCCGTATTTTTTCTTTTTTCTTAAACTTGTTGTTTACCCGAAGGGTGCAGCGAGCCCTGAGCCGCTAAAGTTCAAATAACAAAAAGGAATCAATGTCGGTTCTGCACGTGATAACGGAACCAAGTGCTAAAAGAAAGGAAATAATACTAAGTTTGAAAAGTGCGGGTGGCCCCCGGTTAAGTCACAAAGTGCTGTAGCGTAGTGGAGGTTTGTGTGAGAGTGAGTGAAAAGGTTGGGGCACTCCGATGATTGATTATTATTATTATTATTATAATTTAATCGTTAAATGTTTATATACGCAAATTCGCAATGTTGCTAGAAATGTCATTTGGCTTCAGAAATCAAAACAGTGAGAAAAGTAAACTAGTTCAAGTTTTAATTAAATGAACAGTTTTTGGTACATTCAATACGACCGTTGCGCATAATTGTTAATTAAAAGTCGAATGATACCTACATTCTTTAAATTAAACTCGTACAGTTTGTACAAAGATTTCAATAAATTATGAAAAAATAATAAGATAACATTTCCGTAAGTGTTAAACTAACAACCTCATTTTCTCAGAGTATACAAACCATAAACAACTTAAATAAATTGAAAAAGGCGTAAGAGTAAATAGACCAAATCAAGCAAGATGACAAAAAATTTAGATCATAAATAAGTGTTGTGTGTGAATAGGTAATATTGTATATGCATTTAAGATTCCAGCTATAAATCAAAGCCAAATAAACATAAGCTCAAAAAATACAAGAACATCACAGAAGATAAGAAGAACGACCCTCTCAATAGCCAATGCAGGCCATATGGCAGCATACCAATTACGTACACTACAGGGCCGGCTTTATCTATTTTGTATATTAATATTTATATTTTTAAATTAAAATTTGGAAAAAAAGTAAGAATGCAAAGATATAAATTAAATGAAATCGGTATAAACACTAATTTCGCAATAAAACAAATATACAAGGTTGGTAGCCGGCACTCGGCAGGAGGAATATCCACCAAGGCAGAGGGCACTTACGGTGTGTCATGGCCGTCAACACTTCGGTACGGAAGACAAGACTCAGTATCACACAGAGGGGCAAACAATTCTAAAGAGGTTACCAGGAACGTGATACTGACTCGGACAGAGATGTTCAGAAATACACCATCAAGGATAGGCTCTAGCAGCATACTAATTCACCTACTCCCATTCAGCAATCCCAACTGAATGGGGTTACTACTAAAGCCCTGGTTGAGGAGGATTCCGGATTGTACTTAGTTTTGGGTCAGTTCAACGTCCTCCAAAAACCCTTCCTAAACTGGACGTGTGGCCCGACCCAGCTGACAAAAATCCGTGGAGCGGCCTTAAGCATAGACACTGTCATCCACGACCTCCTAGGGTGGATCTACCAGCCGGCGTAAAAACTTCGGATCCAACAAACACAGGTACTGCTGTGATTTGGCGGGATACGCAGGAGAACGTAAAGGGGGTAAAATAACCCTGGGAGATTAGTGGAGGATAATGTTTTTGGGGCCTGCCATACGTCCCATACTCATACTCATACTTGTTGTTTACTAGAAGGAAAATTTTGAAAAATGGACAGAAACATCAATTTTTCTATTTTTATAAGTGACATTTTTTCTTGAATATGCGATAAAAATGTTTCGATCGTTGGATTTTTTTTTAAACTGTAGGTAAATGTTTACTACCTACATACAAAAAATATTTAACAAAATAAGTGAATAAAAAAAAATTAAATTGTTTTTTTTTCTAAAAAAGTCAAAATTTTGACATTCTTGGAAAAAATAAATAAAAACTCAAGAACTACAAGTTTTATGCCCTTAAATTTCTAATGCCCTTCTGTATTTATTTACTTATCCAGCTATTAGCTTAAGCAATGATTAGAAAATTTAGTCCCTATTTTAAAAACTCCATAACCACAAATTTTTTTCTTTCTGTTTACTCAGATGAAATTAGGTTAAACTTTAAACATTCAATTTGTGTAAATAAATCCAAAAGCACTAGATTCTGTCATAAGAGTTGCCAGATTTTGTTTGAATTTACCTTAATTACAAAAATGACATAAAGAACAATTAATAAAAACCCCATATTAACAATTTGCATATGCATACAATATTGTTGATTTTGTCATTTTTGTAATTACTTAAGCTAAATTTAAACAAAATCTGGAAACTTTTTTTGACAGAATCTGGAAACGCTGGTCGTTACCAACCATAATTAAGATAATAAATTAAAATAGGCAACCAGATTTGCCTAAAGTTCCTATAGTCGACCAGTGGCCTACTTTTTGGTAAGATAAAGGATATTATACATTATTTTGTCTTTAGAAAAAAGTTTCAGGTGCTTCTTTATGAACAGCAAGAAAGGGAATAGGCCTCTACTACTCATTTTATTATATTACATTAATTACATAACAGTGTGTTAAACACACTGTATTACTAATAGTAATTTACTATAGTAAAGCTAGCTAATCAGTTTTTTTAATTAAAAAAAATAGTAATCAATGAATTAAATCAATTAATTTAATTGCCTGCGAATTAAAATTTTATTTCATTTATTATTTATTTTCTATAAATTGGTACCTATTTTAGTTTTTATGAAAATAAAATTATTAATATAAGTAGGTTTAAAAAAAATCTTTTTAAACTTTCTTTAAAAAATTTATAAATTGTTGGATCCAGCTGGATTGATGTTGATCCAGCTGGATTTTTGCTGGATCAACATCTTACTAACAGGGCTCCCACACCTCCTAAAATTCATAAAATTCCTAAAATTTGGCTTAAATCTTAAAAACCCCTAAAATTCTCCTAAAATTACCATCCATCTCCTAAAACTCCTAAAAATTAAATATAAATAGGCCAACCTGAATGCATTTAATTAAGGTAGTTGTGCCAAAAAATTTCTTTTTTAAGAAGTAATTTAAAAAATATATATTTTTAGGTTCTAGTTTATTAAATTATTTTTAAAATGATTTATCACAACATTAACTTTTCTTAAAAAACAACAAAATTTACCTACCTAAAAAACAAAATCCATGTAGTAGCTTCAGACTTCTACAAAATTGTCATGTTTAACCATATTTCTGTTTGTTTTCGACAAAAATATACCGTGTTATATATGAAACAAAAGGATTTTTAATTTTCATTTAAATGATAACATGAGAAACAATCTAAATAATGTTTTCTTGTATTAAGCAAACTTTATATATTTCCTATTATGAGATTTTTGAGTAACAATTGGACGCCTTTCTGCAGAAAGGAACCAACCCACAAAACCAAAAAAATCGAGATATTTAGCCTATGAACTAATTAAGTATGTATAATTTATCTGCCAAATAGGTCATAGCCAAAATGCAAGTGTAGTGAAATCTATTAATCATTGAACCAACCAACATTCAATAATAGTGTGGATTACTAATCCAGAATTAGAATCTGTAGAATATCTGCAAGTGGGTTGGATCTTTTTTGTAAAAAAGCAGGCTGGTAGACCCACTACCAAAGTCTTTAAAGATTTCCTGCTTCTGCAAAATATAAAGTCTTAATGCATTTTTTTGGTAACTTACAAGATGAGGTGGGGTTGGAAGATGATGTGGACGAATTTTAAATAGAATCAAAATTAATTCATATTACCATTATAATAGTAATATCAGTTGTATTTTGTTTGGAAATAAATAATTGTCGCTTTTCTTTAAATACATACATACATCAGATAGTAGTTTTCATAAATTGCAGAAAGGAACCAACCAACAAAAGCCCATTTTTTTCGTCACCCTTACACATAACATCACAAAATTCACCTGATGAAATTATTAAATTATATCCCTTAAACCTCCGTAAGTCCAAAATCGGCATAAAATTAACAGGTAATTTTAAAATTATTAAAATCTTTGACAGCTTTTTTCTCAGTTTCATCATGGTGTGGGTTGGTCTCATTCTGCAGAAAGCCGTCCAATTATTGTTAATTATTAATTTCTCAAAATATATATACAACATCATTTGGCTTTGGCCTAGTTTTTGTCACATCAGAAATTTCTACTTGTGTATATACCTCAGATACTCGTATATACAAAATTAGTAATTTTACCCCACTTTTAATTTTATCTAAAAAAAAACTCGTCGAGCGATTTGGCTAAAAAAACTATTCTATGTAACCTATTTGTACAAAAGAAGTGATGTTTATTTATACTTTTTTTAAATAATTATTTATTTTTTAAGTATAGTTTAGAGTTGTTTTTATTTAATTACATAAATTCATTTGAATACTTTATTTCTCCTAAATTTCTCCAAAAAACCTTCTCCTAAATTCCTAAATAAAATTTGTAATTTAGCCGTGGGAGCCCTGTACTAAGAATGTTGGAATAAAATGTTGATTATTAAAAAAATGATTTTATTACGACAGCACTGTAAAAAACTTAATTTTAATCACACAAACTCGAATCACATTTAATCGGTGGCGTCGGCTTTGGCGACGGAGAAGGGTTCGGCGACCTCCTCGACCCCGCAGTCGGCGATCAGAACGTCTTCGGCCGGCCTGTCGCGGCCGTCGGTTTTTCCCGCCTCGATCTTGCGGATCACGTCCATGCCGCTCAGCACCTTGCCGAACACGACGTGCCTGCCGTCCAGCCACGAGGTGGTCTTGGTGGTGATGAAGAACTGCGAGCCGTTGGTGTCCTTGCCGGCGTTGGCCATGGACAACCAACCGGCGCCGTAGTGCTTCAGCTTGAAGTTCTCGTCCGCGAAGCGTTCTCCGTAGATGCTGCGGCCTGAAACAAAATAATAATAATAATAAAATTTATTTCCAAAAACGACAATTCACAAAATTGTATAGGAAAACGTCTAAAATATAATATAAAATACATATAGAATTGTAAACATTTACATATTGTTAAAAAAACATATATGGGTAATTCTTTTACAAACCGTACGGATTTTAATGAAAATTGACCGACACATCTCCGATTTGGCTGAAACTTTTTTTACGGATTCTATATCGAAAAATAAGAGACACGTCCCAAGCAACAATTTAAGTATTTGTTACGTATATGGGACTATTGAAGAAACTTCAAAGTGTTTTGCGACAGTCGCCGGTCTCTTTATATTACTATTTCATTACTACGTTACGACTAAAGTGGGGAACAATTATTGAGTTCCAAAAAGGTAGCAAATATGTCACTAGCTACCAACCCTGCTACTATTTGGGACGTAGCTGCTACGTTACTAGAACGTTCCAATATCGTTGCTAGAGCGTTATAATTACTTTTATTATTTGTTTTTACTTCTATATTAACTGTCTTTGTCAAACTTATATTAGATTATACTATCCCTCCTTTTTTAAATGGAACCACTACGGACTTGGCTTTTCAATGTCGTCGTTTATTAAATATGTACTGGTAGTTTATAACTTCCAGAATAACAATATAATATTTAATTAGACAGGTAGATTTATAAACCCTTTAAATTTTACTGTTGAACTTATGAATTTAGTTTTTGTAAAATAAATGCGCTTCATCAATATTTAAGTATAAACAAATTATTTATTTAGTAATGTTTATAAATAAAAAAATCTTAATATTTATTATTATTTTTTTTATTTAATTATTAATACCGTCTATTACCAACAATATTTCTATTTATTAAAAAGTAAACAACCATTTACAAACAATTAAAATAATTTATTATTTACATTACCACGTGGTACTGTACAGTAAAAAATGGCCGATAAGAAGCATTTTCCTTTGAAGTAGTTTTCGCTACTTTAAAGTTTTTTTCCACTTTACGGTTGTTTTGGTTAGTACCATAAACGTTCCAAATACTAAAATAATAACTTTTAAGTTATTAACTTTGTAGTTTTTAACTCATGTTCCAGTTTCGAGATTTTAACTTGCAAAGGGACTACAAAGTAAAAATAATTATAATGTAATCTTCAGGTAGCAACCGAAAGTAACTGCTACAAATTAAATTTACTTGAAAGTTTTTTTTACTTATAAAGTCTTCTTGGGGGCAACCAAGTTTTACTTAAATGTTTATTACTTTATAGTAACAATTTAAGGAAAAATTAAGTTTCTGTTACAAAATATTGCTATTTAAAAGTTAGAATTACTTTTAAGTAAAAATTAAAGTAGCTGTTTAGTATACTTAACTAATTTAAAGTTATCACCACTTTGGCAATGGTTTTTGGAACCAAAAATGCTGCTTGGGGTGTCCGAGGATTTTTTTTTCTTTCGCATATTTTCGATAATACAAGTGATCAAAAATTTGCTTTTTGGCTTGGAGACCCATTTTTAAAAATTTATAACTCCGGTTCTATTTGAGCTACAAACATCTTTTTTTTTCATTTTAAAGCTAAAAGACTGCATTTTAATAACAAAATATTTTTAATAAAAATTATTAACAAATTCATATTGTTATTAACAATTTCATTGTTTAAATCAATTTTTAACAATGGCCCCCACCTCGAATTAAGTTTTTAGTATTTTTATCGTATTCTCCGTCAAATTTTACATAAAAAACATGTTTTTAAAATATGGTACCTTTATTATTACTATTGTTAAAACATTAATTCATATTGCGCGACACAAAAAAAAACGGTTTTTTGTTAATAAAAAGAAAACTATAGCTCGGATCAAAAAAAGTTAAATATAAAAGTTGTAGGTAATAAATAGATCTACAATTTTTGTTTTAACTATTTTTAACCTCACTTTTCAAATAAATTGAAAAAAATGTTAAAAATCACCTCTTTTAAATTTATTAGCAATCAATACCATGAAAAAAAAACATAAATTAATTATAAATTATAAAACAATATTTTAAAAGAGGTGATTTTTAATATTTTTTTCAATTTATTTCAAAAGTGAGGTTGTCGAAAAATAGTTAAAATAAAAATTGTAGATCTTTTTATTATTTACAACTTTTATATTTGACTTTTTTTGATCCAAGCTATAGTTTTCTTTTTATTAATAAAAAACCGTTTTTTATGTGTCGCGCAATATGAATTAATGCTTACAATAGTAATGATAAAGGTACCGTAAACTGGGGCTACTTTGAACGGTTTTTACCCTCAACTGCCGATATTTCCTTTACCGTTACTGTTTTTGAATTATTTTTTTTTCTATATTGGGGGGACTTGTGCCCTCTAGAGAATTGGAATTTATTTTTATTTTTCAATAATTAATAACATATTTTTTTAATTTTTTTTTAGGTGTTCAAAGTAACCTTACGAATGGGGCTACTTTGAACACGCATATAAATGCCGTATTTTTTCAATGTAGCCCCATACAAAGGGGCTTCATTGAACAGTATTCCAAAGTTATCAAGTCAATAAGTCATTGGAAATCAGTCAACTGGTCATAATTAATGGACAGCTTCTGAACTTCATTATTTTATGTTATATTACTGATCTGTCCAGTACTACCAACATAACAACAAAATTGTCAAGCCATGTTGCCAACCTATATTCTAAGCACAGCTGAACAAACCTACAGCGGAGTTAGACTTAAGTGATTATCATCTTAGGTATATTGTTACCTTAAAACAAAATTGTTATTTTGTTCAATGTTACCCCGCAGTTCAAAGTAGCCCCAGTTTACGGTACCATATTTTGAAAACGTGTTTTTTATGTAAAATTTGACGGAGAATACAATAAAAATACAAAAAATTTAATACGAGGTGTGGGCCATTGTTAAAAATTGATTTAAACAATGAAATTGTTAATAACAATATGAATTTGTTAATAATTTTTATTAAAAATATTTTGTTATTAAAATGCAGTCTTTTAGCTTTAAAATGAAAAAAAAAGATGTTTGTAGCTCAAATAGAACCGGAGTTATAAATTTTTAAAAATGGGTCTCCAAGCCAAAAAGCAAATTTTTGATCACTTGAATTTTTTAATAATATTTATTAAAAATATTTTTTTATCAAAATTCAGTCCTTTAGCTTTAAAATGAAAAAAAAAGAAGTTTTTATCTCAAATAGAGTTATAAATTTTTGAAAATGAGTCTCCAAGCCAAAAAACTCGTTATTCTCAAATTTTCGATAGCTTGTATTATCGAAAATATGCGAGAGAAAAAAATCTGAGATGTGTCGATCAAAAGGTGTTCGGTTTGTAAAAGAATTACCCATATTAGCATAACAGGATAAAATTGTAGTTATTGTTCAAAATATTCTTCAATAGAATAAAAACTTCTTTCTTTTAGATACGAGGATACAGCATTTTTAAATTTACGAAAGTTATTTAATTTCATAATATTACTAGGTAACTTGTTATACAATTTTATCGCTGTTATTATTGGGCCTTTGTATACTTGCAAAAAAGACAATGTTAAGCATTTTTGTATTGATATTAAGAAAAAAACTTTTCATATAGTCATCAACGGCATATGAGGTCTATTCGTAAGTGCCCACACCAAATTTATAATAGTTTATAATGAGATTAAATAGACAAGTTTGGCGCAAACAAAATTTAAATTGAAGTTTGCGAAAAAAGGTTCTTTTTCGTGTAGCCTCACCCGCCCCCCTATTTGAGATAATTCAAATTAAAGTGGTGCAATTTATAAGCTACTATAATTTATCGACAAATAATTTTTTTTTAATACAAATATTAGATATTTTATACGATTTTAAATGTTTATTATTTATTTTATTAAAATAAAAAAATATTAAAAATGGTATAAAACCTGTAATATTTGGATTTTTTAAATAAAATTTTAAATTTGTCGATAAACAGATTTTAAATTGAAGTTTGCGAAAAAAAGTTAGTTTATAGTGTAGCCTCACCCGCCTCCTGGCCTCCCTATTTGAGATAATTCAAATTAAAGTAGTGCAATTTATAAGCTACTATAATTTATCAACAAATAATTTTTTTTTAAATATAAATATTACAGATTTTATACGATTTTAAATTTTTATTATTTATTTTATTAAAATAAAAAAATATTAAAAATGGTATAAAACCTGTAATATTTAATTTTTTTAAATAAAATTTTAAATTGAAGTTTGCAAAAAAAGTAAGTTTTTAGTGTAGCCTCACCCGCCTCCTGGCCTCCCTATTTGAGATAATTCAAATTAAAGTGGTGCAATTTATAATCCACTATAATTTATCGAAAAATTTAAAATTTTATTTAAAAAATACAAATATTACAGATTTTATACGATTTTAAATTTTTATTATTTATTTTATTAAAATTAAAAAATATTAAAAATGGTATAAAACCTGTAATATTTGGATTTTTTAAATAAAATTTTAAATTTGTCGATAAACAGAATTTAAATTGAAGTTTGCGAAAAAAGTTAGTTTTTAGTGTAGCCTCACCCGCCTCCTGGCCTCCCTATTTGAGATAATTCAAATTAAAGTAGTGCAATTTATAAGCTACCTTAATTTATCGACAAATTTAAAATTAAATATTGCGTACAGTGCCCATAAAAAATTCTTTTCTCTTTTACTGTGAAAAACTGCTTCTATATCGATCGTTAGTCTATTTTCAAGGGATAAATTTTAATTTACACAGAAAAATTTGGCATTTTAACGCCGGTAGATTTCCAATTATTCTATTATTAGAGATTTTCGAAAAAAAATCGTCAAAAACGCTCTTTTTTAAATAACTTTTACAATTGTTTATATATATATTTTTTTAATTTGGGAATATTTTACTATCAATGAGTACTACAAAAACCAATAATTGTTTTTTGTAATTTCCAAAGTCGGGAAAACAGTGATCCGTTTCACGAATTCTCACCCTGCTGTAAAAAAATTAAAATTACTTGTGAAGGTGTCTGATGCCTTACAAAATCATATATTTAATAAAAACCAAGGACTTTTAACTGCATCAGCAAAAACCTGTTAAAAAACAATTAATTTAAAATTTAATAATAGTTTAATGATCAACATACTATTTTTGGCCTTAGTGCAGTGGGAAGTGATGGAAAATCAATCAGAAATACACCAAGTTCAATAACCCTAGAGCTACAGCTCTGTTAAGTGCTAATAAATTAGTTTTTTTTTATTACAAACAATAACTGTACATTTTAATGGACAATCCTACAAAAAGTGGTTCTCTCCAAATAAAAAACCGGTTTTAGTTTTAGCATAAAACTACCTAGGTATCCTATATTTTATCTTATTTTTTAATAAGCAGATACGATTTTAAGAGAAAGTCTATGGCAAATCATTGGGAAATAACACTTCTCCTCAAGTGTTATTTTCCATATATTTTTTCAAAAATTTCGTTTTTAAACTCAAGCAAACAAAGGAAATCACGATGATGGCTTAAAAATTGAGTATATTTTTTATGGAAATCTCAAAAAACAATTTATGGAACTTTTTAAAATTGTCATTTTAAACTTAAGAAACACAAAAATATGACAGTTTTAACCTAATTTTCCATTATTACAACAAATTAACAATTTGTTATAAAGTATTTCTTAATCAAAATACAACATTTTATTTTAGTAGTTAGGTAATACACTAGTGTAATAAATATTGTAGATATTGTTTTTATATACATGTATTTTATATAAATCGTCCCCAAATTCACGAAGTGGCGTATATGAAGATTTAAGTTATACAAACAAGCAATTTTCTGAAATAAACGTTTAACATTTTAAACGTTTATTCCAGAAAATTGGTTTTTTTGCATAACACAAAACTTCAAACACCCGTATCGGAAGATTTGTGTTATGCAAAAAAGCAAATTTCTGGAATAAGTGTTTAGTATGCTAAACTTTTATTTCAAAAAATTGCTTTTTTGCATAACTTAAATCTTCATATACGCCACTTCGTGAATTTGGTGACGAAATAATTGGATTTTATTTTATGGACAAAAACAAAATTAGTAAGGCAATACAAAAAACCACCCACACTTTTTCATTTATTAAGTAGGTAAAAGTAGATACTTAGGTAGGTATTTTAAATTCATAAACAAAAACATTTTTGTCCAATTTCGGGACAAAGCACACTATTCTTAGTCATTTTTTATTGTACCTAGCTACTTTTTTTAAAGGCTTGAAAAAAAGATTTTAAATTTAGAATTTAAATTCCTCTTAAGGTTATTTAAATTATAAATGGGTATTTAAATAATGCTGACCAACACGATAACAAAACAAGTGTTACTTAAATTAACATAATTTGTGCAAAATGCCACTTAAATTAAATGAAAGATTGTTATTGTTATTGTCATTTGCCCTCCTTAAGATATTGTGTCTATTAACTTTATAGAACAAATGCATTTATTAATATGCCTTAAGGCAAATGAAATTGTTGTTGACATTTTTAATTTTGTGTATAGCAAGCTATGGCAAAAACATCTGTTAATTTAAATAATTAATAACTATATCAGATTATATCTAAAAACCACTTAGTTTAATGTGTTTTTGTCATTAATATTAAATTTTCCATACCTCCGGTTCCATCTCCTTTGGTGAAGTCACCACCTTGGATCATGAAGTCTTTGATCACCCTGTGGAATTTGCTGCCTTTGTAACCTTCTCCAGCGGGTTTCAGAGCCAATTGTTTGAAGTTTTCAGCGGTTTTTGGTACGGTTTTGCCAAACAAACCAATCACCACGCGACCCGCTGGTTTTCCTCCAATTTGAATGTCGAAAAAGACCTGAATAATACAAAAACAATGTTGCGATCAATATTTGGCTTTCCTTTGTTTAAAATCGCTTAATCGCGGTTTAAAAAATGAGTTGGCACCGGCACACTTGATAAAATCATAAAAAAAAAAATAAAACCACGAAATTTGAATAAAAAAAACTCACCTTATCGGTTACTTTGGGGCCTTTCTTGTCGTCACAATCGACGAAAGCGACCAAGGCCAAAAATGCCAGGGCAACGACGAATTTGTTCATGATTTTCGGGTCTTCAACTTGACAATGAACGGAAAATCAAAACGCCTTCCACAAAACAAACGGAAAGTGAGAACGGCCGCCTACGTCAACTTTTATTTTCGGACGAATTAGGAGAGGCCACGACACGAGAAGTTACGAATGCGAATACTCGCGTTGTTCCAGCGAATTTTCTTCAGTTACGACGTTCCTGGCAGTTGCTAGATGAGGTTTTCAATGGCGGGGTATTTAAATTATAATTAGGAGCGATTTTTTTAAATTATTTTTATGACATGCAATTAATAAGTAATCCAATATAAATTAAATTCAACCTAAAAAATAAATATAAATATTAGGGTGTGCCAAAAAACCTCGATATTTTTTTTTTCTTGCTCTCAACCCAAAATATCGTAGAATATGTCCGAACAAATATTCTGTTAAAAGCGGAGCTCATAATTTTTATTTTAAGAGGTCCTCCATCGAACCTGAAGTTTTGCCGCTTAAATAACACAGAAAACTGACTTTTTTACCTTATTTATTCTTGCAACCTAGGAAGAAATTTTTTTTTCATAAAATCCATGACTAATTCTTACAAAGCTTTAAATTAGGACAAAAAAATCTTATTAAGCTGAATTTCTATTTTCAATATTTGATTTTTTACAGAGCTTTAAATTTAAAGTTAATAATACAAAAATGATGACTTTATACGCCTGTAACTTTAAGAATATTGACGATACAAAAAATTCGCTTAAAACTTTTTTGTGGTCCATCAGACAAGCTAAAAAATTGCCATTTGACTTTTTCGTCTAACTTAAATAGTTTAGCTGAAAAAGGCAAAAAACGTAAAATTTTAAATTTAAGTAAAAAATCAAATAATGAAAATAGAAATTCGGCTTAATAAGATTTTTTCTTCCAAATTTAATGCTTTGTAAGATTTGGTCATGGTTTTTATGAAAAAAAAATTTCTTCCTAGGTTGCAAGAATAAATAAGGTAAAAAAGTCAGTTTTCTGTGTTATTTAAGCGGCAAAACTTCAGATTCGATGGAGGACCTCTTAAAATTGAAATTATGAGCTCCGCTTTTAACAGAATATTTGTTCGGACATATTCTACGATATTTTGGGTTGAGAGCAAGAAAAAAAAAATATCGAGGTTTTTTGGCACACCCTAATAAATATATCTCTATAAGTAGGTTTTCTTTTTAAAATTAAAGATGTTTCTAATTTTTATGTGGGGAAAGTACAGATTAACGTAAAATTTTACATTATTATAACATAAACAAAATATTACATAAAATAGGCAAAAGACAAAAAAAATACTATTAAAATGATGATAATGTAATTGTTTATAAACAATGTAATACTTATTTATCTTACAATAATAAAAAATAATCTACCTAAGCAGTCTTCGTTAATAACTCTAAATATGGCACTGATTATGAATTATTTGGCAAGAATATTCAAATTAAAACGAAAAGTAAGGCAAAAAAATCAACTTTGAATTGCGTCCAAAAATGACAGGTTCTTGTCACCTGTTAAATCATTCAACCCTAACCTTTCATTTCGTTACATCACATTTAAATTTCAAATTTCTAAGTAAAAATAATGAGCGGTAAGCTGAAATAAAACTTCCCTAATTAGTATTTTAATTAAACAATTTTTATAGCAATAAACAAACATTTAAATATTAAATATGTGTTCTAGATGGCTTTCAACCTGATAGCGTTTGATTTTGACCATACAATAGTGGATGACAACACGGATACAGTAGTAGCAGCCCTAATAAACAAAAATCAGATACCTGACAGTTTGAGAACTTTGTATCGTAAAGATGGTTGGACATCGTACATGCAAGGAATATTCAAATTACTCCACCAGAATGACATAAAGGAAAGCCGAATATTGGAGGCAATTAAAAGTATTAAACCTGTACCTGGAATATGTGAATTGATACAAAAAGCTCACAACGATTTAAATTGCCATGTGATAATAATAAGTGATTCAAACACGTATTTTATCGAACACTGGTTAAAATATCACGAGTTGGATAAATATGTGGCCAAAGTATTTTCTAATCCTGCTGAACTTGATTCGATGGGTTTGTTGAATATTAAAATGTATCATTTTCAAGATTACTGCAAACTAAGCTCAAAAAATCTATGCAAAGGCCAAATTTTATTAGATTACATTAAAGAACAAAACAGCAATGGTATTGATTACCAGAGAATAGTTTACTGTGGTGATGGTAGCAATGATTTCTGCCCTATTCTTAAACTAAACGAGAACGATATTGGTTGTGTTCGAAAAGACTACAAATGTATTCAGTTAGTAAGTAAAGTTAAAACAGGAGAAAAAATCGACAATGTTTTTTATAATATAAAGTGCAACATTTGCGAGTGGAACAATGGTTATGATATTTTAGGTCATTTAGAATCATCTAGTTTTAACGAATGTGAATAAATTTTATTTTAATAGTAACAAATGTGTCTTTATTGTTTTTTTTTATCAAACCTAATTAATAATATCGAAAAAATGTTTCATAGTTTTATTTCAATTTGAAAATGTCAAAAATGTGTCAAATAATTGTCAAAACAGGAATACCAATTACTGATATTAAAAATGCGAATATGTCAAAGTCGAAATAAATAACACATGTCATTTAAAAATTGTTGTCAAACCCTGAAACATGATTTTGGATGTCCCCAATTTTGTTGTTAATTGAAGTTTAAAATTAAAATTGAGAACATAAAAACATGTCCCGCCAGTATTTAAAATTAAGGTTGGTATTGCAGCAATTCTTTTGGTTTTTTTCTCCCCGATGATGAGACGTCAAAATTTGTAGGTTAGGAAAGTAATTTCAGTTGTTTTATAAACTTGTCAAAAGTAATTTTAATTTTATTAAGAGATTGTATTCTAAATCACGATGGATTTAAACGAAAAGGAAATTTCGAGTGAAAACAGTACAGAACCTGAAATAGTACAAAATGGAAAAATTGAGGAAGCAACTGAATTAGCTGAAGAAAAAGTTGGCAAAGATGAATGGGTGGATTTGTTGGGAAGCGGTAGCATAATGAAAAAAATTCTACAAGAAGGGAAACCAGATACAAAACCACAACGACTGCAAAAATGTTACGTTACTTACAAATGCACTTTGGAAGATGATACTCTGGTCGATTCAGTGGAAAACTTGGAAATATATTTAGGAGATTGTGATGTAAGAACTATAGTTTTAGGCAGTCTTAACACTTATATCAATACAGTTATATCTAACTTAAGTTACATTTATCTAAAGTTTATATTGTTGGATGCTTTGAACCAAATTTTCCAACATTGTTAAACAAAAAAATAGTTTAAACTATAATTAAAATTTAAACTTTATTTAAGGTGATACAAGGTCTGGATGTTGCAATAGCCCTAATGAATGTAAATGAAAGGTGCCTTTTGAAAATAGCACCAAGATTAGCCTACGGTAACAAAGGTCTACCAGATAAGGTACCAGGTGATGCCACAGTCGTTTATGAGGTGGAACTATTGTCTGTGGATTATGAGGATGAACCAGAAAATTTGCCTATTAAGGAGAGAAAAAGGCTTGGGTAAGAGAAGTTACAAAATATTTATTTATTTTTTTATATTTAAAAAAATCAGTTTCCTATTTGGATGATTACTAAATAATTATTGGAACAATTAATAATGTCAACAAATTAAGAATAATGAGCAAAATACTATTAAATATCTATATATATCTATAACTAGTTAAATCAAAACTTGTTTATTTTAAAACTTTATTAATTGCTGAAATCAGACTAAAACAAATGTCGTTTTAAGACTATCTAAATTACTTGAATGGTAAAGTAAAATACATAATTCAATGTTATAAGAAATTGTACTTTTTGCAGCAAGAAAATGTTATTAATTAAACTTGACATTTATAAGGTTTATGTGTTCTAACCTGGAGTTAATCACACCAAATTTACTGATTTGCTAATTGTATGTTGATTACTCAATTAAATTTTAATCAATGTTTATACAACTTAAAAGTAACCTTGATTATTGGATAATTATTATCAAGAGTTAACCAGCTGTTTACCAACTACAAGGCCTAAGAAAATTTAATTTTAACTGATAATTGTGTCAATAATGAGTTCTTAAGAGGTCACATTACTCTTGAGAGTAAATTTACTTAAAATTATTAGGCTGGCTTAAAAAAATCAAAGAACTTAATATTCATTGCATTTGGAGGATTTTAATTTATTCCATGCCAAATTTACCACTTTTGAACACTTTTAACTTGACCCACTTAATAATTTTCTGATTTAAAGTTTTCTAAAAAACGCCATGACTAAACAATTGACAAAATAAAGTTTTTTTTAATTATCAAGTTTTTCGGTAATTTCGATAATTTTATATTTTTAGAAAAAAAGTTTAATTGCAAAAATACAAATGCAGTTTTTTATGCGGAATTTGACGTCAAAATTTGGGGGTTTGGTTGGCCAATTTTAGGGACCCTTAATTTATAATTGAGTAAAACATCATCAAAATGCTGTATATTTTAAAAATGTCTTTTCATTTATAATTTTCTGTTATCTTTGGCATTGTTAATTATAATTCTAGCATTTAAATAAAAATGTCAAAGTAAAATTAAGGCATTGAACAGGAGTACCAATTTTAAATATTAAAAATACCAAGGTATATTGATATACAGCAAGTAATCAAAATTGTCAACCTTTATTTTTCTTGTAAAGTTTGTTCAAAAACGCAAAATTAAAAGAAACGTCTTATTTGGTTAATTTTTAAAGAGGTATAGTATAATTTGATAAATGCAAGTAAAGTTGTCATGAGTTGTAACGAAATTGAAGGTTCTCCTTAACATATTAGTACAGCGGAAAATAAAGAAGCTATTTTCAATGCCTTTAATGCAAATAGTAGGAAAAGCATAAGGGAAGTTGCACGCGAATTTCCCGTTCAAAATTCAGCGGGTTATGAAGGGCGTTCATTTTACGCGAGTGCAGCACCTGCAGCCGAAAGATAATCCCGCTAGAGTGGAAAAATTTACATAAACTTCCTAGTGTTTATATCATAAATTATGTATGTTACTTGTTACAAAAATTATAATAATTAAAATCTTAAAATTTAAAAAGATTTAACAAACATTAATGTGTTAAAAGGTCCTACACAAATAACAATGTTAAATAATAATTTTTTTGTACATTGTACTATAATAATATAGACTATATTATATAGTTATAAAATTATGTTAATTTCAATATAATACATTAGTTTAAATAACTCCTTAACAAGTGTTAATCTAACTAAAATATATTTGTTAAATATTTGAGTACAGAAAATTTTTAATCAAATTAAAACAATTGAGTATTATTTTATTCAATTTAACTTAAATATAAAGTTATTCTTCTAATTCGCTAATTTTAGCCTTCTTTCGATTAAAATCGGTACCGCGTTTAGTCGGTTGATGATAATTAATTCGATTAGAGGTTCCTAATTGTAATGTTAAGTGTTCTTATATAGCGTGTGTTTAACAAAATGTAAAGGTAAGTTTGCTATGATAATGTTTTTTTACTTACATAACTGTATCCCCAGAAATGTTTGAAGACCGTTTACCCTATGGCATGGATTTGTATTTTATTTTGGAATACAAAAAAGGATTGGCCTGTACAATTTTAGTGAATTCTAATGCTTCATTTCTGGCCTTTTTTAAAGTTATGTTGTAGTATAATAAATCATTATTATTTCATACTTACATGTTTTACTTTTTGCCCAAAAACCAATATTATTATATTAATTTAAATATTTTATTAAAATAAATAAAAATACACAATTAATAATGCAAAAATGAATTAAAAAATATTGTTAAAATAACAAATTAAAATAATTAAATGAAGACATACTATTTGTGTAAAAACTATAGAAAGTTATATGTTAAAGTAACACTTTTGTGTAAAATAAATAAAATATAAATAAATTTAACATATTTAATTATGTTAAAGTTATACAGATTTTAAATCATATTAATTATTAGTTTAGGTTAAAATAACCATTAAAAAAAAATTACACAACACGATTTGTTAAATTAACTTTGCAGTTATGTAATAGTTATTTACGATATAAGTGGGATAAGAGCTTTATTAACGTACGCATGCGAAATTTGCCCAACGAGTGCGTAGCACGAGTTGGGCAATCGCAAAAGTACGTTAATAAAGCGTTATCACACGTATATTGTACAAATTTTTATCTACGCCTCTAAATGAAAAAATAAACGGTAATTATTTTTGTCTAAGACTTAATTTAGGGTTATTTTGACATTTTGACATTTTTACTTTTTTATTTGATTGGTTAAAAGCAGAGAAAAACGCGTGCGTTAATGAACTTCTTATCTCACTCAAAATGAGTGGGATAAGAAGTTCTTATCTCACTGGCGTAGATAAAAAATAACATATTAATTTTCTTTTACACATTCCGTTGTGTAATAAAAATCAAAAAAACTAAAAAAAATTGAGTGGACTTTCTGGGACACAAGAAATATATTAAATATACATATAAATTTGTTACTGTGTATTACCTAGAAATTTTTTATTTTTAAATTTTGCATCTCATCATAGAGATTTAAAATTCCCGCAAAAATGTATTGCCCTTAAAGCCGTATTACAGCCGGCAATTCTTCTTGCTGCAATTTTTCTTGCAGCAATTTTTCTTGCCATCTAGTTTTCAAGGCCGTCTTGCATGTTGTTTTACAGCCGGCAATGGCAAGAAAACTTGCTGTTTATTACCGTGCTACCAACCGAAGAAAAATATACGATTTTGTAAACACCAAGTTTATTTGTTATTTAGTAGAGATATTTAAAAATTAATGAGTGAAATGGATACTAGAACTTTGCACACAATGCCAATTATAAAACAAATTACCTTAAACTGTTTAAGTCAAACAGCGTTTCTCTAGGGAATTTGTAGAAGGGTTGGTAACATAAAAGTTACCAGATTTCACCCCAGAATTGCCGTAAAACGGCAATAAAAATCCATCCGGACCGATTTTCGGTAATTGCAAGAGATTCGTCGAAATGTATCTACCGCGCATGTCTACGGCAATTTTCATTGCAATTGCCGAAAGAATTGCCGGCTGTAATACGGCCTTTAAAAACTGATTTAGGGGATTTTCCAATGGTGAATACTAAAAAAAAAAACATTTTTTTTTCAATTTTTCGATTTTTTACCCTACCGTTGAATCTCTAACGCAAATTTCTTACGTTCAGTAACAAAAAGCGGGAGCGCGGCAACTGGTGGTACTGCCGCGGCGAGAACAACCTGGCCATCCAGTGCTACCGGCGCGCGCTCAACTACCTGGACGAGGTCGAGGGCGGCGTCACGGCGCCCACCGCCTCCGGCGACCTCGAAGTCACCGACGCCGACCTGCAGAGCCTGCTTGAGGATCGCGTCAGCGTGTGCAACAACATGGCCGCCGCGCAGATCAAGCTCGAGTCGTACGACGCGGCGCTGCTGTCGCTCAACACCGTGCTGCGCTGCCAGCCCAACAACGTCAAGGTAAAGATCTCTTTTCATAAAAAAATTGAGGATGATCTTTTAGGTATCAAATATGAAAATCCGTTGCCGTTTTAATTTTTGGATTCTTTACTTTTAATCAGCACTAGGGTGTTCCAAAAAAAGTCGATAATTTTTTTTTTCGATTGCACGTGAAATTCTTGTTATATATGCTATAAAAAAAATTCTGTAAAAATTTGAGCCCTTAATATCAACTTGAAGAACTCCATCATCGAATTTTATGATTTTCCATTGATTTAACATGGAAAAATGATTTTTTAACCTTCATTTCTCCTGCAAACTATGTAGAACATTATTTTTCGGAAAAACCATCACTGATCCTTCTTCAGCATTAAATTCTGTAAAAAAAGCGTTGAAAAATATAGATTTTTTGAAATTTCGATTTTTTCCATTTAATGCGTAAAATTTTGATCTCAGACCATAAAGTTTGAGAAAATTTTAGTAGATCGTTCAATGTTTCACAAATCTGTGCCAAGAAAATTTTTTGTAGCACTTTTGGCTCCAAAATTGTGAGTCTTGTATTATCTTTTTAAATGATTATTCGCTATCATAATAAATTTCACAAAAAATTTGAAAATCTATTAACAAAATATCAAAATTTCTTTATAACAGTCACAGATTTGTGAAACATTGAACGATCTACTAAAATTTTCTCAAACTTTATGGTCTGAGATCAAAATTTTACACATTAAATGGAAAAATTCGAAATTTCAAAAAAATTTTCAACGCAATTAAAAACGAGACGTTAGAGACTGGACCCTAAGAACTTTTTTTTACAGAATCAGTGATGGTTTTTCCGAAAAATAATGTTCTACATAGTTTGCAGGAGAAATGAAGGTTAAAAAATCATTTTTCCATGTTAAATCAATGGAAAATCTTAAAATTCGATGATGGAGTTCTTCAAGTTGATATTAAGGGCTCAAATTTTTACAGAATTTTTTTTATAGTATATCGTATATAACAAGAATTTCACGTGCAATCGAAAAAAAAATTATCGACTTTTTTTGGAACACTCTAGTAGGGGTGTTATTTAACACCTAAAAGTGGGCAGTTGGATTTTTTAAATAGGACCTTAAAAAAAAAGAAAAAAATGGTCCCCTGGGTCACAAATTTACTAACATGTTAAAAAACTTATTTAAAGATGATTAATTATTTTGAAAATAAATTTTTTTGCTTGTTAATAATCCTTTTAAGGTTTTATTTTTACACTAGGATTTGTTTAAAAAAAGAACATAAATTTATTATTTATAAAAAAATGTTGAGTACAAAACTAATTAAAAGCAAAAACTATGTTCTATTTCTAAACTTTCTTACATAGATAGATAAGTATTTTTAATATATTTTCTGTATTTAAAAAATGTCCATTAAAAAATATTTTAAATGGGTCATTTTCAAAATTCTTCTACATTTAAAGAAGAAAAAGTAAGAACAAAAACTGAATCTACAAACCTGTTTTTTTCAAATTTTGTTTATTTAGGGGTGTTATTTAACACTTAAAAGTTGGCAGTTGGATTTTTTTAAATAGGACCTTAAAAAAAAGAAAAAAATGGTCCCCTGGGTCACAAATTTACTAACATATTAAAAAACTTATTTAAAGATGCTTAATTATTTTGAAAATTTAATTTTTTTGCTTGTTAATAATCCTTTTAAGGTTTTATTTTTACTCTAGGATTTGTTTAAAAAAGAACAAAAAATTATTAGTTATAAAAAAATGTTGTGTACAAAACTAATTAAAAGCAAAAACTATGTTCTATTTCTAAACTTTCTTACATAGATAAGTATTTTTAATATATTTTCTGTATTTAAAAAATGTCCATTAAAAAATATTTTAAATGGGTCATTTTCAAAATTCTTGTACATTTAAAGAAGAAAAAGTAAAAACAAAAACTTAATCTACAAACCTGTTTTTTTTAAATTTTGTTTATTTAGAGGTGTTATTTAACACATAAAAGTGGGCAGTTGGATTTTTTTAAATAGGCCCTTAAAAAAGAAAAACGAAAAAAAAATGGTCTCCTGGGTCACAAATTTACTAACATATTAAAAGTGCTTAATTATATTGAAAATATATTTTTTTGCTTGTTAATAATCCTTTAAAGGTTTTATTTTTACACTAGGATTTGTTTAAAAAAAGAACATAAATTTATTAGTTACAAAAAAATTTTGAGTACAAACTTAAGGTTTTTTCCGCCGGCTGAATTTTTCCGGAAATTGTAAAACCCTTTTAGCCAAAAAGGGCCCATCCTAAAAGTGTAAGACTAAATTTGAAAACCATAGTAAAACCATTTAGTTTTAATTTTATAGTCATAAAAAGTACTTTAAGGCAACTTTAAAATTACCTATTAAATCTTATTTGTAAACTAAAGGGTTTTATTATGTTTACTAAAGTGAGACAACCTTAGTGTGAAATAGTTAATGGCAGAGTGGTAATATTTTAAACATAACGCAATATATAAAAATCATAAAAAAATTAAATGCAAACTATTCTGGTAAAAAAATTAACAATGGGTGGCAATTTTCTGACAAAATATAATGAAATACATAACTAGAGCGCCATGAATTTAATGTTTTTTTATTATTTAAAAAATATCGTCAAATTTTATTTTGCATCTAAACATCTAAATGCTTTTCTTTATTAAATTGCAATTGACTAAATTAAAATCTTTGAGCTTTAAAATATTCTTAATGTACTCTTTAAAACATATAATAGGTTTTTGGATATAAAGTGGAATTTTATTGAGCATGAAGATAAAAAAGTTTCTTTAATGGGTTTTAATGAGGAGGTAAATCAAGGGTACTCCATAAAACTACATTAAAACTACCTATTTGTTCCAAAATGGTTTGTTTTAAAACCTACTTGCGATCTAATCAAGCAAATTAGTGGTATTATAAAACCAGTACCTAATAGATCAATAGGGCATTAAGACCAAATTATTTTTTATTTTAATTAGAAAAGTACATTAAATTATTTGTATAAGAATAAGTGGCCTTTAAAAACTTTTAGTTTATCTTATGGTAACTTTAAAACCAATATCGTTTTATTGAACAAATAAATAACTTTTAAACCCTAAATAAGTCAGAAGTATCTTACAATTGTTACTTGTAATTGTAATTTATTATTAAATCTTCCATTTGTTTTAAAAAAATCGCATTAAAATTTAAAATTCTCCGGAACTTTTTTAAAAAATTTTGATCATTGAAAACCAAACATATACTTACCAAAGTTTGTGAATTTAACATTAAAATTATGAAAAAGTGCCTGTTTCGGCCAATTATTATTATTATTATCAATGTCTACCTATAATTTAAGGCGCTGTTCAGAAAAGCAAAGGTGCACCGAGGAAAAAACGATCTAGCGGCTGCCATGAAGTGCCTACAGAAGGCAAAAGAAAACGCGCCCAACGATCAAGATGTGCAGAAGGAGATTAGCGTCGTTAATTTGTTGATGCAAAAACAAAAAGGCGTGGAAAAGGAGCTGGCCAGAAGAATGTTCAGCGGACCCAAAAAAAATGAAGATGTCAAAAAAACTACCTCAAGTAAAGTAAGTAGCTAAATTTCTCAAATGTTCCTTAAATTTCTTTCCCTAATATTTTTTTAAATAATAAGTTAATACGCTTAAAATCAAAAGGTTTAGTGTCCAATGTAAGGTAAGATCGGTAAGGCGTTAGATTTTAATTTATTAGTTTAAATATTCATATAGCAGTTTAACAAAATTGTGATCTGTATTTTTCGGTATTTTTATATATGGAGTTTTGGAAGTTTAGAACATTTTTATATTTTTTTATAATACACTCACGTGCAAAATAATCGATCCACACAAATTTTCGATGAATTTCAATCGCAAATAACTTTTTTATTTGTTGTCGGATTTAAACGAATATTGTAGATAAATTAATGGACAATCACTCACATTTTAAAAAAATACTAAAAAATAGACGTACGTTTATAATATACAGGTTTAAACAAAAATATGTTTTTTACCATAAGTTTAAGATACTCTGTAGAGTGGCAAAACCGTATATTTATCAAGTCACATCTATTCTTAACAGTTTTGTTTTTGGTTCACTTCGATATATTTATTTTTGTGGAAAATATGGATTTTTTTAAAAAACATTGCAATTTACAATATTTTTCCTGTATGAAGAACTAAGGTTGCTATGACAGTGACAGTTTTGTTGAATCATCCCATACTTGGACATGTCATATACGGCTTTCAAAAGCTATCAAATTGTTTTTTGTAAATTAATGTGTTAATTTTGAGGTGTCTTCTTACTTTTAAAAATGTCTCCGACTGATGTTGCCCTTTGTACTTTACTTCTTACGACGTTTAAAACACTTGCCACGTAATACTGTGACCGTCCATCCTGGATTAAATTAATAGCTTTGGCAACATCAGTCGGAGACATATTCATTTTATAAAGTTAGAAGACACCTCAAAATTAAAACATTAATTTGCAAAAAACAATTTGATAGCTTTTGAAAGCCCTGTATGACATGTCCAAGTATGGGATGATTCAACAAAACTGTCACTGTCATTCTCCATAGCCTATGGATGGACTGAATCTAGGAAATAATACCCCTGGAAAAAAAACCACGGAAAAAAACCCCCGGAAAAAAACCCCCGGAAAAAAAACCCCTAGGAAAAAAAACCCAAGGAAAAAAAAGCCAAAAAATAAATCCCGGTTTGACGAGTGTCACATAAAAAATGCAAAAATTGTAAAAATACCGCAAAAATGATCGAAACCAACCCAAATCAACCCAAACTCAACAACACAACCCTACCGACCCCGCCCCATTGGCCCCCCCCCGCCCCATTGAGTAAAAATCCCCGAAATTGGCAAAAATAAAAAAAAATTGCAAAAATCAATGCCCAAAAATGCTAAAAATTGTAAAAAAAATTGTAAAAAAATTCTAAAAAAGTTTAAAAAAATATAAAGAAATTGTTAAAAAATTCCGAAAAAAATTGTAAGGGGGTATTTTTTCCTGTAGGTTTATTTTCCTAGGGGTTTTTTTTCCGGGGTTTTTTTTCCGGGGGTTTTTTTCCATGGTTTTTTTTCCAGGGGCTTTTTTTCCGTTTACCGGATGGACTATAGCAACCTTAGTTCTTCATACAGAAAAATATTGGAAATAGCAATGTTTTTTAAAAAAATCCATATTTTCCACAAAAATAAATATATCGAGGTGAACCAAAAATAAAACTGTTAAGAATAGATGTGACTTGATAAATAAAACTTAATTTAGAACAATATACGGTTTTGCCACTCTACAGAGTGTCTTAAACTTAAGGTAAAAATTATCTTTTTGTTTAAACCTGTATCTTAAAAACGTGATTGTCCATTAATTTATCTACAATATTCTTTAATATTCGTTTAAATCCGACATCAAATAAAAAAGTTATTTGCGATTATTTTGCACGTGAGTGTATAATAATTAATTTGTCAACTTAAAAAAATATATTCAATCTAGGAAAAGGGTTTGTAAATTTAATTCATTTTAGACCATTATCGATCTTACTTCAACCAATCATAGGCCTATTGGCTTATAGCGGCAGAATATGTCGCTGGTGAAGGAGCCCCTTTATGGTTTTATTGTTATTTGGTAAATATGTTATTTTTTTAGAACTAACAACACCATTATTTTCATTGGCATTTAATTTAACATTGGGTAAGAATTCCAGAAAATGCATAAGCAATTTTAGTTATTAATACATTTATGTTGAAACCATAATTTCAAAAATGATTTCAACATTTATATTTTAAGTAAAAAAATTACAAATTTTTAAATTTTACTGTCAAAAACATGCTTTTTTGTAATATTTGGGTTGTGGCATTTGGATGACATAATTGTTAGGTGTATAAAAACTTTACCTATTTAGGTACCACTTTTTACAAATTTTGCAACCTTCCATCTTTACTTACGAGACATCTTAAAACGGTTGTTATGGAATAAACAACCATTTTACTCCTCTTTTATAATAAATATACCTTATATAATACTATCAGGGCTTTCAAATGACAATTTGAAGATTAATTTGTGGGTTATAATTTAACCTTAAAATTGACATTTTATAGTTTTATGACAGCCCTGATAGAATAAAGTTTATTTACTCTTTTAAGGCTTACTATGAGAAACACTTCGTTTAAAACGATTATTAATCTGTATAAACAGAGCACAAAAATTGTAAACAACAAAAATGGCCGCCGTTAAACTGTGCAGTGTTGCAGTGATTTTTTGTATTTTTAGTACGAGATAGAACAGACCTTGTTGTGTAGATTGTGGGCAACACCAACTTTGGAAAGCTCTTGAAAATTGCTGTTCAACAGCATCTACTAAAAAAACTTTTAACTCAAATATAAAAATGGTTGATTTTAAGGTTATGTTTGTGCAAAAATTATTTTTTACTAATTTCTTAAAAAGTCCAAACTTAGATATAAATTATATTAGTCAAAGTTATCATTACTTAATTCTGCACCAAAAAATGTACTTACTGAATTGGATCCTTTGGCAAAACATGAAAATGCAACGATTTAGTTCTTGAATTTTATTTACAATTAAAACTCAATAATTCACCATGATCCCTTAGATAAAATACACGCACTAACGTAACTACACGCACTAACGTAACGTAACGTAACTTTATATAAGCATTTAAGTTTTGAGTTTCTTAATCAATGATATAAAGAATAATCAATCGAAATCGAGTACTAAACCAGTTTTTTAGTTTTATCCTTTCAACGTAAAACACAAATAACGTGCGCGATTTAGCTGTGCTATTGAACTAAATTTGTCAACTAAGGCCTTTCTCTCTTTTGTGAAAAAACTACCTATTTATTTAAAAATTATGTACAGTTCGTATGCTTTAAATGTATTCTTGACAATTTTTAAATTCACGCAATGCTTTTGAAGCTGCGTAAACCCGATATTTCTTTAGCGTATTTAAGGAATTTTTATCATACATTAAAAAAACAATATCGCTTTTTTAACACCCTAATACTTGCCCAGAAAAATACTTAACCTTGAAAAACTTTACGTAAACTTCCTGGGTATTTATGCAAATATTTTCCCCACCAATGGACTTGAAAGGAGAATTAATTAATTCTTTTTTAGCTTCGTGTATGGGCCACCGTGGGCACCGCTGTAGCAGTTGGTATGGTTGGAATGGTAGCTTACCGGTTTAAGTATGCTTAAATCAAACAAACCAAAAAGACTAAAAAGGAATAATACATAGACATTTCACTCAGTAGATGGTGGCATTTATATTTTTTTTAACTCGTATGTTATCCGGTAAAGTTTGGTTGGACTTTTGTGTTTGTATAGTTATTTTTTGTTCTTTAAGTTTTTAATATAATTATTTAAAAGTTATTGTGTTTTATTTTGAAGAGTAAGGTAAAAAATACTCACTAAATTAAAAGGTGTGTGTATTGAATAACGAACAAAAGTACAATAAGTTAAGTATAATTTTAATACTTGTTATCTACGAAAAACTTTTACTGAGTAACAACTATTTTATATTTTTCATGTTTTTTTTAAATAACTGAAATCCTAATACATTCATATTAAAGATGGCACTTTATTTACAATTTTAACCCTCAAATATTATTATTGCACTGTTTTTAACATTATATTAAGGAATAAATAGTTTTTGGAATGTTTCCAAGGACTAACAACGATATTTAGTAACAACAGTAGTTCAAAAAGTGTAAAACATAATTTAGTAGTTAACTATAATAAAAATACTATAAATATTTTACATGCATACAGCTATATAACAAATTAGTTAAAAACAATTATTAGTGTGCACATTATCTTTGGCACATTGGTCTTTTATCAATTAACTAATGATAAATTTTAGTATTAAAAGTATTAAAAAATCGTAACCCAGCGATTTTTTTTATACAATTAAAATTTAATATAATAAATTTGTGCTTTGTAGATCTCACAACAAAAGAAATATCGCGTGAAATATTTAAGGCATGTTGCGTTATTAGATGTCAAATTGATGAACTATACTAACGAAATAGTAAAATTTGCCAACACGAAGTTTTTATTGAGCTTTTTATGCGCGGAAAATTTTTAATCGGACGGTATTTAATAATACAAGTCGATATAACTTTTTCATAAGCTTAAGGCAGGTCAGTAAGCTTTTTTATTACATTTATAACGCGTACCAGCGCGTGAGAGGCACTTGGATAACTTTGTATAACTTTTTTATGACTTTTATTTATTGCATTGTATCGTTTTTTTTAAATGACCCGCAAATTATTATGGCTTAGAGGCACATAGTTACTTATGTTTAATAGTACAAAGCTGCCCAGAGGGTTTTTTTGAGTACCATGTGTTAAACTTGCTTATAAAAGCTCGCAAGGTTTTTTAAATTTATTTTATCATCTTTTTTTGTATTGAAAAAAACATAATACTTGTTGTATGTAAAATTATTTATTCATTGGAGTAGATAAAGTATAGTATTACACTCGAGATTATGCGCATTATCTCTAGTATAATGTATTATTTTTGCACTGTCAAAAATGACATACTTTTGACACTTAAATGTCAACAAAAAAGACGATTTTTTTGCAATGGTATTAGAAAAATATTATTTATCCATTAATTAAAGTAAAACTTTTTCATTATTGGTTTTATAAAAAGAGTTACTCCAGATAAAAAGTTCTGCATGGCCTAAATCCTGAAATGTTTGTCAAAAAAGAGTATTTTTATAAAAAGTTTTTTTTAATTAGAATTAAAAAGTTTAATCAGATATGCAATTACGTCCATTTAGCATGAAAAATCAAGTTTTCTAATTTTTTACAAATTTTTCAACACATTGATTCATTTTATATAGGTATACCTAAATTACTTTTAATTTTTTATGCTAAATGAATGAAATTGCATATATATCTAAACGTACTTTTTAATTCTGATTAATTTTTTTTAAACACTTTTTGAATTTATCACTCTTGAGCAAAATTTATATTTTTTGACAAACCTCGTATACAACTGCAAAAATTTGATATCTGATTATTTCATTTTGGAATTTAGGCCATACAGAAACTTTTATCAAGAATAACTTTTTTACCAAAATTTATTTGATTTTTTATATTTTACTGCTAGGTAATTTAAATTTGTTTTCTTTGCGAAAAAAAGGAGTTTTAAAAAGTGAAAAATAACGTTTGTTTTTTACGTTACATCTCGACTTATGAGTACTATGTACTTTTTTTCTATAAAACCTTATTTGGATTTTAGCACCATAAACCAAGGAGAATATAAAAACAAAATTGCAGGATTTGCTAAAAAAATGAAGAATTTAATTTTGTATGCTTTGTTGTAGGTAAATTTATTCTTAAATAAGCAAAACATAATTTTGATTACAAAAATTTTAAAGATTTTGGAAATTTTGGTAATTTTAAAATTTAAATTTATTTTATCATCTTTTTTTGTATTGTAAAAAAAATAAACATAATACTTGTTGTAGATAAAGTATAGTATTACACTCGAGATTATGCGTATTATCTCTAGTATAATATATTATTTTTTGCACTGTCAAAAATGACATACTTTTGACACTTAAATGTCAACAAAAAAGACGATTTTTTGACAATGGTATTAGAAAAATATTATTTATTCATTAATTAAAGTAAAACTTTTTCATTATTGGTTTTATAAAAAGAGTTACTCCAGATAAAAAGTTATGCATGGCCTAAATCCCGAAATGTTTGTCAAAAAAGAGTATTTGATAAACAGTTTTTTTTAAATAATTAGAATTAAATTAATTAAGTTAATTTAATTTTACTGCTAATTTAAATTTATTTTCTTTGCGAAAAAAAAGGGTTTGAAAAAGTGAAAAAAAAACGTTTGTTTTTTTTACGCTACATCTCCACTTATGAGTAATATGTACTTTTTTCTATAAAACCTTATTTGGATTTTAGCACCATAAACCAAGGAGAATGGCAGGTTCTGCTAAAAAAATCAAGAATTTAATTTTTGTATGCTTTGTTGTAGGTAAATTTATTCTTAAATAAGCAAAACATAATTTTTATTATAAAAATTTTAAAGATTTTTGGAAATTTTTTAAATTTTGGTAATTTTTTAAATTTTGGTAATTTTAAAATTTAAATTTATTTTATCATTTTTTTGTATTGTATAAAAATAAAAATAATGTAAAATTATTTATTCATTTGAGTAGATAAAGAATAGTATTACACTCGAGATTATGCGCATTATCTCTAGTATAATATATTATTTTCTTACTACCTCGACTCAAAATACGTTGTTTCGTCCCCGATTCCATGGCAAAAAGTTTACGTTTTATGCATTGGTCAAGCTATACGCGCACACTCTAATAGCGGGAGTAAAAATTTTTTAGTCGTGTGCTTAACATTCAAATTTCGTACTGCCAACATGAGAAACACAAAAATATGACAGTTTTAAACAATAATTTTGCAATTATAACAACAAATAAACAATTTATGTTATTACTTTTTTACTTTTTATGTTGTTTTAAGTGTTTAATGGTACTTTTATTTGTTATAAAGTAGTAATTTGTTAATTAAAATACAACGTTTTATTTTTACTGTATTGACACCGCTGAATTCACGGCCTACTGTTATTTATTTATAAAGCTCTTCAAATGGAGATAGGTACATAAATACACATTTAATTTTTTCCCGTATTTTCGGCCGGGTTGTATTTTCGGCCGAGGTAGTAAGAAAAATAGTATACACTACACGGGCAGAAAGTGTGAGAGCCCTGTACTGCGCGCCATGATGCCACACTTTCTGCCCTTGTAGTGTAATATACTATTTTCCACTGTCAAAAATGACCTTCTTTTGAAACTTAAATGTCAAACAGACGATTTTTTGACAATGGTTTTAGAAAATATTATTTAACCATTAATTAAACTAAAACTTTTTATTATTGGTATTATTAAAAGAGTTACTCCAGATAAAAAGTTCTGCATGTCCTAAATCCTGAAATGTTTGTCAAAAAATATTAATTTTGCTCAAGAGTATTTTGATAAAGTTTTTTTTTTAATTAATTGGAATTACAAAGTTTTATCAGATATGCAATTACATCCATTTAGCAGGAAAAATCAGGTTTTGTAATTTTTTACAAATTTTTCAACACATTGATTTATTATACCTAAATTACTTTTAGTTTTTATTCTAAATGGATTGCATATCTAAATTTACTTTTCAATTCTGATTAATTTAATAATAATAATAATAGATATTTATTGATCATCACATCACCTGTCCTTCAGCCATGGCGTATTAATAAACGATTTTTATTGTTAATAAACTAAAGGAAACAAAACGTAAAAATCCAATTTATACAAAAAAATATCACTCTTGAGCAAAATTAATGTTTTTTGACGAACCTTGTATAGGGGCATTCCACGTTACTCGGTAATTTTTGTCCCGCCCGTCACAACTAAAAATTGTGAGTAAAAACCACAAGTTATTAAATTAATATTTTATAATATTATTTTTATTGTGCTTATAACTTATTAAAAGCATAAAAAAACCAATATTTTAAAATAAATTTTATAACGTGGAGTTTTTACTCACAATTTTTAATTGTGACGGGCGGGACAAAAATCCCCGAGTAACGTGGAATGACCCTATAGTCATATATGACTGCAAAAATTTGATATCTGATTATTTTATTTTGGTATTAAGGCCATGCAAAAACTTTTATCAGGAATAACTTTTTTTGTAAAACCAATAATAAAAAACCTAAATTTCCTACAAAAATGTACACTCACAGGCAAAATAATCGATCCACACAAATTTTCGATGAATTTCAATTGCAAATAACTTATTTATTTGATATCGGATTTAAACAAATATTAAAGAATATTGTAGATACATTAATGGAGAATCGCTCACATTTTAAAAATTACTAAAAAATACACGTACGTTTATAATATACAGGTTTAAACAAAAAGATGTTTTTTACCATACACTCTGTAGAGTGGCAAAACCATATATTGTTCTAAATTATGTTTTAATTATCAAGTCACATCTATTTTTAACAGTTTTGTTTTTGGTTCACCTCGATATATTTATTTTTGTGGAAAATATGTTTTTTTTAAGAACATTGCAATTTCCAATATTTTTCCTGTATGAAGAACTAAGGTTGCTATGGGCCATCCATTGCCTATGGAGGATGAAAGTGACAGTTTTGTTGAATCATCCCATACTTAGACATGTCACATACAGCTTTCAAACAATTTGATAGCTTTTAAAAGCCGTGTATGACATGTCCAAGTATGAGATGATTCAACAAAACTGTCACTGTTATTCTCCATAGCCTATGGATGGACCATAGCAACCTTAGTTCTTCATACAGAAAAATATTGGAAATTGCAATGTTTTTTTAAAAAATCCATATTTACCACAAAAATAAATATATCGAGGTGAACCAAAAACAAAAATGTTAAGAATAGATGTGACTTGATAAATAAAACTTAATTTAGAACAATATACGGTTTTGCAACTCTACATAGTGACTTAAACTTATGGTAAAAAACATATTTTTGTTTAAACCTGTATATTATAAACGAACGTCTATTTTTTTGGTAATTTTTTAAAGTGTGAGCGATTGACCATTAATTTATCTACAATATTCTTTAATATTCGGTTAAATCCGACATCAAATAAAAAAGTTATTTGCGATTGAAATTCATCGAAAATTTTTGTGGATCGATTATTTTGCCTGTGAGTGTATTTACTTCTTTATCTTAAGTTTTTCTTTAAGGTTTACAAGTTTTTGCAAAATTTTAAATTATACTTTACTGCTAAATTAAATGTTTTGTTTGCGAAAAAAGGTCAAAACCTTGCTTGATTGGATTTTTAAAAATAAGTTTGAAAAACTACTACTGCACTTTTTCTAAAACCTAATTTGGATTTTAGCACCATAAACCAAGGTGAATAGAAACTGGAAAATATAAATTGCAGGTTTTGCTAAAAAATCATGAATTTAATTTTGGAAGTTTTGTTTTAGGTAAATTGATTCTTAAATAAGCAAAACATAATTTTCATTAATAAAATTTTGAAATTTCGAAAAGATTTGTAAATTAAAAATATTTTATTTTAAATTAGTAAGTATAACTTTAATAAACTTTAAACTGGTTATAAACACTAATCTTAAACAATTCAACCTTTATCGTTTATTACGTTTTCGAATACTTCAGCACACAAAAACCTCAACAAAAAAACTCGCATACCGAACAAATTCGTGCGAATCTAAGTGGGCTCGGGCTCCCTGAGACCGTCGCTGTGCATTTTCTTTCCCGCCATTTCCAGCATCGCCTTGTTCTCGGCGTTGCCGTCCAGCACGCTGCCGCCGCCGCTCGAGCCGACGCGCTCGCCCTTTTCTTGCGCGCTGAGGGGCGGCGCGCCCAGCCCCCACACCTCCAGGTGCCGGAACTGGAAGTCCTTGGCGCTGGACAGCTGCTCGTAGCCCTGGTAGGTGGTGCAGGATTGGCTGCACTGCCCGTGCCCGTACTCCGAGTCGATCCAGATGCCGTTGTAGCCGTGTTGGCCGCCCATTGCCTGAAAATATTGTCAAGTGTACCCAGTAAACGTGGATAATGTAAAGTAATGTAAGGTAACGTAATTTAATTTAAAAGATAAAACTGCATAACTAGGGTAGGGAAAATTTCACTTTTTGCTTGTACTTGAAACTTCACTTGATATTTACATGAAATTTATGAAATTTATTAAAATTTCCTAAATTTCATGAAATTTATGAATTTATTGAAACTTTCAATAAATTTCAATCCCTTTAAGTGTAATATATTAATATTGAAATAAATCCACTCAGGGACCATGGCAAATTGCCTCTCTTACCTCCTACCCCTGCACCAATAATATAAATAGTAAATACCTATGTTTACCACAAATTTCTTGAGATTTCCTTTTAAAATATTTTTGAAATTACTAAAACTATAAGAGATATAGGACTTTTTGGTAAGCTAATGAGATTGTGCCACTTTCATTGTTTTATATTTATATATATTTATTATTTTTAAATATTTTACTAAAATTTTACGAAAATTTAAGAAACTTCATCAAAATTTTATGACCCAAAGGCATTTTTTATCCGTTTTCCGATGCAATTATAGCAAAAGTAAAAGTTTAAATTAATCATGACTTAAAAAAAAAATTAAAGTCTGATTTAATTTACAAATTAAATTGGTAACTAAATTAAATTATTTAAATTAATTTTTGCATATAAGTAAGAATAATTACTTATAGTGTATTCAAATCCAAGCCGAACTAAACAAAAACTCCCAGACGCTTGATAACTCGTTCTTATTGGTCGATTCGGAATCTGTTGTAAATTATTATTAAAGGTCCCAGGGGAGGCCGCATGTGAAATTTATGCGAAATTTTCAGTAAATTGCGAAACTTTCAATGAAATTTCTGAAACTTTCACAGGCAATGTTGAAATTTTCGGATTGAAAATTTCATTTGAAATTTTTAAAAATTTCACGTTTCCAACTAAATGAAATATTTCAAGTTTGAAACTTTCAAAGTTGAAATTTTCATTTGAAGACAAGGCATAGCGGAAAGGTGCGGGCAGAAACAATTTGTATGAGTTCACGGCCTCGTTGGAACAGGAGGGTATTCAGGCAAATTTTAATTTAATAAATCGATGTATAAAGAATTAACTAATAATATTTATTTATTTAATTTCATGCCTCAATTTTTTTAACATGTGGGTTATATGTTTTTTGCTTACGCATGTCGAAGCTAATCAGGGCCCCCCTAGCGGGGGGCAACGTATCATTGAGACGGCTGATACCGCGATAGCTACGCCCCTGAATGAGAGGTAACGTTATTTAATTTAAAAGATAAAACTGCATAACCCTGAGTTTACCCAGAATGTACTTATTATCTAAAATGATTCGTCTTTCGTTACACATTTTTTTTAATGTGTAATGTATGGTCTCTTAACTCATTTTTTTATTTTTTTAATAAGTAATGTTTTCTATGACATTAGTAGTGCTGCCAATGACTCTGCAATTGCCGTGTTTTCACGGATTTTTAGACTAAATGTATGGCCACGGCTTTATGGTACTGCCGTGCATAAAAACACGGCTTTTTTGTTAAAATTTTAAATTTATATTTCACCATTTCTGTCTAACAATATTTAAATATTAAATAAAAATGCTATTTAAATATATCAAATTCCTATTTCACCATTTCTGTTATAAAATAATTAATTTTTAAATAAAAACACTATTTAGTTTTACTGAAGTTGATAATCTTCTGTGTACGACCAAGACCTGACTAGGTTTTGCTTCTTAGACAATTGGCAACTCTGGTCGAAGCCACGGGGATTTCCCGCTTTATATTATTTTATTACAATTGTAAATTAAGTGCGTGAAATAAGGACTTACTTTTTTCATAAATAACATTAACATAACATGTTTTATGCAGTTATTTTTTTTTATTCCAATGAATGAATTTCAAATTTGACACGGCCATAGTTCGTAAAAACCCGGCAATTTTCGATCATGCGCTTTTATTTTCGACTAGTTGGCAGTACTGAACATTACTCATTAATTTTGTGTAATATTTTTTATCAATTTTTTTAATGATTAATGTATTCATGAATTTTTTATGGTAATGTAGTTTGCAAACTACATTACCATAAAAAAATGACGATTGCATTATTTTTTACATTAACATTTTTGCAACTCTGTACTGGACTAATAGGCCTAATAGCTAGTAATAGGCTTGTTTCTACCAAGCATTAAGGATAAACATTTTTCCTGAGATCTGGTAATTTTTTTTATTTATTGAGAATTCAGGGAGAACACGTTTTTGGGGATTTTTTTAACATGATTTTATGTAAATTATGTAAAATTATCTCAAATCCCTTAGAATCTAAGACAATGCAAATTGTAAATTTGATATTATTGTTAAATGTGTCATTATTGTAATTTACAATTTCTGGTGGTCTGTGGTGGCAGCCCGTAGATAGACCTTAAAACGTCTTTTGTTTTTCATTATAGAAGATTATTTGAATGATCACCTTTAAAAATGCTTATAACCATAGATAACAAAGCCTTATAACTGCTTTTAAATGCAATGCATTTTAAAAAGTGCACGAAATTTGAATTTTTCGCCAAAACTTAAAAGCGGGGTTATAATCTATCCTGGTTACCTATTTAAAATAAATGCTCGAAAATTACTTAAAAGCGCTAGAGCGATTTTAAAAACTGCTCGATATTTGCAACTAAAAAGCAAGATTAAAACATAACCAATAAGTCAGTTTTCTAAAAAAAACGCTCAATGAGCTTAAGTGTCCATACAAGCTCATATATGAGCATTTATAAATGCTCGAGCATTTATAAGCATTTATGGACACTTTTGAAAGTGCTGAAGCATCTACCTTCTCAAGTTTTTAATATTTATTTTATCTAAATTTTTCAGAGTGCTGAAATTAACAAATTTTTGATATTTAATGATATATTGACTACTATTTAGTAAACACCTAGCTTATTAAATAAATAAATTTTATTCTTTAATTGACTTCATTTAATGTTCAAATGGTTGTTTTGGTTTTTATAAATAATTTAAGCAAATAATTTTATGTATTTAGAATCTAAACAATAAACTATTCCAGTAAAAAAAATCCATCATCTTTTCGTGTAAAGATCTGGGGAAATTTATTTTTTACATCTGGCAAACCCTGATTTGAACTGTTAGGGGTCATCCATTAATTACGTGAGATAATTTTGGCGATTTTTCAACTCCCCCCTCCCCTTGGTGAGATGTCGTGAGATTTTGCTCGACCCCCTCCCCCCCTCCCTTAATCTTACGTGAGAATTTTTAAAATGCATGGTTTTAATGTAAATAAGTTGTGATTGTGATTGATTCCATTAGATTTATTAAAAAAACAATTGTTATAATTGATTACTTAATTTAACCCAGTTTTCTCGCAATTTTACACTGTTTCATTCGAAAAGAAAATTTACGTGATATTTGCCGAGACCACCCTCCCCTCTAAGTGAGATTGGGTGAGGTTTGGCTCGACCCCCTCCCCCTGATCAGAGAACACATTTTGATATTGCGCATTCCAAACGCTCGTTGGGATCAAATTAAAAGAATATGCCGTAAGAACAATACAAAATTTAACCTGAGTTAAGTTTGACAGATGTGAAATGATTTAATTTTGTTTTCCCGATTCATGGCTGATTGTCGCTTTATACCTATTCTTCCTGCACAAATTACTATTTTATTAATCTCAAATCAACATTGAATATTTTCGATAAATTTCAAATAAAGAAAAATAAATAAAACGTGTCTTCTTACCAATCCATTTGGCAGCGTTTGCTGGTGCAAATTAAGGTACTGAAAGTGCTGGTTGTAGCCGGTAGAGGGAAACACACGCATTTTCGGCGACAAAGAAAACAAAAAACTACTGTCATCGCCGTAAAATTTCGGACCAAGCTCCCAATTGGATGAAGCAAATCCGCCAAAAACGTGACCTCCCTTATCCTCCAAAATCAACACTGAAGGGCCTTGATTTACTATCCTACCTGTGTAGAACAAAAATTTGTGTTTAGGTTGGAAATTTGACATTTTACGTCAATTTTGACATTTAGCCTACTGCGATTTTACCTAATAGAGTAGAAAAAGATTCCCCATGTATTTCGGAACTAAATAAAAACCTCCACTCAGCAAGTACAGTACCAAGTTGAGGTAAATGAGCATTAACAAAAACAATCTGATTCAAATCCAAAATGCTGGGATACGAAGGAATAAGTTCCATATTCTTGCACATTGGCAACAGGGTCCTATCCTTTTCATTTTCCAGACATTCCGGTGCCTCTTGCAGAGAAGTCAAGGCTGTTTTATCAGCCCCCAATAGAGCCTTGTCTTTGTGGGATATGTTGTACAGATGCATGAAAACGTAAAGAAGAAGTTGTCCTAATACAGTAGAACCCTAAAAACAGTTTTATGTATCTTAACCTAATTTTTTACTGTCAATTTGACAATTATGACGTCAAACTTTGACACTAAATTTGACATTTGTCAACCTAACCTAACTTTCTTAAATTTTGACATATATTTAATAATTCTGTGGGTAAAAGGCATAAGGGGATAAGTCAAAAGAAGCAATTTTTCAGTAGAACCTTAAACGTATTCGCATTAATTCAGAAAACATATTTATGGTTAGCGGGTATACCCTTTTATTAGCCCATGACATATGCTAACAAAAGCGTATACCCGCTAAACATATTATATATATGTTATATATTTCCTGAATTAATGCGAACACGTTAAAGGCTCCATTGAAAAATTGCTTTTTTTGACTTATCCCCTTATGCCTTTTACCCACAGAATTAATGTTTAAATCACCTGTAGCCATGTCTCCAAAGCTTTTCTTTTGATCTCTTTATTTTCCAATTCATTTGTCAAGCTTTCTGCAAATCGTTGAGTATTTTGTGGGGATATAACACACCCTTTTGTTGCCCAACTTTTATATTGCTTTGAGTTACAAATTTTTTGAATTTTCATGTATGACGCTACTATACTTTCTACATATTCTATTACTAAATTATTGGGTATATCAATATCTTCTTGCTCATTATTTCCTAGCGATATTAATAAAACCTTAACTTTTTCATCTACAGTGCCTCTAGTGCAAAATACAAACAATTCCGCGAACCTCTCTAAATCTACAGTGTTAATTCTTGATTCTCCCAATCCAAATAAATAATTATTTATGTATTGCAATAATCTTGGGTCCATTTGGGCTCCCCATAATTTCTAAAATAAAACTTAGTTATTCTATTTTGTGAAATCGGCCCTTAAACTTACTGTAAGTTCATCTTCTTTAATTTTCTCTGAGTTCTTGCTAGCCAATCTGAAAGAATTCCCTACGATGACTTGCTCATCCTTTGACAAAAAAGAGCATTTTGCTGCCAATTTTTTACTGCTATTTGCGCCCATTTTATAAACAATAATACCACACCATAATACGTGGTTAATTTAAAGCTGCAAAAGCAAAATACCACAAAGTAAAAAAAAATAGCCCAATGATTAGGCTCTAATCAATAAAAGGGTAGGTTAGTGTTGGTTGCTCACCTTTAATTCTTCCATATTGATTATTTTAATTTATCAAGCTACTTATCCATGTAATATGTAATTCATAGAAAAAGAAAATTTGTGAATCAAATTAGGTATTTACTAAATACTATTTAGAATTATTTTTCCCCAAAAAAATTATTTTAGTTTTTTCATTTATGTCACGTTAAACTGTGCGTATTTCTGATTCGTTTGTATTTAATAAGTTAGAAATATAATGCTAATTTCATTTAGTATAGGCGGTATAAACTTTGCAAATCGAGTCATATGATTTAACCCTACTTTTTTGACAGACGTCAAAATTTTAAAATTGGTAAATAAACATGCCATATAATTACAAAATTATTTTTAAAACGATGCTATTTTATAAATAACTATCCTGGGTGAGTGATAATTTAGAATTAACGTTTATTTACACACCAAATTTATTTTTGTAATGGTTTTTGGCAGTGGTATGTTTAAACCTTGAATTATTATTAGGTTTATCGCTTTAGTTTTCTAAAATGAACTCTGAGTACGAAGTTTCCTCAGAAATCTACGAAGAACACGATTATACATGCAAATCGAAGGCAATAGTTAACAATGACAACATTGTGTCGAGGTTTGTTTTCACGTTGAAACCTGAAAAAACTGAACCTGACGAGGACGGCGACTTACAAGTGACAAGGAGAAAAAGTGTGGAGAAGTGCATTGAAATAGAACACAGCAAAAGTACTGTTTTAAAATTGGTGGGGCTGCAAATCTGGAGAGGGGCATTTTTATTGGCTGACTGGTTAATAGAGTGTGCGGATAATTTTCCTAAGGATTGCATTATTTTGGAATTGGCGGCTGGGGTAGGGTTAACAAGTGTTATAGCCTCTATGTATGCTAAAGTTTACAGTACTGATGTAAATAGAGGTGAATTGTTTAGGTTAATTGAAAGTAACTATAAAAGAAATAAACACTTATGTAAACATCCTCTTAAAGTAGCTGAAATAGACTTTATGTCAAGTAATTTATCTAGAGAAATACTTGCTATTCTACCCAAAGTTTCATATATTATAGCAGCCGATGTTGTGTATGATAACGAGTTAACTAAGGCATTTGTTAATACAGTAGATTTACTATTATCTGTGCCCCCACAGAGGTCCATTGTAATTGCACTTGAAAAAAGGTTTGTTTTTACTTTGGCGGACTTTGATTCTGTAGCACCCTGCTACGATTATTTTGTTGATTGTTTAAAAAGTCTAAAAAATGTTACATTTGAAGAGATTGACTGTGATTTTCCTCAGTATTTTAAGTATGACCGCGTGAAACAGTTGGTTTTATGGAAAATAACTTCCAAATTTTGAATCTTAAATTTGAATGAATATTTTGTTCTGTGAAATGTTTATTTTCTAATAAACAATGGATATATTTATTATTGTACCTATTTTATTTAAAAAAATAAAGAAAGTAAATATTTTTAAATTTTATTTTATTTACATAGGGAGTCCCAGTTTAAATGGCATGTTCTAAAATATAAATTTATGTCAAAATGCATTTTTATGATAAATTAATTTAGTAAGGGAAATTCTAAAATAAAACAAATGATACAACTACATATTTTATTACATCCAGTCACAGAAATAAAATTTGATTGTCATAGTAGAAATAGTAGATAAAATATATTTATTTAGGGTACATTTTGTATAGTAACTATCTACAAATTTACAATAATTAAAAAATATTTATACAGCATATAGGTGTGAGAAAAACCTATACAATTTAATAAAAAAGTTATAGTAGATATTTTTGCCATTCTAATAATAATTGCTCTACATTTTGCCCTGAATTCATGTATACATACATATATGTATAGATGAATTATACTACTATGCAGTAAAATTAAATATTGTCATAAGTCTTAGTTTCATGCAAAATCAATATTTATTTTACGTACATAGATACAGTTTACTGTGCATATAGACATTTAAATTTTAAAATTTACATTTAATATCCACTTTTTAGTTTACTCTTTATTGTTAATACAATACATTTATTTTAATTACAGGTAATATATTATTTGTTTTTACATTTTAATAAATTGGATATTTAAATATAAAATATGTAAAAGCTAAAGACTTCTAAAATGTAGGCCAGTGTAACTACCCAGAAGAATATACTAATACTTACACGCAACAATTGCTGTTTTTCTTCCTTTTAATTAATTTAAATCAAAACTACCTATATTTACATTCTATATGCATATATGCATTCGATTTTCTATCTTAACTTTTAAGAGAATAATATTATGTTCTTAGTGGCTAATTTAATTTATTCCTAAAATTAGCATTTATTTATACAAGGTGACCCTGAAATGCCTGTACAAAATGATACTCCTGAGACCGAAATATTGCGATATAACTAAATTTACTTCTATACAGTTTCGTTTTCGATTTTACTTTGCACAAAATTTGATTTTTGGGGTTTTTTGCGTAATAAAGATGAAAAAAGTAATATTTTTTATTAAAACGTGAATACACTAAGGCCCAAAAAACATGTGAATATTTAAAACCCACAAAAATCAAATTTTGTGCAAAAACGTTTCTAAACGAAATAATAAAAACTTTCAACTTTGTAAAAAAGTAAATTTAGTTATTTCGCATTATATATAATAATAACAACAATAATAATAATAAACTTTTATTTCCTTTTAAAATTTACATTTTTGTTGGATGTCAGAGAATAAAATATATGTAGGTAGGTATCTCAAATAATATAATAATACACAAATTTCAGGGACACCTTGTATAGTACATAATGGAAACCTCCAATCTCTCTATAAAAAGATTTAAATAATACATGGGAATAATATCACATTTCTCTAATAATTAACATATGTTTTATTAATAAATAAGTTAAATTGTATATAGGTATAAGTTGATATTTATCAGTTTGATGAAAAGTCAATTTAAATTACTAACATAAAAAAGTACAAAGATTTAATATAATATTTCTTATTACGTAATAATAAAAATGCCCAACTATTTGTCAGAAAAAAATTATAATAACGTATGTTATATATATATGTGCCATTTTCGGAACTTTTTTTGCGGACGGGGTAAACCGAAAGTTAAAAAATATAAAACGGAAACAACGCGCGCACATATTTAAACAAAATTCGCGCAGTACTGCTACTTAGCACAAATAAAAAAATGGTAGGACAAATTTGCACAGTATTTTAAAAAAAATTTAACCCTAAAAAAGCCCAAAAAGCTCTAAATTTAATTAAATTTTTCAAAAGCTTAAAAAAAGCATTTAACGCTTTTAGCTCAAAAGCTACAATTTTTTTTTTTAATATTAGAGATTTACATTGGCCCTTTATATGTTTAAAAGTGAAATTTCTTTGTGTAAACCAACCGCGCACATATTTGAACAAAATATGCATTAGTATAAATTAAAAAAAGGTAGGACAAAATCGCACTGTAGTACAAAATTAAAAAGTTGGAAAATACGCACAGTAATTAAAAATTAAAAAAATGTGGGAAAAATTCGCACAGTACTACAAATATAAAAATTAAGACAAATTTTTGATTTACTAAATTTTTTAAAAATAATTTATTCTTGTTTTTAATTTTTTCAAAATTTTGTGTTTAGGGTTTAAAACAAAAAAAATTAATTTTGAAAATTTGAAAATAATAGGAATTGAAAATATTAAATATTTTAAAAAATGTGGATATTTTGAAATTTTCATTATTTTTATATTTTTCAAAATTTTAAACTTAATATTTAAAGTTTTAAAAATTTTAAAATCTTTATTATGTTTAGGTATATTTTTTGAATTTTTTAAAATTTAAACCTTAAAAACCGCCCAAAAGCTTAATGAAAAGCTTTAAAGCTCAAAAGTTTAAAAAGTTGAAATATTTAAAAAAAGCTCAAAAGCTTGAAAGCTCTAAATTTAATTAAATTGTCCAAAAGCCCGTTGGCTTAGGTTTAAAAAAAGCCTAAAAAACTTGTTTTAAATGTTTCTTATTTTGTTATATTTTCCAAAATTAACAAAGATATAAAAATATTAAAAATTTAAGGATATTTTGATATTTATAAAAAAAATAAAATCTGTATTTTTATATTTTTAAAAAAATTTAAATTAATAACAAAATCTTTGTTTATATTTTCCAAATTTTTAAAATTTTAATCCTAAAAGAAATGCTTTAACATGAAAATAAGTTAAGTGCAGAATTGGGCAGTTTAGAGTCCAATTTTTTAAATTTTTTTTTAACGTGAGTTCTGCATGTTGATTAATGCAAACATTAAAACAAGTATCTAGATTTTTGTATATAGCAGAAACTTTAGTTGATAACTCCCCTTCTCTTTTTTGCACTTCAATTCTAAAAAAAATTTGGACATTTTTAAAATTTTGAAAAATGTATAAAAAATGAATTTTTGAGATTTAATATTTTTATCTACTCCAACGTCTACTCCTATAGGATGTATACATTGATAAACAAATAAAAAAAAATTTGGATATTTTAATTTTTTTTTAAACCTTTTTATTTTTTAAAATTTCCCTTTTTTGCACTTGTACCCTTTTGCTTTTTACCACTTCAATTCTAAAAAAAATTGGATATTTTAAAATTTTTATACTTTTCAAAATTTTAACAAAATTTTAAAAAATTTGGAAAATGTATAAAAATGAATTTTTAAGTTTTATTCTCTTACATTGATAAACTGTGACTTTTGGCGTTTTAGTCACGGGCTGAAGTTAACAACAGTGGCTTTTGGGCATTTTAGTCACGGGCTTAAGTTAGCTTTATTATAAATTACTAAAAAGTTGGGTTAAATTCGTCAAATGTCAAATTTTATTAAGTAAAATTGTCTTTAAATTATTATTTCTGGTCGTCGTAAATAAAGTATGGTATGCAACTCGTTTTATAAACTTCTCTAGACACTCGTTTTTATTAAACACTCGCTCGAAAGCTTCGCTTGTTCCTAATAAAACTAAACTACAATGGCGTTTATAAAACTTGATACATAATAAATTATTAAAATTTTCATTATGTTTACATGTATTTTCCAATTTTTTTTAATGTTAATTAACTTTAAAAATTAAAATTTAAAGCCTGAAAGCTCGAAAAGCTTACGACAGCTTTAAAGCTCAAAAACTTCATAAACAAGTTGAAAAGTCCAAAATCTTAAAAGCTCCAAATTAATTAGTGTCCAAAGATTAATTTCTTTTTCCAAGCGCAAATGTATTTTTTTAATATTTTAGAAAAATTCATTTAAAAACATTTAATGTTTTTTTAACTGGACCATTTTATTTCAATTTTTTTTATACAAAAGAAATTATTTGCAAAATTCTTGATATGTTAGGGGTAAAAAAATCATAAATTAAAATTAAAAACATAACTAATTAAATTCAGTTTTCAGTCTCACAATTTAAAAATATTTTTTAAATTACTACATAGTATCTATAAATAATTATTAAATATAGACGCCAAGTATAAAATTATTTGTAACAAAAAGACTTTATACAGAAGTCACTACAATACATGTATATTTAGAAAATTTTAAGCCAAGGAAGACACTAAATTCAATATAAAGCAAACCTTTTACAATACGTGTAAATTTTCGCATGACTTCGATTTGCTGATATCGTTCATGCAGATCTTTTGCAGGATTTCCCGTGCGATATTCAAACTCAGACTTGTTTTGGAGCCGTGCAGCTTGTGATTTTCCCTTTTCAAGCCGGACTTTTTCTTCTCCCTGAACTCCCGCAGACGAATTTGTTTCAGGATGCCGACCAGAAGTTCATCGACGTTGTGCTGAATTCCGCTCGAAGTTTCGATAAATTTGCAGTCTCTAGACAGCGCCAGAGCTTTGCCTTCTGCAAGGAAAAAAGTTTCGTGTTTATATTTTATCTACACATTCAACATTCAACGGGTTCATTTAAAAACATTTCCACGGTGCTGTTCTGAGAGGTGATTTTTGGACTTTCTGTGAAACCTAATTTTTTTTTATATTCTTGTTAATTAGGTCATATCTAAAATTTTAAGAGCAAAATAAAAAAAATTTGACGGTTTGAATTGTTTTAATTGGCTGTTTATTAAAAATATTATGCACTCTTTCAATTATCCAATTAAAACTAGCGATTTAATTTAAATATTTAATATTTGCATAACAAAAAAAAAAGGTTTTTACAATTTTTTTTATATATTTTACTGTTTTGTTGCAATAAACTTTCAAACTTTTAATCTAACCTTTGACGTATACATTTATGTTCCCTTAATTAATACATATATCCTTAAAGGTTGCCATGAAATTTAGATCTATTAAAAATTTATTTGACGTTTGAATTGTCATTTTCAGTATACGTATTCTATAATTTTTGTTTAGTTTTTTAAAGTGTTTTTTATAAACAAAAATGAAAAATTGTAGTAAAAGTTACGAAGAAATTCATGAAATTTAACTAAGGACCGGTTTATTCATCTTTAGTAAAGTTTATCGGGCCGATAACTTTCATGTCTTGGCAATATCTAGTATCCAAAGAAATTATTCGTCAAATAAATCAAAAATGAATAAATCGGCCCTAAATAAAATGTGGCACCCTTATAATTATTGTTTAATAAATGTATACTATACATTTAACCTTTAATTAAAACTTTAAACGTGTATTACAACAAAACAGTAAAAGATATAAAAAATGTATAGACCTTTTTTTAGGAAATTAACTAATCTTTAATCTGATTTAAAAAGTTATGATAATATTTAAATAAAATCGCAAGTTTTAATTGGAGAATTGAAAGTGTGCATACATATTTTTAATAAACATCCAATTAAAACAAAATTAACCGTCAAATTTTTTTTTATTTTGCTCTTAAAATTGTAGTTATGACCTAATTAACAAGAATATAAAAAAAAATTAGGTTTCACAGAAAGTCCAAAAATCACCTCTCAGAACAGCACCGTGTTTCTTGTTTTGTTTTATTAACTTTTGTAATTTTCGTTTGAAAGTAAACATTTAAAAATAATATTGGATCGTCAGCGTGTTTTTAAAAGTACTTAGTGTACAGTCAATAATACGCAAAAAGTATTTTAACATGTCACCATTTTAACTGACTTTTCAATTAATAATGTAAATATTATTTTAAAATTTTAAGCGCTAAAATTATAAAGCTTTTAACTAACTAAATTTATATCCTGTTTTAATTACTTTGTTAAAGACCTTTTTGCGACTTTATATAATTGCCGTTTAATTTAATTAAAAATAATAATATATCGTTTTTGTGGATTCTTATTTTAAGAAAATAACTATATTTTATTAAAAATAAAACATCGTTTTTAATTAATGTACAAAATATTACACTGGGCGACAAAATTAAATTTTTGCTACAGGGGAGCAACAACCCAATGCACAATTTGTACTACTTATGGTAACGATAAATTAAATAAAGGTTATATAAGAGTTGTCAAATTTATAAAATCGCCATTTCGTTTACTAGTTTTATAATGGTCATACTTACTGTAAACTCTAGGTATATAATTAGGTTATACTGTAAACTCTAGGTATATAATTAGGTTATATAATTGTTTCTACAAACATTTTATATAACCTTTAGTAACCGTTACCAGTAGGTTTATAAAGGAGTTTTATAAAGTTTTTAAAATAAAAGCACAAGAATTGTAAACAACAAAAATGGCCGACATTAAATGATGTGCAGTGTTGCAGTGATTTTTAGTATTTTTAGTACGAGATCGAACAGACCTTGTTGTGTGGATTGTGAAAAATATAGTGTTTTGAAATGTTCGATCCTTTTTTTTTCTTTCCAGGGGCGTACGTTATGGGCCGGTATCTCCGTAGGGGGGCCGTAGGAACCCCGATAGCAAAATGTAGTCACGATGCGCGCACTGTGAGATCACTATACAGATGCGATTACATATGCGTCTCATATGCGGCGCACGTGGGCCGGCGCATTTAAGGCGCACGTGTGCCGACGCATTTCCAGCGCACATTAATAAGTCAAAAAAGTTGTATATTTCAAAAGGAAATGCATATAACGGGTTTAATGCAAAATGGCACAAGCGCCAAATTTTTCGAAAAATTGTTAGTAGTACAGGTCTGTCGAATTTTTAAAAATTTTGGTGCTTGTGCCGTTTTGCCTTAAACCCTTTGTGCCAGTTGATGCATGTCGTTTTAATTGAACTTAAAGTATACCTAGTGAAAGAATGCAAATTGCAATTGTACGTTATTTCATTAATATTGATTATATCATTTTTGTAATTATAAGGTGAATAAAAACGAAATCTACTGTTTTTTATAGAGTCTGGCATCACTGCCGATAAGCAAAGTGTAAGAGATCATTGATCACGTCGTGCGATCATCGCGTGGGCGCGCACGGCTATGCTGCTCATATGCGTGTAAAATCAAACGCACGTGTGCGTTCTCACGCCGTGCGACCTACGTGCGACGCACGATTGCTATCCGGAAAAAAATGTATCCGGGAGATTAATATTTTAATTAAACTTAACAATTATTCATACTACGATTCAAAATATTATTATGTTAAGAAAATGTTATCCTTTTTTTATCACCATAATTGTTACCATGTTACTATTAGTTTTATTATTGTGCATTTTTCTACTTAAAATTTTTCAATAAAATTTAGTAAAGGGTCGTTTTGAGGGGTGGTGAATCCAGTGCCGTGCTTAGATTTTGTTTAAAAAAATCGCTAATATGAATTCTTAAAAATTTACTCTTAAAAACTAACATAATAGGCCTTGTATTTTGTACAAATTTGACGTTTTTGCTCCAAAAATACAGTTTACCAAATCCGGTTAAAATCGCCCAATAAATAAAGATTTTACAGGGGTGAGTCGCAAACAAATGGGTCACACTGTATGTTTTTAATCAAAGATCATTGGTCATGTATATGTCCTAATTTAACTAAACATAAGTAAATTTTGCATATTTAACCCTTAAAAAAACTGCTTTTAACGAAATAAAATTTCATTTTTGTCCAATTTTAATGAAATTTAAAAAACTTTGCAGCTTTATTAAATAAATTTTATCATGTCAAAAACTTTTAAAAATATGTTGGTAGTCCGAAAAATGTCCTTTGAACTAGGACTCATTAATTTTGGTTGTACCACTTCAGAAACTGCTAGGCAAGCTCTCTTTGTGGCTTTTCATTTCTACGTTACGCCAGGTCTGTATTTTCCCATTTGATCACTTATAATTAATACAAAATTAGAAGGGTTGAATACACTAATTAATAGGGGATTTAAATGCGCCAAACGTTCTACAGTAAAGCCTCTAATGAAGTCTCGAAATTTCAATCCCTTAATGATGAATTTCTCTTCTACTACTAATTAGCACAATTTGTTTATTATTACAAAAAAAACAATCAATTTTCCTTATGCAGTATTGCAGATATTGCAATTGATTTTATCTTAAAACTTTTTAAAACGATTAGACCTAAAATTCTGAATATTCATTAATTTACATGTATTTTAAGTCGGCAACGCTCTAATTTTGCCGTTTTCTCACATACAGTTAAGGATGGGATTACAAAGAGGAAACAAAAGTTTTGCTTGATTTTAATCCCCGAGAATATGAGACACATCATTTTTATTGTCAATGGTTAATTTGCAATTTTAATTTTTCTGTAAATTTTGGAATAAAAAGTTTTTGATTAAAATTATTTTTTTAATAATAAAATATTACAATGGTAGGAATGTTTATGTCAAAACCCACAATAAAATATATTGCAACGATTTCATATATTTTTAATAAATATTTCATATATTTTTCATATTCATTTCATTCCAGGCGTTTTAAATGGTCCTGATATTCGGAAATTGGTAAAGTCTGAAGACTTTGACAGGGCCTTGGTTGACAATGAGATAGTTGCGTGGGCATTGGTGGAGTAAACATATTTTTGACTACGATCAGAAAGAAAATGAAAATGAAGAACAAGAAAATAAAGGAGAAGAAGTGGAAGGGATATAATTCTCCAGTGATGAATCAAAAAAAGAAAATGAAGTATAAGAAAATAAAGGAGAAGAAGTGGAAGGGATGGAATTCTTCAGCCATGAATCAGATTACTGTTTTGAAAAGAAAAAGTTTTTTAATAATAAAATGAATACAAAATAAAAAATCAAACTCTCTGTACTTTTCTACAATTCTATTTTATATATTCAATTTTTTCCTACAGATTTTCCAAAGATTTCGAAAAAAAAAATGGTGTTGAGTGTGACAAGGTGAATATTTTGGAAAAACTTGTTCAAACATTGTTTTCCAGCAAATAAGCAAACTTAGTTCAGTTTAGTGTGCGTATTTTATAAATTAATTCTTCTAGTATATTTTACAACATTTTTGAAAAAAGAAGTAGCAACAAATTTTGAATATTATCGAAAAATTGAAAAAAATATAGTTTTACGAAAAATTTGGTTTTGGGATATAGGTTGTTTACAAAATGGGTTTATTTGTTCAGGTAGACCCTACCTGGTAGGGTATATGAAGCTCGAAAATACAAACGGCCTTAAAAAAAATCGAGCTAACTTTTACAAACCCAGCAAGGGTTCGGATAATTTGACTAAAAATAGGTATATTTTGTCTAAAACATTTTTTCATATTTGTAATAGATGGCGCTTTAATGAAAAAAAATCAATTTTGTTAAATTTTTAATCTTATGCGATTCTGCAATAATTTTTCTATAAAAATATCACTTATTTGGTAATAATTATCTTATTAAATTTACCCACGATTTTTTAACTAATATTAAGTTTCCTTTGGTTTAAGTTTTATACATTATTTCATTCGGTGATAATTATCAATAGCGCACCATGGTCACTTTTTACCTGCCAGCATTAAATCCTTTAATTTAA